ACCAAAAGTCATATGAAGGTGGCAAAAGACTAGAAATCTCACAAAGAAATAGAAGAAAGATTTAAAAATGACAGCATTTCATTAGACAGAAAAAGAAAATCAGTAAAATAAAGCTATTTCAGAAGAATGCAAAATGCAGAAATCAGGTTAAAAGAAATACTTTCTAAGCATTGCACAAGTACAACTGTTCTAAGCATTTAGCGAAGAAAGGCAAAGTAGGAGTGATTACAGCTGGCATCAAAGAAAGATTTAAAAGATGAAAGGGGCTCTAAAGAACAGGCAGGAGGTTTGAACTATGCAGTGTAGGATGGAAATCGGGTAAATTTTTAACGTATCGTACAGTGGATTCATAACACTTTTGTAATTTTTGCAATTTTACATTGCTTTGTGTGCCTCTACAGAGTTTTTTTTCCATTAGTGGATGGATGGATGGAAGGCAGTTTGTTTGTACATTCTTAAAACAAATAAATGAAAGCAGGAGACAAAAGAAAATCAAGATGATGAAAAGGAAGCTAGAACAGAGGGAAATGAAGGGTTTCATAGAAATTAAAGAAGAAGCAAACTCGGGAATAGTAGCAACATTGTAATTAGCATTATTATATCTGTAAGGTAAAGGTAAAGGGATCCCTGACCACTAGGTCCAGTCGTGGCAGACTCTGGGGTTGCGGCGCTCATCTCGCTTTATTGGCCGAGGGAGCCGGCGTACAGCTTCCGGGTCATGTGGCCAGCATGACTAAGCCGCTTCTGGTGAACCAGAGCAGCGCACGGAAACGCTATTTACCTTCCTGCCGGAGCAGTACCTATTTATCTACTTGCACTTTGACATGCTTTCGAACTGCTAGGTTGGCAGGAGCAGGGACCGAGCAATGGGAGCTCACGCCGTTGCGGGGATTCGAACTGCCGACCTTCTGATCAGCAAGTCCTAGGCTCTGTGGTTTAACCCACAGTGCCACCCGCGTCCCTAATTATATCTGTATATAGGACCAAATCAATATGCTACTAATAGAAATAAGTGGGATATCTCCTTATAGCAGCCAGAACATTGGTAGCCCAACATTGAGAGCACCTAAAGGGGCTCACCTGGGACAGGTGGTACAATAAGGTGTGGGAAACAGCCCTAGCAAAAAAGCTAACGCAATGCTAGCATCTGGCAAGCAGCAAGAATAAAAAAAGACTCCTTCGCTGCAAACTGGTGTTTTATACCTTTCACAAACCAAGAAGGAACATGTCGTTTTGTACCTTCAGTCCTTCAGACCAAATGGCTTGTCTAATGAGGAAATCAATTTATTTTTCTTCCGTGCACCCGACTGTAAAAGAAAGAAGCATACTTAACTCCCGATTTCCAGATGTGCTTTCGTTTCTGTGTTTTGCTTTTGCTTATGGTTGTTATACTTATGTGAAAAACACTTCAGTAAATATGTTTTCATCAACAGAGGGAAAGAGGGAAGTGATGAAGAGTCTAGGAGCAAGTAGCATTTTCATGAGGCCTGGACGCAAATGTGAATTTTGAAGGTCTTTGTTTGAGGTACAGTAAGCTGTAACTTAACCAGTGGAGCCTCACTCATCGTCTTGTTTTTCTCAGAGCAGCTAGATGCTGAAGAACCAAACTTTGATGTGGAAGAACTCAGGGAGGTTCTTTGCCTTATCTTTTGCTGCGAAGTAGCAAAACGTGCAGATACAAAATGAAAAGAAAACCAAAATGATTACTGTGTGCCAGGGTTGGACCATCTCCACGTCTTTGTATGATCTTCCCAGAACCACCAAGACTGATCATTCTTGTGGAAAGAGTGCTAAAATGATGAGTCTTTAATGTTCTTTGGCCCATCCCAGCAGCTGCCTGGGTCAAAGATGGAGGGAGTTGGGAGGATGTGTGAAGGCAACTGGACCCACTTACAGTGGGGAGACCCCGTAACATGATGGGGCAGGAGTTCTGCAGGCCCATGGAAAACTGCAGCTATCCCTGGTAGAGAACATTCATTTGTCTAGCGCCTGTGAAATCATTTTGCAATGGAAAATGCACAAATAATGTTATATAATATCTAATTTCCTCGTTTTTATCATATGATCTCTTAATCTCTCCCTTCATCTATCATATTGCAATCTGGCTATCAGATCGCTGTTCTCCAACTGTTTGCCTTTTACATGTTTTCTAGGTTAAAATTACCATAGTTACTGTTTATACTTCTGTTCCTTCTCCTCCAGGGAATCAGTTGAATAGGAACTATTCCCATTTGAGTTGGAATGACAAATAATTGTAATTGATGCCAGAATAAAATACTTATTATTTTCAGTATGGAGAGCTGAAAACAACCTTTTGTGTTGGTATTATGTGCCCAGTGGGTATTCTGCCTTTATTCACATTTATATGGTATGTGCTGAATCCAGTTAGAGTCAAGTTTCTTGAGAGGAATATGATTTGCTTCTAGAAATCAGGATTTATGTGTCCGAATCTTTAGCTTTTCTGTTCAGAAAGCTATTTTTCTACATTAAATGTGATGCAACCGGCCAAACTGCTTAAAATAGCATTGTAAAAACATTCCATGTCACTTTCAAGATAATCCTTAGTTTCTGCTCCTTATATAATATTGGTCCTGCAGATCTGATGTGCTGATTTATAGCTCCCCTCAAACATTTGTTGATGGATTTGCCTGAACTGGAAAAAACCTCTGCTGCCTTCCTCCCAGAGGTTTTCTACAAAGGAATTAGCAAAGTTTCCTTTGCATTATAGAGATGAAAATGTAACTATCAACAAATGATAATTTGTGAGGAGTCATAGAGTAGGATGGATTTACTGTTCATAAGCCATAGGGCACAGAATCGTGGTATAGATATAAAGATACCTGAGCCTTATAAAGTTGTGGAGATTTCCAAATAAATTACAGTAAATTACTGATGTGTCTATATATATCCCTATGAATGTAAATGTGGGTTCCTCCTTTCCCCCAGAAGGTGGCAGCACATTTGGTATGTCATGAAAAGTAACTTGTATCCATGGTAACTACAGCGTGACATTACTTACAGCTGTTCCCTCCATTCCTAACACATTTTAAATGAGTCAGGAATAGAAAGTGCTACATATGTAATACGTGCTCAGATCAACACCTTCAGGAACACTAACTGTTTCTGATACTAAGCCTTGCTAAAAGGTGCTAAACGGTCATTTTATTGCCATGGGGCTGACTGTTTCCCTTTCGCTAACGAAAAAGAGAAAGGGACTTCTCCATTTCATGACAGAACATGTCTATTTTAGCGAAATCCCACGGAAAATTTGGAAAGGTTCTAAAATGTTGCTGCCTATGCATTTTTAAATTTTTTAATGCACAGGCATCAAAATGCATTTTAAATGCATGTGCATTGAAATGCATTTTAAATGCATATGTATTTAAATGCACATTTAAATGTATGTATTTAAATGCATATGCATTTTTTAAAATGCACTCCCCCCGCCGGCTTTTTGTATCCCTCTCTATCGGCGTCGATCCAAGCTCTCTCTCCTTCTTAACTCAAAACTTCCGTTTTCAAATAAGATATTAAAAAGAAAACGACGTCCTCGGGGTTCAGAGATCTGCAGCCTTTTTTCCTTTCTGCTCGTGTCAGTTACTCGACCAAAGCGCCTGGGGTTTGTGCAAACTTCCAGAGAGAGACCCTGTCATCAGTAAAAAAAAAAAGGAGGGGGGAGAATGCCAAATATGTCTGAGCTTGAGGGATGAAGAGGGAAAACCGAGCATGATGACGTTGAACTTGCAATAAGACATCTGGGCTAAAATGCCCAGGAATCTAATCACAGGCGAATCCTACGTGCTCTTTCGAGCGTCTGCCTCCTGCCCACGCAAGTTTTCCTGCCCACTAGTCCTGCTGGCCGATCTCCCCACCTTAGCTTCCTACTTAGGCCTCTGGGCAAGCTATTGATCCTTCTCTTTTCTCTGATTTTCTCTCTCACATACATTGCATGTCAGTCTTGGGGCAATGTCTACCCTGTTTCTGGGGTGCAAATGAAATCCAATCCAATCCGAGCATGCACCGACCGAAAAAAAGGGTTTCTTACTATTTTTATTATTATTATTTTGCATTGCTTCAAAACCAGCATATCATCCAGGATTAACGTATTGTTGGGGTGCAAGCTCTGGAAAGCTGCCGCCACCACAAATCCTTTTTGCGAAGGGGCTGGCTAGTCAGCGGGGTGGCGTCCCGATTGCGGCAACCCGCAACCTTTAATAGAATTGTAAAGTCGGAAAGGGCACCCCAAGGGTCATCCAGTCCAACCCCCTGCAATATTTGGAGGGAGCCACTTCGGCTGTCCTTGCTTTTTAAAATCTCCACCTCAGTTATTGTGCATTCGTAACAAACTAAGCAACGGCTCTGCCCCAGGAATATAGTCAATTTGTGGAGGGAGGAGTGATCGTCCCAGACTTTAGGAATCGCTCAATTATGGGGGAAAAAACCCTAACGGTTTGGGGGCGGGGAGATTGCAGCCCGCCTCACCAGGGACTAGTGACCTAGCTGTCAGGTTCTCTTCTCCTGTTTTCTTGGCTTGACTCCCTGTTGCCCCATTCCCTCTTGAAAAGCTATTTTTCTCCCATCATTTGCTGGTGGTGGTGGTGGTGGGGAGAGCCAGGAATCCTATCGAATATTTCCCTTCCCCTCAGGCCCAAGGGCGTTTATTGAAACAAAACAACAACAACAACAACGTGAGAAGTGTTAATTGTGCTTGTACACTTGTGGCTGGGGTGGAGAGCAGGGGAAACACCCCGAAATCTCTGAGGGCTGGAAGCAGCCTCGGAGTTGGCTCGACTTCGGCTATCTCCCCTCACAGCCCGCCGCTCCCTCCTTTCCCCTCTTCGCTCTGCAGGCCCAGCGCCAAGTGCGCCACATCTTCCAGCCTCCCCTTGAAGTGGGGAGGAGGCGCCGGGCCTTGGGCCGCTTTCGGAGGATTGACGCGCGGGCTGAGCCAATGGCCTCCGACAGCGTCGGGCGGTGACGGCGGCCGCCGCCCAATCGGCGGCGCGCGCCCTGAGGCGGGCCCCGCCGGGGCGTGTGAGAGAAGCGGGGACGTCGGGTCGGCGGCTGGCTGAGGCACTTTCCTTCCCGCTCGGCAGCTGAAGGGAGAGAGAGGATGATGATGCGGCTCCGGAGCCCCGCGCTGCTGAGGGACCTGCTGAGGCTCAGCCAGAGCGGAGCGGCGGCCGTTGGCGGGCCTGGCTGCTGCCGCCGCCCGTTGCTGAGGCGGCTCCATCCCGCCGCCGCCGCCGCCGGTTGCCGCCTGCCTAGCGGCGGCGCCCGCTCCTTATGCACCCGCTCGGAGGGGATTCTGGACGAGCCGGGAAAGGGCCCTCCGCCGCCTCAGCAGCAGCAGCAGGCGGCGCCCTCGGCGGAGAAGCCCGGCGCCAACAACAGCCACGGCGCCGAAGCCGGCGGCATGGGCGACAAGTGAGTGAGGGTGGCGGAGAGGGGATGCCAGGCCACGCGGGGAGGAGGAGGAGGATGCCAACCGGCTGCAAGGGAGGTGCCTCGGTTTCCTCCCTGCCTTTGACACGTGACAGGGCGCCCGCCGCCTTGCACGTCAGCATGGGGCAGTCCCGTGTTCCCCTCCCCACGCACTTAGGATCTTCCAAAAAATTAAGTTTTTATTTCTATATTTCGGCCACGCGGGGAGGATGCTGCTCCTCGGCTTCCTCCTTGCCTTTGACACGTGACAGGACGCCCGCCGCCTTGCACGTCAGGGTGGGGGCAGTCCTGCGTTTCTCTAGCCACACACTTAGGATCTTTATTTCCATCCCCCCTTGAATAAGTTCTCATTTATGTATTTCCGGGAGGAGGGTGGGGGAAGAAGTTACAACAGCTTTTTCCAATTTGCAATTATTTAACTTTGGGCTCTCCAGCCCTCCCCCCTAAAAAATCCCTCCATGGTTTCCCTAATTTTCTAAATAGTGCTGCACGTTATTATAGTTAACTCTATACCTTATCTTCATGGTGTTTCCAAATATAACCACTTAAGGTTCTTCAAACCTTCCAAAATTGGTACGTACAGGTTTTTCTAGGAGTGTGAAACCCAAGCTGAAGCTTGTGTCCTTTTGCTTTGTGTGCGTGTATACATTTAGTTTCCCCTACCAGGGGTCCATATTCCTCTTGACGTTTAGTTTCCCCAGTGGAATTGGGAACCACTCTCTCACTCCCTGGGTTTTGGGGCGTGCACTGCCCTGACCCAAGGGCTTGGTTTCGGAAAACTTTAAGTCATGTGGTTGGAAGATGCCTCTAAGCACGTGCTGGCTCCTCCTCCTCATTGCTGTATAAAATTTTGGTGAGCGCTCCACTCATCTAAGGACTCCAAAGAAGTGGGGCCCCAAGCCAGGCACTCAGGTGGCTTCCTGTTAAGCTTGAAGTCTGGCACCTTTGATTTTAAACATTAGACACTGCTGCTGAGAGTCTTGGATTGCAGGGGGTTGAGCTAGATGACCCCTCTGGGTCCCTTCCAAATCTGATTCTATGAATCCACATGAGAAATGCTGTTCATTTGTGGTAGCTGGTTGTGGCGTTAAAGCCTGTTAGCTACAGCCACAAGGTGACTGACAGCACAACCCTGTGCATGTTTACTTGGAAGTAAGCACCATTACATTTGGTGTAGCTTACTGTCTAAGAAGCGTGTTCAGGTTTGTAGCTATAGAAGCATGATCTACCATCTTGCCCTTTGAGAAAGGGTTGTAGCCCGGTGACAGATCACATACTTTGCATGCAAAAAGTCCCAGGTTTCAATTTCTGTCATTTCTAGAGAGAGTTGTGAAGGTCTCTTGCCAGAAACCCTGGAGGACCACAGTGTTGATGGTACTGAGCTAGATGAGCAGTGGCCTGGCTTTGGTGTAAGGCAGCTTCTTTTGTCATACGTTAACAAAATAATGGGAACTGCTTTTCTGCTGGGTGTGTTGGATGAAGGAATGTGTGTATAAAAGTGATCACTTATATGTAGCATTGGCAATGTATTATTCAGATTTGATCAGGCAGCGATTAGCGGTATTATACTGCTCCCTTCCCAATGCAAAGCTTTATCACTGTGCAGAATGCAAGAGTGGATGAATTCAGAGAAATTTGTCCCTGAAATGCTACACTGGCTGCTGTGTCATCCTTTACCCTTCTTGGATCAGTTTTCTTGACCCTTGCAAGTTCCCAGCCTCAAGAACTGAATGTTACAGATAGCGTAAGATGAAACATTTATCTTTAACAACGAAACATCTGAGTTGTTGCATATAGCTTGTGAAGAATATTCTAGTTGAATTAGTCATTCCTTCAGTGTTGGCAAAAGAGATAAGTGGATACACATCTTAGAATGAATGGCATTGTTAGTCTTAAAGTGCCACAAAAGTTTTTTTATTTTTCTCTCTAGGAAGGTACTGTGATAAATAACTTTTTTTCCCCAGTAAAGATAATGTTGGCTGCATGAAGAAATTGAATTATCAGGTTTGATGCAAATTTTCTGGCTTTCCCCCCCTAGACCAGTGACAATTGGTCATACAGAATATTATTTTTGTATTGGCTAGTATCTCAAGGTTGTAAGTAAAATAATTTAATTTTAAAAGCTGGTTTTGGTAACACAAGTAGGCAGTGCTAGAGATCACCTTTAAAACTTTGGTCAAGATAGTGTGCAATATCTCTACCAGTATGTTGTCATTTGCATCATTGGCTGGTATGTAGATGAAACTGCTTTGAGATTATAGCAAGCATGGGGCAGGATTAATGAAAAGATAATATAAATTTAAGTTTTATGTCCAGAGACTCTGCATTGGTTTCTGGAGCACACAAGGGGTCAGTTATGGCTTTGAGGAATAACATGCAAAACCAGAGATCTTGGTGCTTGCTCTTAACTTTAGTACTACAGTGCTATTTGGGCAGCACATTTTGCATATTTGCTGTGTATTATTGTGGAAAGTGAACAAAAGCTGCCCACTATAAATAATGGTTACTCAGATTAAGGCTTACTGTTATCTCATACTGGGTAAAATATCTTCTCTTAGCTGAATAAATTTAAAGTAAAAGACTTTTTTGTCTCTTTTATTTCCAAGAAATATAATTTTACATTCCCTTTAAAAAGGTGGATCAGAAGCTGGTATAGTACTGTAGAGTAGTATGCAGTCTTTAGAACAGTCTTTGCCAAGCTGGTGCCCTCCTGCTGGCTTGGGCTCATGGTATAGTTGAAAACATCTGAAAGGCACCAGATTGGCAAAGACTGTTTTAAAACATTCATTGGTACCATCTTCTAAACTGCTCACTTTCATCTGGAGTAACAATGGAAATATTAAGAAAAGTTCTGAGACTGAGGCCCACAATAGTTATGTGTTGTTATTTGTGTTTTCTCCCAACTCTTTTTCAACACCAAAAGCAGCCTGGAAGTTATGAGGATGGGCAGAGGAAGGGGCTGCTTATTTATTCCACCCTAGATATTTTCACTTTTGAATCCCGCCATGAGAAAATATGCAGGTTGTATTTTTTCTTCTTCATGGAAAAGCAACTAGAGGGTGATTTTGACTGGGAAAATGGCTTGAGGGTAAAAAGTTAAAGTGCTTGTCCCTCCTATCACCATATAACTGTTGTCAACTACCAGTATATACCTTGAAACCAGCAGAGGTCTATATGGAGCTTTCAGGGGTCAGGAAAAGAATGTAAGCAGACAGTTGTATGGTGTCCATGGTTCAAGTTCATGCCACTACAGACCTGAAAGGATGTGAGGCTACTGTATTTCCCTGCAGAAGCTAAGCTGGTTTAACTGGTTAGTGCCTGGATGGGATACTGCCTGGGAACCACACATACGTTGCCTTGTTTCATGATGAAAGAAAGACTCTCAGCAGACATTCTGCAAAGACACCAGGCTCTGCAACTTAAAAGGAATTAAGTAACACTAAAATCAATTAACTTCATTAGTTTTTGGATTTGTTGATGGTGGAATATAAATACTTTAGCATGGGATTTGTAGCTGAAATTTAAGTTGCTTTTGCAGTGAGAATTGTGTGGAGGTAGTTTTCATTGACCCCAGCCCCAATAAACTCCATGTGTCGGAGAAAGTCTGGAAGTGAGTAGCCTGTTCTGCATGTGTTCTTGCTAGTGAACACAGAGTTTTAAATAATGTGTGAGCCTGCATATATAGAGTAGGCTTCCCACCTCATACATTCTCCCACATATACAGCGTGATGGAATGGGAGAAGGAACCAGCTGTGTCTGCTGCAGCTTGCAGTTAGTGAAAAAAGTGCTTAGCCATGACTCCCAGTTCAGGCTACGTGCTAAGCCAAAGTTTGGCTTAGCACAGTGTGACGCAGGAGCAAAAAGGACCCAGGAGGAGAAAAGCAGCTGGTAGCATCTCTCTGGGAGCCTGCATGTGTGTGTGGTCTCAGTAAGTCATAGTTTGGCTTGGCATGTCATGCTGTTATCCACATCAGGTAACCAATGAAGCTGTCGAATAGACTAAACCTGGTGAGATGCTTCCAGATACTGTTTTGAATATTACGTCCGTGCATTACAGTTAGCCCTTTGCATGCAGTTAATTGCATAACCAGGGACGCGGGTGGCGCTGTGGGTAAAACCTCAGCGCCTAGGACTTGCCGATCGTCAGGTCGGTGGTTCGAATCTCCGCGGCGGGGTGCGCTCCCATTGCTCGGTCCCAGCGCCTGCCAACCTAGCAGTTCAAAAGCACCCCCGGGTGCAAGTAGATAAATAGGGACCGCTTACTAGCGGGAAGGTAAACGGCGTTTCCGTGTGCTGCGCTGGCTCGCCAGATGCAGCTTGTCACGCTGGCCACGTGACCCGGAAGTGTCTGCGGACAGCGCTGGCCCCCGGCCCCTTAAGCGAAATGGGCACGCAACCCCAGAGTCGGACACGACTGGCCCGTACGGGCAGGGGTACCTTTACCTTTAATTGCATAACCACCTTAAAGTTTCTTGGCCACATTTCTTGTATATGTGGACTGTCCCAGGTTAAAGTTCTCAAAGTTCTTAACCTAGCTCACGGTTGTCATCTGAACTAGTCACATGTTTAACCCATAATCAGTGATAGTCCATTATTTGAAAAATAAGACTTTAGAGCCGTCTTGCCCCCAAATGGCAGCTAGATATTCCATTTGGTGACTGTAACCTTGGTTTAAGGAGCCATTTGGCATCTAGCTTATATATCTGAGTTTCTAACAATGGCTAGATTCGGGACAGAATCCAGAAGTACATCCAGAGTTCGAACCGGAGTCTTCAAGGGGAGTGTTGCCCCATCCAACACAGGTTGAATCGCTATTCCCTGATCCATCTTAATGTTAATCTTATATAATGTATAAATACCTCAGAAATGTTTCCAGTAGCTAAAAGTAGCAAATTAGTGGTTGGGGTAGGAATCTTGACTACAGTGCGTTGTTGCCATGAGCCTTTGACTTAACTCAGTGTGGTGTAGGAGTAAAAAATACCATGGAGTAACAAAGTGGTCATGAGCCTCTTTCTAGGAGCCCTCATGGATCCAGTAAGCCATACAGTAAGCCATATTATTATAAGTTCCATTATAATAGTGCCAAACGTTAGAATTTTAAAAAATTCTAAGTTTTTTAAAATACTGCATTCAATTGGCATTCATTATTTGTTACTTCCATCCATTTGTTGTTTCTAATCAGCTTATGAAACATATTTTTCTCTGTAGGAAAATAAAGCTGGAAAGTTTCCTGTACTGCATAATGTACTTTGTTTTTTAAACTTTCATTGGAAAATATTGTTATTGGAATACTTTTAACTATTTTCATAGGAATTCAATAGCATGTTCATTGTGTAAATTCAAAGAAAAAAATGCACTGCAAATTCTTAAAATGCAAAATTTAGTATGCATTAAATATATAGATATTTCCTAAAGATATTTAGCTTGAGAAGATATAATTACATACAGTGGAACCTTGCTTCTTGAACTTAATCCGTCCTGGGAGTCTGTTCGACTCCCGAAAGGTTTTCAGTATGCCTTTGTAATTGTTACCATTTCAGATTTGTTTGTTTCTTAAATGTTCATTTATAGAGTGCTACTTATGTGTCTGGTACTATATAAAAGAGCATTCTGTTTTAAAATGTAACTTTTTGTTACCAAATATGTTAAAGCGCTATCTAAAAGAGAATATACAGTGGTACCTTGGTTTACAACCATAATCCGTTCCGGAGGTCCATTTGTAAACCAAAACAGGTTGTAACCCAAGGCGCGCTTTCATCAATGGGGCCTCCAAAAATATTGTTCATAATTAAAAAAAAGGGTTGTAATCCAAAAAAAGGTTGCAAACTAGGACACGCACTTCCAGGTTTGATTGTGTTTGTAATCCAAGACGTATGCAAACCAAGGTACAACTGTATTTGGGTGGGGAAGTTAGATCCCCAGGATAGGGAAATGACCTAAATCTGAAGAGTTACAGTAGCAGTCCTATATCAGGGCAATCCAGAAACACAGTGTCTTAAGGAGAAGCTGAGGACAAGCATGGTGAGGCAGTCCGATAAGGTGTGAAGTAAAGCCGAGGGCAAACACAGCAGAGCAGTCTAAAGGTAGGCAAGATTTTCAAGAGGCAGGGATCTGTAGCACAGGGTCAGTCAGGGTAGGCAGCAGCTGCAACTTGTTAACTCAGTCTTCAGCAGTCTCTGCTTTCATTTTTGAGGGGCCTGGTTCATATGGCCCTTGAGTCACACAGCCCCTTAGTGGGTGGCTGCTGGTGGCTGTACCATTGGAAGCCAGCATTCCCTAGGACTGGAGGTAGTTTGACCTCCCCTTTCGATTCCACAAGTAAGAAAGTTGTCCCATGTGTGTTGGCAAACTCATCCACAGCTTCAGATTGGTGTAAGGTCACTTCTCCAGAGATGTTTGTGGGTTTGTGCCTGGGTTAACGCTGGAGTCAGGAGGCCCCATTAAGTTTTTCAGCTTTATGTCATCAGGGTCCATCTGATGAGTCATCTCTGCTTAGTCATGGGTTAGACATGACATAGACAGGATCTTTTTTACTTCTGCGAGATCCTTCATGGAAGAAAAGCCTAGCCACTCCTGCTTTATGCCATGCTTTTACATTAGAAGGCTTTATAATATAGGTGGCAATCGTATTATATGCTCATTGGCGGAGTGTGCATAAATGCGCCCCACCCTGTTATGCCATGCCCCCATTCTGCCCCCGGTCTGCCTTCTTTGGATCTAAAAAGACCTGTGCGTTGGCGATCACTTGTTAATTGGATGCGCCTAAAATGGTCGTCGCCTATATCCTTTCAAGTTTCTGAAAAACAAACTGATTCTTATACGGAGCTTTTCTTATGTCTTAAATTGCATCTTTTCATTTGTTTGCCTAATGAGAGCAACAAACTCATACATAGAAAACTATGTACAGTCGTACCTTGGAAGTCGAACAGAATCCATTCTGGAAGTCCGTTCAACTTCCAAAATGTTTGGAAACCAAAGTGCGGCTTCTGATTGGCTGCAGGAGGCCTTGGAAGCCCCTTCGGACATTCGGTGTCCAAAAATAGTTCGCAAACCAGTCACTTTGCTGTGTTCAGGAACCAAAACATTTGGGGACTAAGCTGTAGTACAAAACATAGAAGTTTATAGGTTATGTAGTTATTGAGTATAAAATGAAAGAAGTATGTGACTTGACTGAGTATGTGATTGCACTGAATGACATTTTGGAAGAAAGAGACTACTGTTCTCGTTATAGTTTTGACTATTAAAAAGAGAAAGGCTTTCTCCTGCTTCACTCTAAGAATGCCCTTGTGGGAAGTACTCTGGAGATTGGAAAAATATGCAAAGGAAAAAGTAATTTAACTGAATTGTACATTTCTTCAGTTAAATGTAATTAGTAACATAATCAGCTAAGACTGAGTAATTTGATTAGTTTAGTACCCATTCCAAACTTGTGGAATCGAAAATGAAACTTGTGATTTCATTTTCAGCTGATTATAATGCATGATAAAATGAATGCAGTTGTCATTATTCCCTGCCTCCCCCCATAAAATCTAAAAAGTAGAATGGAAGTTTATACTGTTAAAAGACTTAGACGTATCCTAGTAAAAAACGGTCCACACAAAATTTTGAATGTGCTATGATACTTGATAGTATAGTGACACTCCACCCAATGAGAAAATTCTTTTAGCTGCTGCGGGAGGAGTCTGTTGTATCCAGTTGAGTCTCCTCACTGTTGAAAGACCGTGATCCACCATGACTTTGTGAGCTAAAGGTGGAAGTTGGAATTTTTGCAAGTCCCCCCACCCTCTCCTGCACCTCCATATGCTAACTGCCAGGCTATTACGAAAAGTCTCACAACTCTCTTGACCAGATTGGAAGGGTACCGGGAGCTACTGAGGGACCCAACAAAAAGTGGCCTCTATCTTTTTAGCTAATGGAAGCCTCCGCTGGATCAAAAAACCTTGGAAAGGGACATGATTGGGTGCTGCCAGCACTGTTTAAAAGTATCATGGCATTTTCTCCCCCCACCCCCGACTTGTTTACCAAACATAAATCAAACATACTTGATCAGTCCAGAATTGGTTTTAGGATAATGACTAGGTCACTAACATTTCCATTTTGCAAACGGAGAACTGAGATTCAGTAACAGGTTTCAAATTCACTGTATGGTCTTGTACTAAGCTTTTGTAGCGCAGCACCATGTTTGCAACACAGTGACTGTTAACACGTCCTGCCTTCAAATTAGCTTTCTATGCATTTTTCAGGTTTAAACTTTGCAGATAAGAAACATTCACTTGCATATAGTAAAGATAACTGTGACAATACCATGCCCACTTTTTATCTTAGCTCTTTTTGGCATATGCTGAATATGTGTTTTTCTAAGTATTTAATGATGCTAAAACACTGCTCTTAGGTTGAACAAACATTATATAACAGTATTGACTTGGGAAATAGGGGGAGAAAAAGCTTATACTGCAGTTTAACTGATAAGCTTTGTACAATAATAGTCCATTTAAGGTATTTTCTGTATGAAAATTGAACGTTTGCCATGTTTGTTTTCTCGGCTGGGTTACTTTCAAAGCTAAATATTGGGCTAGTCTGCTTGATTTAACTGCAACAGCTGTGAATGATATGCAGTCTATATACTTTTTCAAAAACATAATATTTCACAAAACTAATGCTTAATATTTTGAATTTTGAACACTAGCATTCTTAACATACTATAATCAAAGTATGTGCGTATTTTAGGAGACTTGTACATGCCACATGAAACATAAAGCTTACAATAAACATTAATGGGTTACACTTATTTACAGTTTCATAATGTGTTTTACCATAGCCCTTCTGCAGTAGGGAAATATCTGAATACCTAGTTCTGCTCCACACATTGTTTTAAGTTTTTCATAGTTAGAGAATCTATTATTATGGGGGAAAGTATGCATTATATTCAGCTATACTTTATAGTTTTCTGACATGTACATTTTCTTAGCTTACTTTTCTACCTTAGGATCCTTTGGGAGGAAGGGTGGAATAGACATTTAATATATAAGTAATACTGTAAAATGAAAATGAACTAAGCAGCAGAAGTTGCTTAAGAAAGCAGTAAAATGCCTGTTTCTAGTTAGATATGATAGCTTAATAAAATTGTCAGTCGAATGTTTGTGTTAGCAGGTGGGCATATACTTACCCAAATAGTGGTCAGATGTGTTTCAGTGGTGAAATGATAAGAGTATCAGTGGCCTAGAATTTTGTTGTTGTTCTCACGCTTTCCATGTATTGTTTCTTCTCAGTAAGATAAAGCAAGGTCTTTTGCCTAGTTTGGAGGATTTGCTGTTCTATACTATTGCAGAAGGGCAAGAAAAAATACCAGTTCACAAATTCATCACGGTAAGCTTTTTTGTTTTGTTTTAAATAAACTATATGGTAAATAGCACAGTTTAATACTTTTTTGGTAACCTTCAAAAAGCAGTGCATGGCTCAAGGTTGCTAAAGGTCAATTTTATTCTTCATTACATTTATACCTCACCTTTCCTTCAAGGAACTGATGGTGGCAAATATGATGTACCCCTCCTCATTTTATCTTCACAACAACTCAGTGTGTTGATAGGATGGTTATTAAAGGTGAACATTCCATTTAACTCTCTAAATATGTCCGTATATGATATAATCTGCTTACTCTTGTAGTAAAACTGAGGGTACACTGTTATAAATCTTCTAAATGTGTTTATGGCAAGGTGTTGAAAAACAGAACTGCTCTGAATGGGTCTGTCAGCTGTCAATTGCATTGTGTTGGAAAATGAAAGCAGATGGTGCTTGATACCAGAGTAGCATATTATTCGAGTCAATGTTTAGAACAGGAAATATTTCTAATGTTCTACTCCTTTACTCTTTTTTTACAGGCCCTGAAATCAACAGGTTTACGTACATCTGACCCAAGACTGAAAGAATGCATGGATATGCTAAGATTGACTCTTCAAACAACATCAGATGGTGTCATGCTCGATAAAGATCTCTTTAAAAAGTAAATACCTATTTATTAATCTAAAACAAAAACTTAAAATTTGGCACATTCAGCTTATTGATATGAAAATAGTGTGATGGGAGGGGGGACTTGAGTGAGGCAAACTAACAATATTCCTAGAAAAATAGTTTGACAAATTTGCTTCATTTTGCTGGCAGTATAGTGGACATAAGTGCTGAAGAATAAAAAGATTTCAAAACAGTTGTACCATAATGTTACCTTATTAACATATAACCTTTGTCCCTTGGAGCCAAGCTATTAGGGTCACTCCTGCTTGATTACAATTAACATGTAACAATTTTTAAAATTTAATGGCGGCTACAGGAATGTGGACTGATCAGGTCTGTAAAGAGAGCACTTAATGTTCCCCGCCCTCAGCACAGTCCTGATGATCTCACCTCAAAACAACTAGTTCTGGGAGGGGAGCTTCCATAATTTAATAACTATAAATATTTAGACATTTGAACTCTTACTTGGCATGTAATGGAAAAACACTATACTGTCTAGTTACTACTAAGCTCTTGCTTTTGCTCTTGCATGTATGAGTGAGCTTGCTTAGGCCTTCACATGTGTACTGAATGATAATGAACATAATTGAGATTTCACTCATTATTTTTTTCATGTTTCATAGGTGTGTCCAAAGCAATATTGTCTTGCTTACTCAGGCTTTCAGACGAAAGTTTGTCATTCCAGATTTTGTGTCATTTACTTCTCACATTGATGAACTGTATGAAAATGCTAAAACACAATCTGGAGGAACAGTGAGTGTTCATATGAAATATTTGTTGTGTTAGTATGTTTTCATGTACATTTAAGAAAAAACCCTCCTTATTCCGCAGTTGGGCAATACTTTTATTAGGACCAACCAAAAAGTCACAAAAATGTGACAAGCTTCTGAGTTTCCCAGAGCTCTTCTGGTGAGTTGTTACACAAAGCAGGGAGTTCAAGCTGGAAAACATTTTGCCTGATGAAGAACTCTGGAGAAGCTTGTTGAATTTTGTGACTAGTATAGATATTTTGGTCCTGATAAAGAGATTGGTCCCCCCCTTAAGGGCCAACCTTTGCTCTTTATGTTCCTTGAAGAATACTTTGAGTAAAGAGTGGCCACTGGAATTCTTGATTTCAGAATCAGTGCAAGACGTGAATTCCTTGTTTCTTTTCAGTTTTAGATATTTTTGGTTGTCTTTCTTCATTTAGAAGTATATTTGCTACTACTTCCAAATTAAAACACAAGATGCTGTAAAAATAGCGGTGATACAAAAAAACACAAAACTAAACACCCAAGCAGCATAAAATCATTCAACAGTTTGTCATGGGCTCCAAGCCAACAGTATTTGTAAGCAGCTTTTGTTGGTTTGGCACAATAATTGATGGATACATTATTTTGGCCTGTGGTATACATGTTAATTCAAGTAAGCTCCTGTCAAAGGCTGTGTGATTAAACACCCTTGAAAGTTTGTGATAAAAGAACCTTCCCTGTACACTTGTTGTTTGGGGGAGTTTGGGTTTGAACTTAGTTTTATTTATCTCTCTAGCATTTTTTTCTTAGTTGTACTTTTCCTCCAAGACACTTGTAGTAATGCAGTGTGATATTCTTAAATTGACATTATTAATCTCATTTTGGATAGGTTGCTGACTATATTCCACAACTGGCTAAATTCAGTCCTGACTTGTGGGCAGTTTCTGTTTGTACAGTTGATGGACAGAGGTAAGGTACAATTCTTAAATATCTTAACTGTCCCAATTTCAGCTATGGGTGATAGAAGCAGTACGCTAACTTTGAGGAAATAAATTTGCATCAAGGCAATTCTGTAAAATCCATGGTGTGTATTCTTTATTGCACTAGCTGTAGGGTTTGCTTTTTATTTATGTTCTGTTCAGTACACTCTCATATTCAGTATAGATCTAGGGTGACATTTCTTTAAACAATGGCTTAGCGCAAATGAACAAATGAGCAGGATTTTGGAGAGAAGATTTTGGCTGATAAGTGATGGTTTGGGCTTGCATTGTGTCTAAACCTGGGCTTGCAATTTGTATGAAGAAGACAAACCACAAGTAGCAAGCAAGAACAACCCTTGGTTACAGCTCATGGCTTGTCTGGACTGATGTTTGCTTAGCATGATTTGGCTTAGCATTCTGTGTGATCTGGTTTCTAGTTTCTTCATAATATATAGAAGAATTTTTGGTAGTCATATCAGTAGCAGTTTGCCTAAGCACTTTTCTGAGCGTATTTCTGAAATAGTGTTAAGACTTTGCAGTTTTGCTCAGTTTGAGAGTGGGTAGTTATCCAGATTATCTATACTAGGGGTAGGCAACCTAAGGCCCGTGGGCCACAAGCGGCCGTTTAACCGGCGACGAGCTGCCCGCTCAGCAAGTCACCGTGCGGTGCCGAAAATCGTGTCTGGGCATGCTCAGATGCCGAAAATTGTGTCTGTACAGACGCAGATGTCAAAAATCGTGTCTGCACAGACACCAGAAATTGTGTCGACGCAGACACCAGAAATCGCAGCCACGCGTGCTCACAGAGCCCACGTAGGGATCTCCGCTGGAGTGAACCGGCCCAGACGAGATAAACCTTGCCGACCCCTGATCTATACAATAATGCTACTTCATAGCTAGCCTCTAATTAAGGTGAGATCCTTGGCTATTAAAACCAATGAGAGATGTGACTTTGGTAGGTTGTGGCTTGTACGATTGAAGCTAATATATATATTTAGAATTTATTCTACACCATTTTGGTGTATGTGTTCTGGTTACTAGATTTTTATGCAAGTCTCTTTGAAAGTAATGAGGAATTGCCTGTTTCTCAGATCCAAGCCAACAGGTTAGAAATCTACAAACAATGAAAATACCGAGGTCTTGACGCATTTTAAGTGTAACACTTCCTCTGAGGACGTGTTGAGAATCAGATAAAGCAGTGTTGAACTAAAATGATATACTTAGTTTTGATTTTGGTTTCATTTTCATTATTATATATCAGATTTTTAACAGTTGTCCCACATATCTTTTTAATCTTTTAATTCAAATACTGGACACACAGCACTTCTCACAGGGAAGTGCAGGAAGCCCCAAATAGTTGTTTTTCTGGCTTGAGGCCAGGTCATAGGATCTAATTCAGGGGAAAGTTTCCAGCCTTTGGAGCTCAGTTTCCTGAGTTAGTCCACAAAAATGAATCTTAGTAAATCTCCCTGGCATGACTAAATAAAAGCTCAGCTCAGTTCACTTCTAGGTGTGTGTCTGGGGGGAAGCTAATCATTGGACTACAACTCCCAGCAACATTGACTATGCTGGCTGAGGCTGATGGGAGTTAAAATCCAACAACATGTGGCAGTCCACTGGTTAACCACCCCTTCTATATATTTATTTATTTCTTGATTTTTTACGCTGCTTGATTGTTAAAAAAGACATACCCTCAAAACAGTTTGCAAAAAAGATGAAATAAATCAGCAAGAAACTTGAAGATGGTAAAATAACAATAGAGTCAAACAGATGAAAACTTGCATCAGCCCCTTATTATGATTCTCATTGTTAAAGATTTCATACTCCCCCTCTCTACTCTTGCATTGTAGCTCTTCGTCTGATTACCTTGTTTTGGCAAGCTGTAGCTTGCGGTTTCATCAAAGTCTGTAAACTATGGTTTGCACTCATCTTTTAAGCTTGAACACGAAACTGCTGAGGGCAAGATTAAACTATGGCTTGTCTTTGGAAGAAATGCCTGTGCAATTTATAACCTTCCTGTTTACGTGCCCTGCCACATATTGTAGCTGCTGTATTTTTGCAGGGTTTTCCTTAGAGATGTGGGATAAACAGACATATAGTCCCCCACCCACAACCATATAAACACAAACACTCTTCTTCTCCCCTTGCCCTTGATGTGTGAGAATGGGAAAGTTAAAACCTCCTCTTCTGTTGCGTTGAGATTATTCTGCTTCCCCTCAGCCCAATTGTAGTCAATACTGTATTGTAGCCAATACTGTTTTCTTAGAGGTTCCAGGGGGAGCCAGTTATTCATGCTTTATTATTGTTGTTGCAACACTTAAAGAACTGTACGGTTGAATATTTTAACTGGCAATTTTTGCATATATGTTTTAATTGTTTACCTTTCCCACCCAAACAAACTAGGATAGTAGTGAAATAATAATAATAATAATAAACCTATATTCCAGCCTGATGCATCATATAAACGGAACAAAAATAATAGAACCCGCTTCAAAAGTCCCTTTCCCTAGGATTATATCTATTTCTCAAACCTAATGTGACAATTTTTATTTTCCCCTTAAGTTGAAATGCACAATTACTAATACATTATTTGTCTCTCAGGCATTCTGTTGGAGATACCAAAGTTCCATTTTGTCTTCAGTCCTGTGTGAAGCCTTTGAAGTATGCTATTGCTGTTAATGACCTTGGCACGGACTATGTACACAGATATGTTGGTAAAGAGCCTAGTGGACTAAGATTCAACAAATTGTTCCTCAATGAAGATGGTAAGTTAGCTGAATATGTATTTGCCACTTCCCAATATTCTATCTTAAAAAAAAAACAGTGAGGGATGGGGAAGATGGAGAAGTGGGTTCAAGGGAAGAATGAACTGGAGTGCCCCCTCCCTCTGTCTGTTCTATGAAATTGCTTGGGCAGATCTTTTTTCTGGTTTTAGATATAATTGCAGCTAATGTCATTTTAGGGACGCGGGTGGCGCTGTGGGTAAAACCTCAGTGCCTAGGACTTGCCGATCGTATGGTCGGCGGTTCGAATCCCGGCGGCGGAGTGAGCTCCCGTCTTTCGGTCCCAGCTCCTGCCCACCTAGCAGTTCGAAAGCACCCTTAAATGCAAGTAGATAAATAGGTACCGCTTTATAGTGGGAAGGTAAACGGCGTTTCCATGTGCTGTGCTGGTGCTGGCTCGCCAGAGCAGCTTCGTCACGCTGGCCACGTGACCCGGAAGTGTCTCCGGACAGCGCTGGCCCCCGGCCTCTTAAGTGAGATGGGCGCACAACCCTAGAGTCGGACACGACTGGCCCGTACGGGCAGGGGTACCTTTACCTTTACCTTTAATGTCATTTTATGGTTTAAGGAGAGTGAATGAGAAGATGTTGTACATATTCAGATGTGCTTGCCAGAGTGCTTGGGTAGCAGACTGTGTAAAACAAAGAAACCTGAGTGCATACTTTAGCTCAATATTTTCCTGGGAAAATTGTGGTGTTTGCATTGTCCCACATAAGCATTTGGTGTGTTCCATACCAGAGTTGGGTTGTGGGGAAAGGATTGTAGCACCAGGGTGAGAGAAAAGGTTTAAAGAACTTCTCTATCCAGTCCAGTGCTGTGATGATTCTCTCCCCCCCCCCCCGCCGCCCCACCTGCTTAACCTTTCTTTTCTCTTCAAATGTGTGGGTTAATCACTCCTGTTCTAGAATTGCGGGCATGATTAATGCCAAGTAAACCCACTGGTTTCTGGGCCAGTCCTATAGTTCATACAGATGCACAACAGGGATCCTTGTGGGACAACTATTACCCTTTGCATATCCTCATCCTGGACCCTGCTATTCCTAGTGACCCCAAAGTGAAGCAGCAGTGTTACCGAAAAACCAAGATTGCATACTTATGAGTTCACCCATGCAGCTGCATGGTCTGTTGTCATTCATAGGTACTTGTTCATGGTTATGGCTACCAGCATATTTCCAGTCTGTAGATCCAGTATCAAGAAGTAGTGACCATCTTTGAAAGATTCTCCAATCTCAATGAACCTTTTGGCGCTCAAATTCACAAGGCTTTCCCCTCCAGGTCAGGAAAGGGAACACTGTCTTGAAAGAGCAGAGGACAGCATTTCCTCTCTGCCCTATCATGGAGGGGGAGGGACAGAATTAGAGTGCTATGTGAGAGGGCTGTGTGCCTCTGTGCATGCAATCATATGTGTGCAAGTATGAGCGCATGACTGCATGAACAAGAGAAAATGTATATGTGATGTACATACTTTGGTCATGCTCACCACTGCAGTCCTTGGAAGGGTGGCAGATTGCCAATGTGAATGTGACCTGTAGGCTGGAAAAGATTAGCCGTTGCTGTTGTTGAGTGAAACTCCTTCCTTCCTTCTGATTTATGGTGATAAGATAACGAGGGACATTGTTTGTCAGTCTTCTCTGTTATAGAAAGTAATACTATTGGTCACCTAACATCAGTGGGAGTTGTGCTGTCAGTTTATGTGATATCCTTGACTATATATGGTCTCCCATGTTCTGTGGTTATAAACACCGCATTGTACCTATGGTGCACTTGGGAATGTTTTGTGTGGAGAAAAGAAATCCTTTATGTGAACATTAGTCTGCCAAATTTCTCCCATGCAGCAGGGCTTTACTGCTTCCTTTCCCGCTGCAAACCCCTAAGACCTCTTCTGGGGGCAGGGGGCCCTTTAGAACAGCATAGGATGTGACATTAGGGTTCTAGGGTGTGGTTGGTGGGGGTTGACTGCTGCTTTGTTGCTCATCAGTTGATAAAATTGCTCTTAAGTAAAAATCTTTTTTAAAAATTGCATGTTTTTCTGGGTGATACCTCACTGTGGCGCCCCACCTGTTCAACCGACTATTGCTTGTATGAACAGAACTTCCCTTTCCCCCCTCCTTTCCCCTGCAATAGCCCACATGCTTCCCAAATTTGCTCTGGAGGGTTGGGGCAAATTGGGGTGGGGACAGTTGCATCCTTTGCTATGATGTTGGATCTCGCCCTCTGTGTGGCTTTTTGCATAAGCTGTCACTAAATATGTTGAAAGTGAAATTACATTCTGGTGACTCATCTAGCTGAGGAATGAAAGACTGGGTTTATTAGTGAAAAACCTGCATACTCCCAGTATCTTTGCTTGGTGAGAGAAGACACCTCTCGGTTGCCATGACACCAAATTAATTTTTAATACAATGATAATTAAGAGATGGCAGTTGAAGACCATGTGATCTTTCTGCCGAGGAATAGATTTCATGTGTTTGTTTATCTGAAAGGAAATGCTCGTAATTTAGAAATACAGTACACATTTTTGGCTTAAAGCTACTGCTAAAAGATAGATATTTAGTCATAAAATTAGCCTGTCTAGCTCTTTTTGTATTTTAATATAGTTTTATTAGTGTTCACAGATGTCGTACAGACTCTGGAAAGTTCTTAATTTAACAATTAATGTGGAACATTTAAACAGCTCTGTACATTAAGGATTTGTGCTGGTTTATACTTTGAATAGTGAATATAGGTTTGAAAGACAGAACTTTAATTAAGCATCGACAAATACTGATATAGAAAAGTCCCCTTGGTAGTCTGAGATGTAACTGATGCTACTTTTTGTTGAGACATTAAAAAGAAGCTTGTTTTTATTTTGGAGTTGTTTGTTATAAAGAATGTATATTATGTGAATAAAATAATAAAGGATTTGAAAGGGGGGGGGGGAGAAGAAACTTGGTCCAGAGGTCTGCTGGTTCCATAGGCTGTCTGTTAATTTCCATTTTTGCCCTCTTTGCTCATTTTGGACCCATCTGTGGGAATCATTAGCCTCGGAGCATAAGTAACTTCGTTCACTTGTAGATGTATTTAGCCTTGAATTCCAGGCCATTAACTTCTTGATGGTGATTACTAAGCTCTTAATACATAAGAACTAGGATACTGTAATGTCCTTGGCACAGTTCCAAGTGTGTGAATATCAGCAGTTGTTTCCACAGGCAGGATGCGCCAACTGTTGTGTCTAAAAGTTACTGCTATGTGCCAACTCAATATTTCATTAGAGTAGAGCGCATGCACTTTCATTGACTATCCTAAATATAGTCCACTAGTTTTCCTATATCACAGTGTCATCTTAACAATATGGATAATCATCGCTGAATGTTGAAAGCAGCTGAGGTAATTTCACCTCACCATAAGACGTTAAAAAAAAAATACTAACGTTTGTTCTAGGACTGTGAACTATTTTTTTTTTACCTGTTTTCTCCTTGCATATATTTTGACAGCATATTTTATTGGATACCCTTGCACCACTAGGTCCTGTAGCCAAGATGTTCTAGTTCAGTAACAACTCCCTTTTCTGCATGTAGAGTTTACAGCTGAAACATAAATGGGGTGTAGTATACAGAACAAAACTAATTCAATGGTGAGATTTCCAAATCTGTCTGCGCAAGCATATCAGTTTGTCAGACTGAATTATCTCTCCCAGTACATTCTGGGGGTTCTCCTGGACTCTTCCCACTGAGCTTATTTGGGGGGGGGCAGGGGGGAGCCCTTTGCAGAAGTGGAAGTACTAGAACAGGGTTCATTAGGTGAATAAAGCCCCATGTTAATAAGTTTGTATATGTTAATCAATTTTTTTAAAAAAGTTTGCTGCGTTTAGTTTAATTGAAAACTTATATTTCTACTGTTACTCAGAGTAGAGTTAACTTCTTTTTAGATGACGTGAATGCATGTGCCATTATCTCTGGCATGCAAGAGCTGTCTATTTCATTTCATTATTCTGGTTTGGAATTTAGTCCACTTATGCAGTAGGGAATCCTGACTACATGTGGAATGTTGGTTGATGGAGAAGAGAATAGATTGTGCTGGTTTTCACACACGTTTTGTTAATTTAATTCCTTGGGTAGTGAATGTACATGACTGAATAACTTTTGTTTTGCAGACAAACCTCACAATCCTATGGTGAATGCTGGAGCAATTGTGATCACTTCCTTGATCAAGGTAAAATGTTTACACAAATTTTCTGAACTGCATTATTAACATTTTTGTGGAAAGCTATGTTGTGCAATGTTAGATATTGCACGGACAATGAAAATTTTAATTTGAATTGCAGTTTGTAGTCCACACAAGCATGCGGGCAAATATGCAAAAATATTTGAATCTAGAGGGGTATGTGTGAAAGTAACTGTTTTCCTTGCTAGTTTTCTGAAACTAAACCCTACCCTGTATGTTCAAAAACCAGTTCTGGGGTATGGTACGAAATAATTTTAAGGGGAAATGCTCTTGGTGTGTTATTTCTCTCTTCTCCCTCCTCCTTTAAATTTGCTGGATTCCAAACTGCTGTTTGAAATAGGTTGGGTTAAAGATGGGCTTCTACTTTTTTCAGAGTAACACATGCTTCTCTAGATTTGTGGCCTGAATTATATTAAAATGGAAGGAATATTAGATAAGCATAACACCTTCTACTTGAGATTTTATGGATTCTGTGAAACATGCAACTCATTTTAAAGTCTGTTAAATGAGAACTTGTACATCAATTTTAATATACAGTTTAAATTGTTTCTTACATATTTTAGCATTTGTTGCAGTGATGCTCTTCTAGAGGATTTAAAACAAAAATTGTTTCTACATCAAGTGTATATTTTGAATGACAGAATTGTTCATTATATTTACAAGTATTAACATACTTTGGGTGTTTACATCATTAATATGCCTTAATTGCTCATTTAGTGTGATGAGATATCTGTAAGAATTAAAAACTTATACTGGAAGCAGTGGCTCTCTAGAAATAAGTGAAAGCTAATCAACATTTCACTCCCCTAGTAGCCTTAAAAGTGGACAACCTATGCTGTTGATTACATCTTAACATCCATTAATTTGTTTTCAGACTTTTAGATATGAGAGGCTACTTCAGTCTTGGCTCATGATTTTCTGCTTTTCGTTATATTGAATAAAATAAAATAAAATCCTGCTTAAAACATTTATCTTTAATAGCTATAGGTGAAGGAAAATGGCCTTAAGTATGACAGGTAAATTTATTCATGTTTAACTTTTCTCTGTAGGTTTAAATAACTTTGAAATTCATTTTGACAGTGGGTTAGAATAAGCAATATACAATACATCAAATACTTGACTGTAATTATTGCCACAGTACAGCCTGTTACAAAGTACTGTAGGGTAAAATCCAAAGTGCAAACTTTCCTGGAAATAAGTTCCACTGTAATTAGTCTAAAATGTGCTTTTCTATCACAGCAGTGTAGGTTTCAGGCTGTTGTAATATTCTGCAGTTTTAGTTTTTACTGCATGCAATCGTGATATCATGACAAGAACACTATAGCAACTTTTGTAGCCAGTACTGGATTGCATTGAAACTTTGCATGTAGTATACTTGCATGTCCAGCAGACATAAATCACCATATTGCATCATCTGTTTAAAGTGATTGTAAGACATTTTTTGTGATACATCTACTGGGAAGCTATTTTGTAAAAACTGAGTGACTATGAAAACCTAGGAATCAGCACTGGGTTTTTAATACTTGGTTTTAATTTAAAAATATTTTCGCTATCATTCTGAGTTAATTGTAAGCTCACACTTAGTAACATTCACAACCACAGGCTAATGGTATGTTTGCTTGGAAATAAGCCTTGCTGTCTCCAATGAGACCTACTTCTAATGCCTATGTATAGAATTAGAGTAGCTTCATACATGAATTTGGAGCATTTGTTAGCTCAAGATCATAGAATACTAAAATTTCTGTGCTTGGTCTAGTACAGAGTGGCAAGTCAAATGGCTGTTTAAGGCTACAATCCAAAGATGTGATCTGTTTTGTTGAAGAGGGTGCAAAACCTTGGGAATTCATTCATTGCGTATCTTAAACGTGTACCTTATTACATGTTGTTTTTCACAACTGTATATGCAATAGGGCAATAGTTCTAACTGGTTAGCATATTTTGTTTACTACTGCCTTTCATGATGCCATTCTAAACCTACTGCCATTTGAAACCATTAAAATATAACACATATAGTGGCAAGACAATGCTGAGTTGTACCAAAGTCCTTTCCTGTATATAAGGAAAGTTATAGAAGCTCCTTTAGCTTGAGTGGTTAAAGCATATTAGTCACTGACTCCTAAAGTATGGTACATAAGAGAAAGTAAAGTTATTTTCTAGAGCAGTCAATGGCCACCACTGATACAACATTAAGCCATGATTTTAAGGGTCTGGGTTCAAAGAGTGCAACAAGCCAGGCGTTGACTTACTTTGGCTGTGATGTGGTAGCTGCGGGAGTTGGATAGGACCATTGCAGGAAGTGTTTGAGCACTAGCAAGCTAACATAAAGCCATAGTTTGTTTTAAACTATGGTTTGATGTCGTGTACAAATTGGGCCAGTGATAAACATCTCAATTAAAATTAAACTCACTTTGTACAGTACTTAGATGCGGCTGTATTGAGTGTGCAGTAAAGATGTGCCGGGTTTTTGTTGGCCACTCCTGGGGAGATTGCTGGGCTAAATAGATCTCAGATATGGCCTAAGAAAGCCGTTCTTAGTGACTAAGGTTTCTTGTTCTTGCGCATACTCTGGTCTGTTGCTTCTCAAAGTGCTACTATACAGTTTTGGATCTTGCATAGTGGCAGCCGTATGTCAGGAGCTGGGCATAAAAGCCTTACTGAATGAGAGATGCTTGCTATGTGAACCTGCTGAATAATAGTGTATTGACAGCTACAAATCTGTGGTGTAGGACATAGGTGACTGATCGGCATTAGAATTCGAAAGATTTTAATTCTCATGCAACATACCGCATGACCACTGTTAAGAGAGAGGTCATCTAGAGAGGTCAAATGAATAAAGGCCTCAGTGTAACAAATCTTAAGAACTGGTGCTCTGTGGGAATACAAAATAGTTATAATCATGTACATAGGTGAGCAGAGAATGTAATAACAATGATTGCTCCTTTTCACCCATTTTCTAGTGTGCACCACCATAACATGAGGTGAATTCTTCCTTTGGTCAGACCTTGCAGTTCTTACCATGGTTGAAATTTATACGTACACGTTACAATTTTACAGTTTGGTGTTACTACCTTTCCCCGCCCCCTGGCAAGTGCACAATTTAATTAATGAAAGCTATTCTCTTTTCCAAAATTCTAAATACAAAAATCCCCTTATGTGGGAATCCCAAGCTCTAGTTAAAAGATACACGAGTCTTAAATAAACTGCTGTATCTGAACGTCTTTGCAGTTTCTAGATTTACATTTTGAAACAGTATTTGTAATTATTATTTTTAGGTGTAGTTAAGCATAGCAATTGGAGGTAAGCCCTAATTGCCAGCCATTAACCCCTCAGAAGACATGGTTTTCCATTATTAAAATATTTGTCCTAATGCTTGTAATGGTCACTTTTTCAGTTAATGTTTGATAAGTTTTGCAGGGCCCATTGCAATCCAGAATAAACTCCCAGAAAATAGACTAGGTTGGTTTATATACCCAGCGGACCCTTTTTGTTTAATTTTTTATATAGAGACAGTGAAAGAATCGGGATAGCTAATAGAACTGATGTCAAAGTATGTTTTGGAGAGTAAATATTCTTCAAGGTTTTTTTGCATTCACTTAGAGGAAACTCTTTAGAAATTCAGTATCAGAACTGATAATGGATGCTGCTTGTCAATGGATGGGCTCCATCAATGGAAGGATTCCAACAACCTTATCTAAAAATGAGGGGAAGGAAAACCACTTATAAATCATTTTTTTCAGCTTCAGCTATGAAATAATAAATGCAATCATGAGAGCTAACAAAGTAATACCTGGAATAGACCCATTGAAATAAATGGAGTTAAGTAATGTTCATGTGGACATATTCCTAGTGATCAAACTGACTAGGGCAACCTAAGTCTCAGATTGGAACCCATTTACTTATGAAAATGGTGGAGAACTGAACTAACCTCTATCTGCATAGAAGTTGTACTAGATGTAATGAAAGCTAGCAGTTCTTGCAGGCTCATCCCTATAAATGTTATACGACAACTCTGCTCTTCATACCCTATAGCTTCTGAATATATTCAGCCTTTTGTTCTGTGTTTCAGCTGATTACTCAGTTTAGTAATCCTGCAGCTAAATGGATATATGTACAGAAACAGCTTTATTTCTTTAAACATAGATCACATTTCCCTTTCCCTCCCTCCTGCTTACTCAGACATGATACTTGTCTTTTCCTATAGGTTCTTCAAAATTTTATATATATCTGAAAAAAATATTAATAGTAACTTGCTTAGTTTTCCAATGCATGGTCTGTTGTTTATGAAAATATTAATTAATACAACACTTCTGCTGTTTGAGGTTGTCTCTTTCATCTTGACAATCCTTTATTCCAATTTTATAGAAATAGTCCCACTGAGTGAATTTACCAAAGCTCCCCAGTATGTCCATTTCTGAGATGAGACCTACTTAATCCAGGGTCTCCTAGATTCCAATTCAAGCTAGGCTAGAAGTGTTGGTCAGATGTAAAACACAACCAAAGCAAAAGATTATTAAACAATATGGTCTATTTGTGTTCGAAGGTTTAAATGTAACTTGTAAGCAACAATTACAAATTGAGTTTACATATTAAAATTCTAGCCATAAATATAATACTAGTCATAAATATAATACAAGAATTGATCTTGTTTGTGTTTCGATATGCTCTCAAATCATTCAGTCAAGCCCTGATCATAGGCTAGATCCAGAAAAAGTAATATTTTGAGCAGACCCTTTGAAATCAGTGGGACAAATTATCTGTGACTTCCAATTTGCACACTGAAAGTTCTCTTCTGTGCCACTGTTTGGGAAAACTGTATGCATATGGTGTTGATTTTGCTAATAGTTATTTTCCTGACATTGAACTTATGTGGCAGTTTTGGCACATACTGGGTTTCACGCAACTCCAGTGAGCATGTGGTTTATAGATATTTATTTGAATAATTCTGGAACTTTGAATCAGGATATCTTAAGTATTCTGACACCCCCCCCCAAAAAAAAAAATCTGTTCTGGGGGATTCTTTCAACCCTGGGGATGTTGCAGAGGGAGGTGGGGTAAGTTCTGTTGCACAGGTGCTATTCCTTGCAAGTACATAGTTGCATAATCAGCCTTTGGAGGAAGAACCACATAAGCTTGCATAATACAAGTCAAGTAACAGTATTAAGCACAGAATTAAACATGGTGAGGTAGTACCTCAAAACTGAGAGCTATAAGAAAAATCTAAGTATTGCTGAGATCCTATTGCATGCTGATGCAATTATAATATAAATAAATAAAATGAGAGCCTATCCTCTAATTTAATATGGATATGTAAACGTTCTTTTAAAAACTTGCATGAATGGTGTGTCATTGGATTGTCTCAGTCTAAAACTACTTTGTGTTCATAGACGTTCATTGTATATACACAAAAGTGTGCATATACACATAAATATACATTCAAGCATGCACACTGCAAGTGTGTATATGTATATATTATGTTTGTGAAGTTATTGCATGGTACGTTTGTAGACAGATGAACTGCTTGTAAAACTTCATATATAAAAAACTTGAGACTCCACAAAGTGGAAAATTAGACTGAAGTCAAAATAAAATTTGGAGAGAACAAAGAACTGCTCTATGTTCCATCTCAAAGTTGCCGGGGGAAATATTTTCACAATTTCCAGGGGGGAAAACAACTCTCAAATATTTGGTGCCTCATTTCTGGTTGACTTTACCTACAACTTTTGCCTCCTTTAATCTGTAAAAGAAATGGGAAAAACTGGCAGTGTTAAGAACCTGCATTAAGAGTCCCATTTTAACGAATAGTTCATGCAGTACAAGCTAAATCCAAGTTTAGGGTTTTGCTTTTTAAAGATGCTTACTTTTTAATCAATGTGCTTAAACTGGTATCTAGAAGGTGCTGTGAAAGAGTGTTTTTTGTGTGTGTCAGGGGTTGTTTTTTTTTTGGAGCTAAAGGCAGGGAAACCCTGAATTTGATAAATGCTGAAATAAGTTTGCTCAGACACCATTGTTTGCTATGTTTACTCTGCTAATAGTATCAAACATATGAAGATGCTCCTTTGGTTTTTTTGCAGTTAAGGTCGGGTGCGGGGAGAGAACCAATCCTTTCTGTACTTTTGGCATTAAGCATCTTTCTCCTTACCCTGTAATACGGGGGAGAAATGCAAAACTTGTTTCAGTTTTTAACTGCCTTAACCTTAACGACAATGACCAGTACGGCATCCCGTAACTAATGCTGACCCACTTTCCCAAAGCAACATTCACTGTGCATTTAAAAGGTTTTTGTGGTTTAAATGTTGTTACATATTTTACAGCATTAGGATCTATGGAATATTTTGACAACTGCAACAGTTCAATGAAGTTGGTAATTTCTTCTTTTAATTATTTTTTCATTGAACAGATTTGGAGTTACACTTTTTTAAAAGCTTGTTTTTCTAATGCCTTTCAACACAATGCTTAACCTTTTTAGCGTATTTCTTAAATAGTCATTGACTATGGGTAGCAGTATTTTTACTTTATTGGTGCATAACTTTTGACACAACAGTGTGGTATTCTTTCAGCTGGTGATCATACGTGTATGACTGCACATCACTAGATGAGCTGGTGCGTGTGGCTTCACAGATTATCTGCAACACCCTAATCCACTTGTAGAATGGGAAATGAGGCTGGCTTTATGCATTTCATGAGTAGAATTCTGGTACATACAGGATTCAGGTTTTTTTTTTCTTTCCCCTATATTAAACATAGTGCAAGTAATGTTTTTTGGATTGATTTGAGGTAGTGCTTTTAGATAACAGAACTAAATAACATATTAACCCAATGTTTCTGAGGCATTAAGTAATGCCTATTAATTTGTGACAGTCTGTTTTTAAAGTTTATTAAGTATATTTATAATAATAAAAAAATAAACTTATGCAATATGCATCCATCCATCCTGATGCTTAACAATAGATTCCCAGCCACATTTAGTTCTGGAGACGGTCTGTTGTTAAAATGGTATTCACAACAAATCTCTTAGAAATTGCCTGTCAAGTTAGTCCTTTGGACACACAGATACAGTTGCTAGACTGTTGTTCGGATAAGGATAATGCTTCTTTATCCTATACCACCGCTTTCCCATCAAATATGGTAAATCTGACTTATTTAAAATACCCTACCTCCATAGCGGTTTATAGCTGTGTTTCCATAGTGTTTATTTTTTAAATTTTGAGCTGGCAACCAGGGATATTCTTGAAAATAAGAGACAACATATGGAAAAAAACAGCACAGTTAAAATAACCAGTTTTGTTTTTTTGACAAAAGAAAATACCCATTTTAAATATCCACATATCAAGTACCTGTAGCAAGAACTTGATTCTGTGGCCACAACCCAGAGTAGAGTGAATGGAGATCTGTACAGAGAGGCTTTCCCTTTTGGGGTAGCAAGTTCTCTTTGCCCCCAATATAATTTACGCAGAGTAACAGCTTGGGCCAGGGCTCCTAGATATATACACCCAGGCATTGATGATTGAGGGCTTTACACTTGCTATATCATATAGCAAGCATGAAAACATAACAGTGCCAATTGTAGAGTTGCCTTTATATCGTTCCTTGAGTTTCTAAGCAAGGGTATAATGCTGAAATAGGGGCTGTGTCAAGGTAGAGGGAGGATTGTGCTCTGTCCTTTGAGTCCCACTGATGCTTAAATGGGCATTTTAAAATGTTTGCCAGTTAATAAAATCCAGGCATCTTTTGAACTGCATTTGGACAGTATATCTGCTACTGCAATTTCTGTTATACTGTAAGATGCTTACCTATAAAACTTTGGAATTAATGGCTGGGGTGTAAAGATGCTTATGCACACACCCAGGATTTCCCATGCGTGCATCAGGGCATCCTTGATACTTTCCCCAATTGCTGTTTGTGCTGTTTTGGAGTCATTTCCTAAGTTTTGACAGCAACTTAACAAGTGGCAGAAGGGATGCACAAATGGAAGTTCTCAGCTGGGATGTGAGGGCGATCTGGCTGCGACATCTGTCACCCCATTGATCGCCAGGGTTGATTCGGCTGATGTGGCTGGCTAGGCGGGTGTCCCCTTCCTCCCTCACCGCTCCATGTGCGTCCCTCCCGAAGCTGCGCGCTCGGTGGAAGAGGACGACCATCCCAGATAGAAGGAGTGTACCGTTCTTCGGTCAAGGGTATACGATAGCTGCGCTCCCCTGCTAGAACCTCCAAACAAGCTCAAGGTCCATTTGTAGGAGAACGTAGGGTAGTCAAGCTTCCAAGACTCCAGACACATCCAAGTAAGGTGCTGCATGTGGCAGTTTGCCATTCTTTTCGAAAAAGAAAAAAAGGGGGGGAAAAGGAAGTTCTCAGCTGGACTCTTTGGTTATAGCTAGACTTTTTCATGCAGTTGCCCTTATAGCAGTGGTAACACTCATCTTCTACTCAATAGTTTACGTACAACTGTCACTGGCCCCTAAATAAAATAGCACTGAACATTCTAGTATCCAGCATAATGTAAAATAAAGTCTTGGACTACAAGAATGGAACGTTAATGTATCCACTGATTACAATAAACTATAAGTGAATTTCCAAGGCACTAATTCATAATTGAGTAGAGCACTTAAAATAAAGCTAGCCTTATTCAATGTTCATCTCTGTTTCCTCACCTTAGTAATTTTCAAAAACTGAAACTTTCTGTAGTGTTCTTAAGTTTGATATAAACAATTTAGTAATCTAACTTTAGGTATTTAGACTAATAAATAAAACAATAGTTTAACATTAAATATTTAAGTAGTTATAGATTATTATGAATTATTTTCTTTAACTAAGTTAAATTAGAATTAAAACTTCTCTTGTATTAACAAACTTTGTAAATGTGTCTTCTTTCCTTTCAGCAAGGAGCAAATAATGCTGAGAAATTTGACTATGTAAGTGAACCATCAAACCTTTTAAAAATTATTTCCCATAGTTGAGTTTGAAACTGCAGGGTAAAATTTTATTTTTGTATTTGCTTTTTTCCCTTCATTTCTGATCTGTGAACTGGCATTCAAAGTCTAATTTAAGCAAAAGAAAAGAAAAGCCATAATCTTGCTCCTGTAGAATGAACTTGGGTTCTGAAACACACCACGCTATGATAAACTTTTCATAGTTGGTGCTTTCGAGAATCAGTTTCCTTCCTTTTTGTATTATTTTCAATTTCTGAAAGTCTACATTGCTTCTGAAGAAGGAACTTCAGTTCCAAAACATGCCAAACATCAATAAACTTTAATAGTTGGCGAAAACAGCGAAAACATTGAAACACCTAAGTATTGTTTGTGCAGCTTAACAACCCAGTTCTCACAAAATGCTAAGCCATTGTTCAGCATTATAGGGACAGTCCTTGGAGGCAAACATTGCCCTTTCATCTTTCAGTCCAAGGAGGAAATGGAAGCATTTGTTTCCTGGTTTAAAATAACCACAGTTTACATCTAAACTGGACCAAAACTGTAGTTACTTTACACTATGGTTTATTGAAATAAGCCAGATAATAAACCCTACTTTGATCTCGTCTTGTTTCATTAAACAGTCAGTTAAATTAACCTGAGTCCCTCAATGGGACATGACATAATAAACTGGCTTCCTCTAGACCACAGAAGTGGAAGCTCCCAATCTCATGGCTGTGCTGAAGGAGGAGTGGAAGTGCATAAACCTAAGGCTTGTTCTCGTGATGCAAAACCAAGGTTTCATATTTCATCTGAACCAAGCCAATGAATGTTGAATCCTAGGCGTATGGGGATAATAATAATAATATAATAATTTATTATTTATACCCCGCCCATCTGGCTGGGTTTCCCCAGCCAATCTGGGCGGCTTCCAACTGAATATTAAAAACAGTACAGCATCAGACATTAAAAACTTCCCTAAAGAGGGCTGCCTTCAGTTGTCTTTTAAAAGTAAAATAGTTGTTTATTGCCTTGACATCTGCTGGGAGGGCGTTCCACAGGGCAGGCGCCACTACCGAGAAGGCCCTCTGCCTGGTTCCCTGTAACCTTACTTCTCGCAATGAGGGAACCGCCAGAAGGCCCTCGGCACTGGATCTCATTGTCCAGGCTGAATGATGGGGGTGGAGACGCTCCTTCAGGAATACAGGACCGAGGCCGTTTAGGGCTTTAAAGGTCAGCACCAACACTTTGAATTGTGCTCGGAAATGTACTGGGAGCCAATGCAGATCTCTCAGAACCGGTGTTATGTGGTCCCAGCGGCCACTCCCAGTCACCAGTCTAGCTGCCGCATTCTGGATTAATTGCAGTTTCCGGGTCACCTTCAAAGGTAGCCCCACATAGAGCGTGTTGCAGTAGTCCAAGCGGGAGATAACTAGAGCATGCACCACTCTGGCAAGACAGTCCGCGGGCAGGTAGGGTCTTAGCCTGCGTACCAGATGGAGCTGGTAGACAGCTGCCCTGGACACAGAATTAACCTGTGCCTCCATGGACAGCTGTGAGCCCAAAATGACGTTACTGTACATTCTGAAAACATTGTGATGCTTCTTTAACAGGTGATGCAGTTCATGAATAAGATGGCTGGAAATGAATACGTTGGGTTCAGTAATGCCACGTAAGTATGCTTTTTAGTTTTAAAAATTTCCTCTTTACCCAGTTTCTTCTTGAGTCTATACTTAGTTCTGCTACCGTAAGTTAGGTAGTAAGTACATTGGAACCTCGGTTTTCGAACGTAATCCGTTCTGGAAGACCGTTCAACTTCCGAAACGTTCAAAAACCGAGTCACAATGGGCAGTCGGCAATTTCAATGGAGAAAATTGAAAAACCCTCAGTGGAAGCTGTTCAATTTCCAAGGCATGTTCGAAAACGAAAGCAATTACTTCCGGGTTTTCGGTGTTCGAAAACTGAAATGTTTGGCTTTGGAGACCCTCGAAAACCAAGGTTCCACTGTAGTTCAAACAAGTGTTGGTTTATTCAAATGGAGCATGATTTATGCTTGTCCTCACCAAACACTCCCTTTTCTGAGTCGTGTAGCACTTAAGGAAAAGGAGATGTGGTTCCTTCAAAGGCCCAGGGAGGCAGTTTCTCCTTTGTAAGTGGCTTTTGGGGAAGCACCAGCAGTGACTCACTACTGTTGCCGCCTCCAAAACTCCACTTCTTCCAAGCTCTCTTGAGAGAAGAAAATATATTTCTTTTTCTTTTCTTAGGATTTTTCTTTGGGGGGGGGAGCAGTAGCAGGGCATGCCCAACTGCAGTACAAAAACTAGTTCTTTCCATATTATTGTGGAGGGAAATAGGTGGTTTTTCAACTGCAGAGTTGGGTGGAAGGTTCCCTCTGCAATAACTGAGCAGAAAAGGAAAGAGACCACCACCACCCCTTTTCTCCACGAAAAAGGCAGGCAGTACTGTTCCTTTTTCCATCAGGTTTTGCTGGATGCGGCGGCTGGTGTTTTTTCTCAGCAGCTCAACGTGCCAGGAGGGAGAGCATTTTTGAGGATGAAAGGAGAAAGAGTTTTTGCCACGAGCAGGACATTTTGCGAAAGCACAGGGAGTGTTCGCTGGACAGCAGAAGGACATTGCCACTAGCAAATAAGATTATGAAATCCTGATTAAAATACGCTCAGGATGCTTGGGGAAAAAAGGAAATTCTAAAATTCCATTGCTTCATTGCCTTATTTTCAGCCAACAAAAGTCAGCCAGAAGAAACAGATCTTAAAAGCTGCTGAAAGATGTTTTGGCATTGGAGCATCTTCTACGGAAAGAGTTGGATTGCTGTAGTTCAGCCACCCCTGAGTGAATGCTTCTCTGTGTCTTTTGCAGACTATACTTGACTCATGATGTTATGTGGTCTGGCTCAAGGAACAGTCTGCTTTGGAGATGCTCAAACCGAACTGTTAATAGCTTTGTAAAAGTTATGGAGGGAGGTAGCACCTTGAACTGTGTTTCAAAAGCAATATGAAGCCAGTGCAGATTCTAGAGTGCTGATAGAATTGGCATCCATTGATGGCTTGCCAGGAAGCAGCCTGCTGTACCAGTTAAAGCCTGGCCTAGCTTCAAAGTTCATAGAAAGGTGCATGATCAGAGTTGGAAAGGAACACAAGGGCCATTTAGTCCAACCCCCTGCAATGCTGGAATCTTTTGCCCAACATGGGACTCAAACCCACAACCCTGAGATTAAGAGTCTCATGCTGTACCCACTGAGCTACATTATATGGGAACTGCAGGTTGCCACTCCCTTGCTCATCCGATATATGCAATGAAACGCAATCATGGAATCCTTCTAGTTTAGAAATTGTTTTTTTGCTGCAAAACTAAGAATTGCTTGTTGCATCTGTAACACTTCCCCTTTCCTGGGAGTGGGCCCCACTGCACTTAGTACAAGTTACTTCTGTGTAGACATGTATAGGTTTGCACTGACCGTATTTTACGACCCTTTCTATTTTCCTTATTTAATAATTTGCAGTTTTACTGAAAATTTATTCAAATCGGACAATGAAGAAATGCTCAATAGGCAGCCTTTGTTGTTGTTTTGGCCAGTAATGCCCTATGGCACTAATTTGTTTTTAAACTAAGTTTAAACGAAGCTTGTGTCTTGCGAAACCTGTAGATTGGGTAGCTAACATTTTTTGGGCCAGTGGACAGGCACATTTGGATTTTTTAAAATTTCCTGGGGGCTGCCACATCCAAAAGAAAAGGAAAAAAAGACAGGGCCACAAAAAGGCACAGGCGTGCTCCCCCTCCTCCCCATCAGTGGAAAAAAGTCGTGTACACCAACCATCACTATGCTCAGTGTGGCTTTTTAAGGGATTAAAGACAAAGACCTTTCACAGACACCACGGGAGAGGCACCCATGAGTCGGCAACCATTTATGTAGCCACTTAAGCCTCTCTATTAAAGAAGGTGGCAGAACTATCAACATTAACAAAATGTCATCAGCATACAGAAATTAATTCTGTCTTGCTAAATAAATATTATGGTGTTTTTTTTTAAAGTTGTATCCTAGTCAGAAGCTTTCAGTACCGTTAATAAGTATCCTGGTCTTAAGGTGCATTTTCGTATTTCCTCACACTAGGTTCCAGTCTGAAAGAGAGAGTGGAGATCGAAACTTTGCAATAGGTTACTATCTGAAAGAGAAAAAGGTATGTTGGAGGGTTACATAGCCACCAGTTTCTTCACTTTTCAGGCCATGTACTAAGCAAACTACCACAGAACAGCCTTTCACATACAGTCAAACCTCGGTTGTCAAATGTAATCTGTTCCGGAAGACAGTTCGACTTTCAAAATGTTCGACAACCGAGGATCAAAGCGCAGTCGGCAAAGTCAATGGAGGAAAAAAGGGGGGAAAAAAACTCACCGGAAGCCATTCAGCTTCCAAAAATTGTTCAAAAACAGGAGCAGTTACTTCCAGGTTTTTGGCGTTCGGGAGCCGAAACATTCCAAAACGGAGGCGTTTGGGAGCCAAGGTGTGACTATATGCATAATAAGTATAGGATATAATGTTGATTCACCAAAGGGTGCATGCAAGGTAAAGCAGCAGTTTCTGCTGTTTGGAAACTTATTTGTATGCCACTTTTCCACAAGATGGTGTCCAAAGTGGCTCTTGCATATCTGATAAGCAGCAATAAATATAAGTCACTTGCACTTCCACATTCTTGTCAGATGTACCTATTCCTCTACAAATATGAAGTCACAAACAGCCTGTTCTGTCAGCAGAAACTACCTCTAATTGGATTTTGGCTATGATGTCATGATACCACCTCCATATCTGTGAAACCTCATGGCCTAGCTTGTGTACTAAAATCCTCTGCTATTTTTCCTAGTGTTTTCCAGAAGGCACAGATATGGTTGGCATATTGGACTTCTACTTCCAGGTAATTATCTGAACTTGATGTCTATAATCCTGAAAGGGAAATGTAAAAAGCTACAGAAATAATCGGGCAAGTGTAACATTGACAAAAATCTCAAAACTGGGGTCAGCAGTTAACAGTTAACTATACTGCAATACTTAACTAACTTACTTTTGCATATTTCATAAAGGCAATAAAAATGCTGTACCCCAATATCAGATGCTATAAAACTATCTTTAAATTGTTATTGTAGTCTATGGAAGTTAGAGTAAGTTATCTTAGCTCTGGATTCTTATTACAGTGGTACCTCAGGTTACAAACAGCCTAGCCAACGAACTTTTTGGATTACGAACACTTCAAAACCAGAAATGAGTGTTCTGGTTTGTGTATTATTTTTTAGATTGCGGATGTACTCCGTGTGTGCACTTTCGTTTTGTTGGCACGGCCTTCCCTTGCTTAGCGTGGCAGCGGCAGCAGCAGAGAGACCCAGTGCTTTCTCTCCACAATGCATGCCAGGCCCACGCTCCCTCGCCCCAGTCCCTCGGCACGCTCTGCTCTCCCAGCCTCGAGAGGTGCGCCTCCTCCCGTCTGGCGCAAAGCACCAGCTCAAGAGCAAGCGAGCGCGGAGCTCAGCCCGGTGGTGGTGGCAAATGAGGGAGCCGCCTGCAGCCCAGAGCAGTGTGCCACAAGCCCCGTGCTTTGCCTACTGCTTCCTCCGGATCATCCTGGTTGCCATAGCCCCATTCCTTCCGGTTCCATCCTGCCTCCTTCCCAGAGCGGGCGGGCTCAGCAACGCAAGCGGGCAGCTGGAGCCAGGGAGCCCAAAGAGCCGTGCACCTGCCATTCCGTTTCCCTCAGTCGGCGCTTTGGCGCTTCCGCAGCAGAGGGACCCAGAAGAGGAGAAGGGGGTTGCTGCAGCATCATCCCGTGGAAGCGCCGACTGCAGACAAATTGAATGGAAGGTGTGCAGCTCTTTGGCTTTCCTCCCTAATCTGCTGACAGCTCATTCCAGATGCTGCAGTCTATAGCTGGGTCTAGATTTTGTAAGGCAGTCTTTTAATCTGTTTACTTACGCAGTATACCACTTGTGTGTCATAGTTTGTAACTGTTCCTACCCTCACTCCCCACCTTTCTTAAGCTGTGTTCCATAGAAGTGACTTGCGAATCGGCCAGTGTAATGGCAGCAACGTTGGCTAATGGAGGGTTTTGCCCAATCACTGGTGAGAGGGTACTGAGCCCAGAAGCCGTTCGGAACACTCTAAGTTTAATGCACTCCTGTGGCATGTATGACTTCTCAGGACAGTTTGCCTTCCACGTAAGTAGCATTTTCAAACTAGCATTTAGTAGCCGCGCCAATAGGAAACATTTAGGCTAAGCTGTATCGTTCACTCTCTAAAGTAGCAATTTTAAGCTTTTACTTAATGTTATTTTATCTAAAATGTTTATATGCTGCCTTCCATCAAAACTGATTCAGCTCATGACAATATAAAGTGACAAGACGCAAAGTTGAAAATACAACTCAATAAAACGGTAAAAGCTGTAGTTCAAATAGCAAGTAAATAAATAAATAACCTAGCAGAACGTTATTTAAATAAATAAAATAAGTAGGTGAGACCAAAAAGTTTAGCGAAGTTGACACCAAGCAAACAGCCATGGGGAGGTCATTACATACCTGGCTGACAGCTGCTTCCTTTCTGATGGCAGGCACACTCTGACAAGGACGTTGGAATTAGAGTATGGGGACACTGATAATGAATCTCAAACTGTTTAGGACTGTGCCTGTTTGTTTCAGGGTCCAATTCTATCATGAAATTCTTTTAAAAGCAGGTGTGATCGTGGTCTTAATGAACTGTTCTAGTTGATGTTCTGAATTGAAGCTTCCAGTCAGTCTTTGGAGACTGTTTCACATGTAACAACAACATGTAGCTCAACCAGGAGGTTATGGCAGCCTAGGTCACCATAGTAATACTGTCCCTATCCAGCAGTAGTCACAGCTGCAGCTAGTCAAAGGCGCTGCGTCTTTTGGAGGCCCAGGTTGTGTCTGTGATAATGGCAAACTCCGAGCTTACCTGTATGAGTGCACCAACTAAATAATACCTGGGACATGAGTTGACACCAATAAGTCGATCCTGAAAAGCTGTCTTTGGGACTACTTCAGTTATGGATGGCCACCGAATGTTTAAGTTCTGATATCTTTTAAGCCCTTAAATTTTAAATATATTTTAAATCCTTAAATGTAAGCCTTCCCGTTGTTCCCTTTAATCTAGGTTGGTCTTCCTGCAAAATCAGGGGTTGCTGGTGGCATTCTGCTGGTTGTTCCCAATGTTATGGGCATGATGTGCTGGTCCCCTCCTCTGGACAAGATGGGCAACAGCGTTAAGGGGATACACTTTTGTCACGTAAGCAGCAAGCCTTCTCACTTGCATATTTTCTTTGGTTTGCATCAGAATTTTAGTAGACTTTCCGTTTTCATGCCCACCTCTAATTTCGTCATAATCTAACAGATGGGCAGGCAAAGCTGTACTTGCTCTGCAGAATTGGTTTTTGCAAGTGCTTGGAAAATGTCATCTGGAAAAACCTTTTTCAGATTCCAGCATGAACGATGATTCATGTTAGGGCTGAGCCAGATACTAAGGCATGTACATTATTTCAATGTGAAAGAAGATATTCAGGGCTCCCTGATGTTTGCAAGAGCCACACCCGTCTCATTTGGCTTATTACTGTTTGTTCCTTGCCCCATTTGGCTGCAATTTGCATGGTATTTTGAGAAAAGAGCCAGCTGTCTTCTGAATAATAGAGCTCCAAAAAGCAACTGGTCAGTGTTATATCATGATGTCACTGAGGCTACCTGTTAAACAAAAATGATGCTAAATCTGCAGCTTTAAGCAGCAGCTGCAAAGAGGGAGTACATTTTGCAGGTGAAAAAAGTCTTCCAAAATGCACTTATCTGTTTCAGTCTAGCAGTTCACGTATTGTTGGCTGCCAAAAATGCTGGTTCTTTGCTTTCTATTCACCTACGAATCCATAAGTTTCAACAATATTTCAAACCAATTTTAGATGATTATTATTATTGGAAAATTCATATCAACCAGTGAGCTTTTCTAATGGGCTCCAGTTAGCTATGTAATCAGATAATAACAGACTAGATGTGTAAAGCATCGAAACTTATAAACTTTGCTGGTTTGCACATAGACTAATGTGATGTTCTGACCATTGCAGGAACTGGTATCTTTGTGCAATTTCCATAATTACGATAATTTGAGGCACTTTGCGAAGAAGCTTGATCCTCGCAGGGAAGGTGGTGATCAGCGGGTAAGTAGGAAAGGTATTTCAGGTTATTAGTGTGTATTGTGTATTTACTAGGTTTCTCCTTTTCCAAAATAAGATCAATCAATGACATGCATTGCATCAATATGTAAATTCTAATGGTTCAAGTTCAGTTTACCTAATTGCCATAAGTGGAGCTTAGTGCCAGATGTTGTGTTTTTGCCATTTTGCCTACTCTGTTAGTAATTTGGCACCTGGTAGCACACTAGGTTTTGCTGTTGCTTTTAGCATGCCTTGGTTTGGTTTAGTATATTCAAGCCAGCCTCAAGCAAGGCCGTCATTTATAGTAAGATCTAAAGTCATCTTGGGCCAATTAACTATGGAGCAACGTTGGCATGCCTTCCAAAGTACAGTGGTACCTTGGTTTTTGAGTGTCTCAGAAGCCGAACATTTCGATTTTCAAAGACCAAAAACCCAGAAGTGAATGCTTCCGTTTTCAAACGCGCCTCGGAAGTCAAACGGCTTCCGAGGCGCGTTACTCAATTTTCTCAATTGAATTTGCCGACCGCCTTTTGCCACCTCAGTTGTCAAACGTTTTGGAAGTCGAATGGTCTTCCAGAACAGGTTACGTTCGACAACCGGGGTACCACTGTATAGTCAAGTCTCCGTGTACATGTTTGCAGTATAGATGCGGGAAAACCCCTTTGTTATTCCTGGTGCTCAGGGTAGCAGTTGTGAACTGCCTTTTGCAGTGTCTGGTGCTCTGTTGGCTGCATTAAGAATTGCTAGAAAAAGGAAGGAAGCTTCCCATTTAGTTTTTCTCCTAACTATACTGGATGGCTTGGAGAGACGCTTATGCAATCTTCCTCTTCTGGCTATAGCTCTTAGGTCTCACAGAGTACTTTGGGGGCACAGTTTTGATATTTTTTGGGGGGGGGGGAGGGACTACGATTTTTGGCCAGGTCAAACAGACCCCTGGCTAGGATCGCCATGCTATTGTGGGAATGACCCTCTGCCCACCTGCAGCTCCAAGGCCAGGGGAGCAGCAGTGTGTGAAGCCTAATGGGGAGGGGACAGCTGAATAAGGAAAGTGAACCCCGAATCCAAGAATTGGGCCTTCTGAATATCCCCAACTTTCCGTATAGTGAATGAAGCTGGTTGGAGGAGTGGCTCTTGCCTTCCCTGCCACTCCCTGCATTACAGAAACCCCCTTAACTGTCTCAAAACTGAATGCATAACCATGTCAAGAGGTAGCGGAAAGTCAGTGCTAACAGCTGGCTTAATGCTAATTGCTAAATATCAATAATGCTAGAATGTTTCCCCCCCACCAGTAATCTAACAAATAATGTGTGTTGCTTGAACAACTAGCATTCCTATGGACCGCTGGACTATGAGAGCCTTCAGCACGAACTTGCATTAAAAGAGACTGTGTGGAAAAAAGTGTCACCCGAGGCAAACGAGGACATCTCCACCACTGTAGTGTATAGAATGGAAGGTCGAGGAGAGCAAAACTAAAGAAATGGGCTCTAGTTTCAGAGAGAGTTGGTTTTCATCTTTAAACATGCTCCCGTTTTTCTAGATCGCACAGTTCCAGAGAAGCTAGTTTTGTTTTCAGTGTTTTGTAAATAACTGCTCCGAGATACCAAAGATTAGTATCTGGTTTTATGCAGATTCCTTTTAATCGCTTTTTCAGAAAGCAAGCGGAAATAAAGCACGAAAATGTGTGTGGCCTATACTTGCAATTGTATCATGCTTAAGGAATGAATTCAAAAGGGAATTTCATGGGGTATTAAAAAAAAAAAATACAGAAAATTTGCAGTGCAGCAAAACACAAAGGTATATTGGCTACAAAAGAAAATTGGAACGATAGATGTAGAAAAAATAATACCCGAATCATATATTTTTTATGTGGATAAATTTTACTGTTGTCACAATTTGCTTAGATTTTAACAGACTGTTAAACAAATCCTCCGTTAGATTTTTTTCTCTCTCTGTCTTTTAGTATCTTAATCCTAAACATTTGGAAGCAGGTTCATTTGCTTTCAGTTCAAGCAAATATATGCAAAGTCATTCATTCAACTTGTGCAACATTGGAAAAGGCTGAAAATGAATGGAGGTGATAGGATTCTTTGTTTCAGTCGTTATGTAACAATATGTAGAAACCTAGTTTAAACAACTCTTAAATCTATTGAATATTGAAATATACCAAAGTATAGAATAGTATTAATAAGTTCAAGTTAATCTTCTAATAGCAGCATATTAGGAAACCATGCTTGCGTTGTGCCTTTGATTTCTGAAAAATGATAGAACCAATGGTTGAGAGACACACACTCCATATATATTATAATATATATATTACTCTAGATTCTGCCAGAAATAAATAACAATAGGTGCAATAAGAAAGAAAGCGTTTCACATTTGAGAGCCCTTTAACACACAGAGGCATTGCTTTTCTGCCGTTCGCTGAAAGTGGTATTAAATGCTTTTCAGAACCTCCAGTTTTAACATAGCAAGGGGAAGGAACTTTGTGGTAGTCTGCACATTTTTACATGCAGATCCTGGCACCTCCAAGTAGATCTGGAGCTTTTGTATGAAACTCCTAGAGAGGTTTGGTTGTAGTGAGGTGGATGAGCTGGTGGTCTGACTTCATATAAGTCAACTTCCTATGTAATTAGCAACCCTGTTTCCCCTTGACCAATATCTTCTTAGAATGTCTGCTCACAGGAAATTTACATTCAACAAATGCCCTTTCTAATGTTAATTAAAAGCTTCCTGTTCAGAAGCTCAACCTGCTTCATTGCTTCTGTGATCCTTGTGGCTGGAAGAGCGGTGATGAATTACCCTTTATTTAGTCAGCTTCTGTTCCTGGCGTGTGTCAATTTAAGTCTGTGCTGCTTCACTATAATGAAATAAAAGAGGGGATTAAAAGTAATAATGGAAAGCAACACCTCTTTCCTCCCTCCCTCCCTTTTGTGGGGGACAGAAGTGCAGTCAGTGACATTGCTGCGCTTTCTGTGAAAAGAGAGGGGGGTCAGGGGTCAGCACTTTGTGAGTGCACCAATTCCAGTACAGGATTGGTTCTGGCAATGTATCTGAAAACACTAACCTCACCACCACCTCTCCCTCCCAGTAAGTACAACAATGGTCCTGAGAGGAGGTTAGGTATCCAGCACTACCTCTCCCTTAAAAAGGGGGGGGGGATTAAATAAAGGGCAGTTCATCCCTACGTGCTGACTTGGGGAAGCAATAAAACGGTCTGAACCTGCAAACAGGAAGCTTTCACGTGAAAGGTACAGTTCCCCTAAGAAGTCCTAATAGTGAATTGCTCGTACACAACTGACAGGATGTTGCTGCAATTGCATTTTACAGCAAAACCCCCACAACAAATCAGGTCTGGGAAAAGCACAGAAGGATAACACAAAACACTAGATTGCAATGATTTAACAGCGTTGTGCCGATTCCTTGCAAAAATTGAATGAACAAGAGACGTCCACCCCAGAGGAAAGGGTTAGTGTGGAAGCAACCTACATCTTTGATCTAGAACCAGCCATGAAGAAAGTAGACCATGATCCACTTGTGTACCACTTAGCGCCTTTGGGCTACTGGGATTCCTGAAAAGAATGCTGGATTAAGTGGATGTGAGTCTGATTTTGTACGGTACTTCTCACTGTAATCACTGGCTAACTTTTTAATGCACATTGATTATTCCTAAACTGCTAGGAGATCTGAAGTATGAAGTCTGTCTTTGTGAGTTTAAAACATGTTGGTGAATCACACAAGAGTGAAATAATGCCATCCCTGTCCTAGTTAAGGGACATTCAAACCTTTGAGTGGGAATGGAGGGCAAGGGAGCGAAGCGGCATCTGTAATTAAGGGATGGGTGTTTTGTGTATCTGCCATCCTCCCAAATGAATTAGGAGGCCCCTGCATTTTTCTGAACATGAAATCTTCTCTAAAAGAGGAGAGAGTTGCAATCTGAAGACCCACCACCAGTTGATCCCAAGGAAGGAAAATATCCAAACAACCCCTCAGACAAACATGGGTGTCTTTATTGTATGGGAGATGTGGGCGGTGTCTGATGAACCTGAGCAGCAATAAAGAGGACCATGCACTAAGCCAGGGGTGTGCTCTTAAAGCTTTAAAAAGAAGAGGACAGGAGATGAAATAAACCAAAACCAAAAAGCATGCAAAAATTCTATGGGGTCTGGGATGATAAATCAGCACAACTGTTGGGAGAGTGGAATGTGGCACTCAGCGTCTCCTGTATTGTTGTGATTGGGATGACCTGAATAATTGTATTTGGACTGGAAGGTGTTACGGTGCAAGCTTGTCACAGTCCTATTGGTAGGGTGGCCTATTGAAGACAATCTGGTATCTTCAACTGGTGCAAAATTCAGCCACTAGAATGCTTGTAGGGGCTAGGCGGTTCATTATACCAATTTTACATTGGTTATCCATTTCTTTTGAGGCTTAGTTTAAATGTTATTTGAAGGACCTCCTATATCTTATATGAATCTCCCTGGGTCCTAAGATTGATCTCACAGGTCCTGCTTCCTGGCCTACCACTAAGGCTGATCAAGGTCAGTGAGTATCAGGGACAAGGCCTTGTCAGTAGCGGCCCCCGTATTCAAAGAATTCCCTTTCCTGAGAATTCTGCTTGGTCCCTTCCCTTGAGGCCTTTAAGCAAACTCTGATGGTGGTTTTTATACTGCTGGGCTTCTTGATTGCCCCCTATATTGCTGGCTGCCTATAATTTTATTTTCTGCTGTTTAGTTATGGGGTTGTTGGTTTTTTTGCATTCAACTGTTTTATGTTTACACATCTGTTATAAGCTGCCTTGTGATGGCTTGCCCTAAAACGGAGAGTGGCAATTAATAATAATAACAATTTTGTCCTCTTTAAATTTCTGTGGCACTGCATGCTTCCTGAGGAGAGAGGATGAAGCATGGACTTGTGTTAGCCTGTGTATCCTCCACTCCTGTGCATATTTTTCTCCCCGTGTTTCCTTGGGGATATTGGCCTCACACTTTCAGAAAGTTGAGCCTACACAAGGTTTAGCCTGGAGGATGGCTCATGGGAGACCATTAAAACATTAATTTATGTGCTATGAAAAGTGATGCTCAGAGAATGGGTTTCAGCTTCTTTGAAGTACACTTTGTGATGGACGTAACACTTCCCTGACCCATCAGTGCTGTTACGACTTGTCTGGGCTGTTGGTTTCAGTTAATTACAAAATATTTGCTGGTCTTTGGCGTCCTTTTGGTGTCCTTCGCATGCCCCTATAATTGGTTCAATGCGTTTAAGTTGAAAGCAATTCAAACTCTTTCCTTTGCTAACTTATGGTTGTACTCCACAAAGTTGCCCTGTCCGTGCAATAATTTCTGCTTGTGCAATGAAAGTTCCCCTCCCTCTCCTCTCTGCAATACTCCAGAGTTTGGAGGGGTGGGGGGAAATGACATAGGAAGAGAGAAGGGACTTGTGCAAAAGAGATGACTTCTTTGGATGCAATACATAATGCCTGGACCAATATGAATGAGCAACCTCAACTGTCCAAAACCTTTCAGACAAGCCTCACTTCTATGTGCATGAGCTGATACAAGCTCAAGCCTCAGGTTTGTGTGTTCTCCTCAACAGCATTTGATTTCACTTTCTGTTAATCCTGGCTTGTCATAAAGTATGAAATGGAGACCTTGATTTAATTTTTTTTAACTCTGGCTGGCTAAACCAGCTGCTTTGCTTTGACCAGCGTTCATTATTTGAAATTTATTTCTGATTTGTATGTAACGACAAGCCCAGCGTTCACAGAAAGTGAAACAAAACCAGCCATGTGAGCATCTCTGCAAAAGAAAATGTAATATGCATGAACATTCTGGCGAATGTAGGTTTTGCATTCAAGTTCAACACCATCTGAAACACCTCGTGTATGAAAATGCTCTATATGACCTTCAGAAAAAGGATGTGAACTCAGCTTATTAGTGGGTCTGGTTGAACAGAGCAGTGGCTACATTCCAGTGGGGAATTTGTCAGATGAGCAAGACCATTAATATGTTATTAAAAGCTGATAGAATATTAGCATGCTTTTGTCTAAATATTCTTAATAAAGCATAATGTACATTTGTGTTCACGGCAATAACAGTTCTTGATATTCAAGCATTTTACTTGTCGTATTTCTTTTCCCTTTTCCTTTTTTGTTGGCATCATTAATGCTCCTTTGGAAATGTAAATGCATTTAGATTTTGCTTTGGCATGTGTTGTATGCTTTTGCTTCAGTTGAAGTGATATGTCATGTGTCCCATTTTTTTCATTTGCACTGTATGCTATTTATGTATCTCCCGCACATACACTTTTGTATTATAATAAATTTTATTTTGAGCTGCTCAGTTTGTATTTTTTTGTTCCTTTTCAATAGCAACTAGATCCATGATTTGAAACTAGGAATAAAAAACACTTTCTATAATCTCCTGTATTTAAATCAAAATAGCATTCTGTATAAATTTGAAGTATTGAGAGTTCAGTATAAGCTCTAGCCAGCTTTTAGTTCCATTTTAAAGTTGTAATTTTAACTTTTTTGCATAACAGCTCTTGTTTGTTGTCTAGTCCTGCAATTTTTGTTAGAACAACATTATATTTTTTGTTTTGTGAACATGTTGGCTTGAATCCAACATTTTATGTTTTGTGAACATTTTATGTTTTGTGAACATGTTGGCTTGAATCCAAACGGCGGCATGCCGTATTTGCTGCCACCACCCACATTTCTGATGTAGAACATTGTTCTAACTGAAGAAGCACTCCTGAGTGTTTGAAAAATCTTTGGTTTGGGGTGGTGGTGGGTGAAAGGCTAGTTAGGACCAGTTGGCAAAAATAGGTGATTCTCACCCCTCCCTGCAAATTATCAGAAATGCCATACATTCATGCACTGGGCACTTTGGATTATATAACGTATATAATGATGCTTACTGACTAGGTCATACAGTTTTGAGCTTAAACAAGAGTCTAATTAGTCTAATACCTTATGTTATATCCTTTACAAGCTGTATGCTTGTGTAGGCAAGAACTGATCACACAGATGAACTCCCAACAGCCAAAAAAATTGCCTTTTTGGCAGGTAGGGTTGCTGTGCAAAATCATTTTCAAGAAGCTTTTCTGCCTTTGTGCATGCACATGCGTGCACATAATTATGTGGACTGTGACTGTAGACGCCAATTGAGAATTTAAAAAAAAAAATTAGTTCACTGAAATCATTGGCCACAGTTAGACACAGCTAACTGCATTCAAAAATGACTGGTTTCTCACGGGTTTAATCTTGTGCACCTTGCTGCATCTTTATAGATTTGGTTATTGTGACTAACTACTACTAATGCAAAATGTATAGAATGGAATGGAAGCCAAAGAGAAAAGGGAAATGGCAGGGAAATACAAGGAAGGCAAAAAAACATGCACACTTCTTGGAAATACTGTTGTTTGTGCTTTCCCCCCAGGTCTTGATAATACAGTGGTACCTCTGGTTACAAACACTTCTGGTAACCTAGAAGTAGCTGCTCCTGGTTGCAAACTTTGCCCTCAGAATAAGAACTGTTTCAGCTTAAGAATGGACCTCAGGAATGAATTAAGTTCGTAACCAGAGGTACCACTGTACATGCCATTGAGATTCCAATTCTATACCCACTTACTAGGGAATAAGCCCCGCTGAAGTCTGTAGGACATATTGCTGAGTAAACATGTATAGTTGTGCCTTGGAAGTCGAACAGAATCTGTTCCAGAAGTCCATTCGACTTCCAAAACTTTTGAAAACCGAATGCAGCTTCTGATTGGCTGCATGAAGCTCCTGCAGCCAAACAGGAGCCGCAGAAACATTGTCGGACATTCAGGTTCCAAAAGAAAGTTCGCAAACCGGAACACTCACTTCCGGGTTTGCGGCGTTTGGGAGCCAAAACGTACGAATTCCAGGGTGTTCAACAACCAAGGTACGACTGTATAGGATTGTGCTATAACATATGACACGCAGTGTGTGCTTGGTCATGTTTATTTTAATTATTTTACTGAGCAACATTAAAACCTCTGTGTGCGGTTTTAATAACGAGCAGTTTATCTGAAATAAAAATCTAAAGTCTCTTCCCAGTAAGCATCAGATTATCATATACAAAAAAGTAGAATTCAAAATTTGTGTCCCATCTATAGGGGATCCAAAATCAGTAGAGGGGAAACGCAGTTTGCTAGGTGAGTCGTATTCTCTGCAGTGAGGAATTCACTGTACCATTATTTGAAGTATTTGTAGATTTGGTGGTTGAAAATGTCCTGCGAAACTTGTTAGGTAAACAAAACTCAACTTGTCACTGTTTGGGTGCTAGTAGATCTGTATAAAGAACCAGGATATAAGAACCAAGTGGATTGATCTCTGTGGTTGGGGTGATCCCAAATCCACAGGCTTCCCTCTTCCTTTAAATGATGGGAACAGCTTTGTCATGCAGATCCCCTCTGCCCCCGGATCTGGTCCACAAGCTGTGTATACTTCAAGTAATAAAGACGCTTGTCAGGTGTTCCTGTCTAGTCCTCCTTTCATGCTAGCTTCCTTAGGAGGATGCCGAAAGCTCACTATCCTTATTTAAGGTTAATTATTATCAAAGTCATATGTAAGGTACAAGCAGGAGAAACTAAAGTCCAAACAGCATTAAATCATCTCAAATCCTAGTACTCCAGCTTAACTCGAACGTAGATTTACGGCATACTAAGCTAGGTAATCCTCGGCTTGTCATGCAACATCTATTTTTATTTCTGGTCTCTATATCTGCACCTGAGAATAGAGGTTGCTTCCCAATATTCCTGCCCCATTTTTGAGCAATATTGCCACATTTGCTCGGTATTTTACAAGTTTGTTGTGGCTGTTAGTGCTGCGAAGCCAACTTTGTGCCTTGCAGAAAAGAAGAAAGGGACCCCAAGGGTCATCCAGTCCAACCCCTTGCAATGCAGGAATATCTTGCCCAACATGGGGCTTGAACCCACAACCCTGAGATTAAGAGCCTCATGCTCTACCGACTGAGCTAACAGATACTCAGCATAGTACTTCACTGGATCATCTTCACACTAAATTCATTTTTATCCCTGGAGTGTATTATTTCAAGTCTGATTTAATCCTTGTACCTGACAATTGTGGTTAGTGAGCATTATTTTTGAGTCGATATGCGGTACTCATGTTTCAGCTGATTCTCTGAAGTTAGCGGATGCAAGGTTTATTAATTTTTTCCATCCCTGAAACATCCAGCTGCAGACCAATATTGCACAAACAGTTATTCTAGATGTCTTAGCACAGATACCTATGTGGACTGGGCAACTGGTTAAAAACTGAGTACTTTGGAAGGCTTTCGTTTCATAAAGGTAAAGGGACCCCTGACAGTTAAGTCCAGTCGCGGACGACTCTGGGGTTGCGGAGCTCATCTCGCCGAGATGAGCCGAGGGAGCTGGCATTTGTCCGCTCTGCAGACAGTTTTTTCAGATCATGTGGCCAGCATGACTAAACCGCTTCTGGTGAACCAGAGCAGCGCACGGAAATGCCATTTACCTTCCCGCTGGAGTGGTACCTATTTATCTACTTGCACTTTGACGTGCTTTCGAACTGCTAGGTTGGCAGGAGCCAACAGGAGCTCACCCCGTCGCGGGGATTTGAACCGCTGACCTTTTGATTGGCAAGCCCAAGGGGCTCAGTGGTTTAGACCACAGCACCACCCGTGTCCCATTTTCCATTTCATATTTGTCAACAAAACCCAGATTACAAAAACCACACTAGTGTGAAGAAACAAACATGGTAGTACAGAATCATTATACTTCAATAGTGAATTAAAACAAAGATTTGGGCATTATTTCCAAGTTAAACATCAACATTCAGTTAAAACATTTCTGCTTTTTGCCACTTTTTAAAGACAGTCATCCAGTCATTCATTTTATTTCACAGATTCTTGCAGCAAAATAAATTTGATATTTCATAGTTCAGTTAGACCTTTTCACACAATTCTGTAGCAATACTACAGGTTACATTTAAAGTTTGCAATCACACCTGTTATATTTTGTCACTTAGTAAAGTCTGTTTGACATCCATGAATATATTTAAGAGTTTTAATTCAGCTGTCAAGATGTCCATAACTTTGAAAACCTGATGCACAGGTCTCGAACAACGTAAGTCTGGTGTGGTACGGTTTTCTCCAGTTATAAATCTGTGTTCCTTCCCATGCTAACAGGTAAGATGCCTGTCCTTGTAACTTTAATTATACTATTGGTTAAAGGATTGAATAAAACAGTCAAGCAGGCTATATACAGTTTGGATGAAAGTCCAGCCAATCTTAGAGATTTACCACTTTAAATTTCAAAATAGCTAAATTGATTTCATCTTTTATAACTGGTGGCTTCAAAAGTTATTATTGTGCATTGAGAACAACTAGGGGTTTTCAACTGATCCCCAAATGCTGAAATCTGGTTCTAAACAATATTTCTTAAAATATTATACAAAAGCAAAAAACAAAACAAAAGTTGCCTTTTCTACTGGGCTCTCACCTTGGTTTTGAACAGGTTTTCAAATACTGTTTCTTAGTGGTGTGTTGTGGGTTTTTGGTCTTGTTTTTTTAACTCGTCGGAAAGTTGCTGATCTGCATGGTTTATTCTTTTTGCTTCGGAAAAGTTTGAAAAATTCCATCTGATAACACTTTTAAAAACATTTAATTATCGGCTTTGGTGATGGTGAACTTCCCTTTGCTTGTGTTAGATTTGACTAGGAAATTCTGAGCTTTTCAACAAGTGTATTTTTGGGGGGAGAAACACCCCCTGGCTCATAATGTTTGCATAGGTGTGCTAAAAGCGTCACACGCAAGGGCATTTGTTGCATTGTCCCCAGGAATGGCAGTTCCCAACACTAGACAAAGATCCTTTTGAAAGTTCAGCTGCCACCCTGGAAACACTGTCCAGATTTACCTGGGATCAGAAGAAGATCTTAGATATGAATAGGAGGCAGCAATTGTGTAAAACGTTTGCAAGTAAAATTGAGTAAATAGACCCACATACCAAACATAGGCACCAGACAAAAAACTGCTTCAGAGATCACATGGTTCATAGCAATCCAGTAAGAGTTTCTTGTGTTTAACAGTACAGGAATTTTGCACGTTATACGCCTTCCTTAGTCATCAAGCATGCTCCATGTCGACTGCATGTGCAGAATCTTAACAGAATCACATGTTAAATCCAAAACCAGAGAACGTAGGGATGGCATGATTTATTATTTACCCCGTTTGGAAGACAAGTTCGTTCTAGTTTGTAATGGTGAACTTCAGAGACTGCTCTTCCCATTTAACTCTTTGAGATCTTATTTGAGATAATATTGTCACATGTTTAACATGACCACACTATTGAACTTCCACCTGTCGGTGTAGTTAGTTCATTGTTAAAAATTTCTCTGAAATAATAGTCTTAACATTGATTTTTTTAAAAACTTATTTAACTGCATGCAACTTTCTTGTGTACTTAGTTTCTCATTAGTTTCTTGAGAGGTATAGAAAAATTTACCTGATGTTAAATATATGTACACTTGATGTTGCAAAATAGTATATTCTTTAATGTGGCAGTAAGAAAATAATAATATCTAGCTGTTTGTTGGATTAAAATACTGCCAAATATTAAGCGTTTGAAATTTTCCTAATCTTATGTAAAAGGAGGTGGTAAACTTTAGTAACTAAAAAGGCCCTCTTTATTTTTTCTGATTGCTTTCAGGAAAATCTGCCCAAGTTTTCCACATTTTAAAGAAATCTTTTGGAGTGATGTTGGGCCCATATACACATCCAGGTGTCATTTTTCTATAATAATAAAATTTCTAGATGATATATCTCCCATTACCATCTTTCTTATATCCTTCTGCTTTTAAAAAAAGATAACTTTTGTTTTCTCTGTGTAGATGTGACACAAACTTTTCCAAGTTTCGTTCCCCACAGTTCTTAATTTCTTTTTAAGATGTGTTTGTTACCTGCAAGAGAAGAACACGCTTTCTCCTCTTTTAATAAATGAGAGCATTTATTTTTTTTTACTTTTCCCTGGATTTAATCCTTTGATACTTGATGAAAAGCATTTTAAATGCCATCATGCTTGGATTTCAATATTAATTAGACATTTATTCTTTCTTTCCAATACAGTGAGAAGAAAGAGAAGAACAAAGGAGAACACACAAAATACAAATGTTATTCCCTTGGTTTTTTTAGGTAGTGCATGTAATGGTGAATCCTTCTAAATTTGCAATAATTCTTGGACATTCTCTGTTGCTTGCACTACGGTCAACTTTTTTGGCCCAGTTTGGATGTGGTTACTAAACCGTGGCTTGGCTGAGCCTTAGGCTTCCTTCTCTGCTCTCACGGACTGTATCACACGAAATCATCCTCTTGAGTAGACCCATTTAAACGAATGGACATTACTAACTTAAGTCCATTGATTTAATGGGTTACACTACTGTCTAATCCGCATCTGGGGAAACCATGGTTTGCCATTACATCCAAACCGAGTAAGGTACAGTTTGGGGAAACTATTGTCTACCCGAAACCAGAGGTGGAAGGCAGAATTTGAAATGAAATTCTAGTTTTGGTTTGGAGGTAATACATGGTTTGCACAAACTATAGTTTGCCTGACCTGGAAACAATGGCAAACCTAAACCATTCATTGTGGGAATAAATTCAGTGTTCCTATGGGGAGAAGGGAATGTGTGAGCCCAACGTTCAGCCCTGATGCCCAAACCATGGCTTGTGTCTTTACATCCAAACTCAATTCATGCATTTTCCTTTCCTTCAAACGTACACTTAAATCTTGAGGTCTCTTCTTACTTCTTCTGAATGGATTTTGTTAAAGGCTTTGACCTCTAAACCCAAATGTCAGTGATACTTCCCATTTATTTGCTAGCAGTGTCTACTTTTATCCTTAACATTGTTAACTTCACAAGAAACTATCTTTTTTCTCCTTTATGCCACTGGCGGGAATTGGGTTCTCTTCTCCTGTATTCAGGCTACAGACATTCCTGATCTTCCTCTGTGTCTTCTGAAAGCTCTCTTACTTTAATACTTCGAAGTTCACTTCCTTGATCTCTGCCTGTAGTCGAATCGTATCAACTCTCTGCATGTGTTGCTCCATTTAGATTTACTGAACCAAATACTTTGGGTGTGTGCTTCCTTTCCACTTACCTCTTCCAGTCCATTGAGTTTCGCCTCTTGTAATCTGATGTGTCAATTTTATAGTCCTCCGCTGTAGAACAGGATTCTTAAATGCACTTCATAGGTATGAGATCAGTAACTTTCATTTTAAAAGAGGGCGATTTGAAATCCTGAATGCAATTTAAGTAGAAGGCGTTTGAGGTAAGAAGCCTGCCTGCTATGCTTATGACTTCTAGTCAGTTTCCCCTTGACCAGCAGATTTACCTGCTGAGGAATGTGTGATTTCCTTAAAAGCAAAATCCCAAACCCAACATAACGTTGTTTAGAAATGTATTAAGGGCTGATAGGACACTTGTAGATTTTGTGGTCTCCTCCTTTTTAAAGGTTCATTACATCCTGTGGCTTTCCCCATGTGTTCCCACTGTTTCCCATATTAAATTTTCATTCATCTCAGATGATAGAAATCTTACAGGGGTGCCTTGGTTCTCAAACTTAATCCGTTCCGGAAGTCCGTTCCAAAACCAAAGCGTTCCAAAACCAAGGCACGCTTTCCCATAGAAAGTCATGCAAAACGGATTAATCCGTTCCAAACTTTTAAAAACAACCCCTAAAACAGCAATTTAACATGAATTTTACTATCTCACGAGACCATTGATCCATAAAATGAAAGCAATCATCAATGTACTGTTCTATAAAATAAATAAGACAGTATTGTAGATGATAAAAATTAAAATTATTATTATTTTCTTACCTGCACTGATGATCGTCCTTGTTTGGATGGGGGGCTTTTATCCATTTCCGCAGTCACACAATCATTAGCTGAACTGGGTTCCATACAGTCACAAAAACAAATTAACTGAAAAAGCCTCAAAAACGAAAACGCAAAATAAATAGCAAAAACAAAAGCGCCAGACTTAATCCATTCTGGAATGTTTGAAAACCAAGGCGCAGCTTCTGATTGGTGCAGGTGCCCTGGAAACAATAGCCGACAGCCACATCAGACGTTCGACTTCCGAAAAACGTTCGAAAACCGGAACACTTCTGGATTGTTGGCGTTTGGGAACCAAGGCATTTGAGAACCAAGGTACCGCTGTATAGCCAACATACCTGCTCGCGTATCTGGAAGGGAGGGTACGCTCAGTCCAGTAAAGGCAGGTTTTAAAAACCCATTGAAGGCCAGTTTTAAAAACCCTGGCTTGAATTGTTGATTTGAAAGTCCTATTTTCAAAGTCTCCAGAGTAGGTGCTTTGATTGAGGTGCTCTGCTCCAAATCTTTTAGTGGCAGGAGCGCATCTTAAAACTGCCAGTAGTTAAATATAATACTATATATAATAACAATGCAGGACAAGTGCAGATCCTTTTGAATTGCGACTTAGAAAGCGCAGCTCATCATCATTAGCGTTACCAATAAATTTTGAAATACAAACAGGTATGCCCATTCCTTTCGTAGCATGGGCTACATCAGTGCACCAGTTGCTCCAATGGCAAACATATTAGTTAAAAACGAAGGGATTATTCCGGCTGAAGCTCTTTCACTTTGAACGTTGCAACTGCCTTCCCGTGGAGCCAGCTATTTCGTGCCATGCGGTGATTCAAAATATGTTTGTCCCCACTGTGTAAACGGGATGCAAATCGCTGAGTTTGCACTGAAGCTCCCCGCCACCAATTATTAAAATAATTAGCAAATGCAAGTGGGAACTATGATGCTTCGCATGTGAGTACTTTCATTGGACTGAGGCATGTTGAGACTTCTTTTTGCTTGATGACAGCGTTGAAAATCACTTGCAATAACAAGTAGGAAGAGTGTTGTTTGCCCTGTTTCTCTTTTTAGGCTTGGCCACTGTGTGAACGAAATACTGGACTTAGATGGGCCTTTTGCCTGATTTATCATTATTATTGTCAGTGCTTTTTTCCAGGGGGTACTCAAAGGTACACAGTACCAGCACATCTTTTGTTGCTGTTAAAAAGTGTGACACTTACTGGAACAGCCTCACAGTGAGTTTTGGCACCTCTTTTTTGTGGGGGGGAAACCCAGATGATGATGATGATTATTTAAATCTGTACACCGCCCTACATCTGCAGGTCTCAGGGCAGTCCGCAACATAAAATTACAACTCTACACGGCACATAATAAAAACAAGAACAAGAGCAACCCACATTTTAAAAGGGCATTTGATATCATCTAACAGGGCTCTTCTGATCTTACAAGAACAACCAAACACGGTCAGACTTAACCCCTCCAATTTCCTGTGGCTTGTTCTGTGGAAGTATATGAAACAATTTTAAAACCTCGTTCTCTTCTGTGTGCTATGTATGATAGTGCACTTAATACTGGGCATAACAGAAAATTTTGCTGTTTCCATTTTTTTAAGGAAGTCCACATCTTGATGTAAAAACTGGAATGTAGTTATCCTTCAGATTCTGCCCTTCTCTGAATTTTACAATACAGTTTTCAACTCAAAACATGTTCCAAAATGGGTGCTTAAAAAAAAAAAATAATGCTACTCCTTATAATTTAGGATAAAATATGTCTAGAAATGCCTGCACTGAGATAATATGAGTGGTGTTCAACTAACTTTGGGCACACACAAAAGCGGGGTCCGCTAAGCGCAACAAGACTTGCGCCCCTCTCTCTCCTCCACTCAGATGTGCCCTGCAGGCCCCCTAAATCTACTCTGGGGGTTTTGGGGGGGAACCCAGAGCAGGTTTGGGGGAGCAGGGGGAGGAGAGGAGAGAACGTCTCGCCAACCAAGCAGAAATCGTTCTACACACTTGTAACCTTTAGCACTACGTAGACTGTGACCCATAGCATTTAAATACATATTTTGTGATTGAAATATACATGAAAAACATTTTTATGGAGATTAATGTTAAGTCTGCATTTTCAGTAGGCATAGTAGGAAACATTCTTAGTTTGTAGGGATATATATATATATATATATATATATATATATATATATATATATATATATATATATATATAATCTCACCTCTTTATCTAACCCAGGGTTTCCCAAACTCAGGTTACCAGCTTTTCATTTTGTTTTCTTTTTTTGGACTACAACTCCCATCATCCCTAGCTAGCAGGACCAGTGGTCAGGATTGATGGGAACTGTAGTCCAAAAACAGCAGCAGCAAACCCAAGTTTGGGAAACCCCAGATTCTAACCTCTCTTTATCATCTATCCTGCTCATCATATGCTTCTCTGTCATTTTCCGCAGGGTTTCACAAACCTCGGTGCACAATTTTACAAACCACTCTCATGTCCCCAGTGAGTTATTCTATTTTTTGTTCCTGGCTGAGAAAGCCTAAAATACTTGAGACTTCCAACCCCTTAAATATTTTGATTCCCTCCTTCACCCCAAAACTGTTCAAACATCTCCCTGTTTGCGAGTGTGTTCTTTAAAGGGAGTGGCCCTCTGAGGTATGTGGTCCTCAGTCTTTGTGTGGTTTTAAATGTCAGAATCTGAGTGCTTTGAATTGGCTCCTGAAGCTAACAGGAAAGCTATTCCCCTGAGTAGGTGGACTGTGGTAATCTGAAAGGGCAGACAGAGTGCATTGCTGCAGTCAATCTGCGGGTTACAAGGGCATGGATGATCTTTCGCAAGATCTTTGCGGGTCAGGAGGGAATGCAGCCAGTATTTTGTATACATCTGATATCCAAAGGTGTGTGTTGTCAGTAGTACCATCTGTTTCAGCTATCAAAGCTGAGCTCAAGAAGCTCTCCTGGCTGTGTGAGATCTGGTCCAGCCCATTAATTGCCAATTCATTCTTTTCAGGCAAACTTTTTTCTCCCAGTCTTCCCTTATCTCCATCTTTTCAGAATCAGGCTGTCAACCCCTGCTGACCCTCATCACCTTGAATTACAGCATCCAAACATTTGTCCAGGACAGTTGCAGTCATTTCTTATAGCTTAGTTACCGAGGTGGATGGCAGTATAGCCAGGGCTATTTTTCTAGAAAAAAGAGTTGCCGGAACACGCCACAAATGCGAGCCAGCGTGGTGTAGTGGTTAAGAGCGGTGGACTCGTAATCTGGTGAACCAGGTTCACTTCCCCGCTCCTCCACATGCAGCTGCTGGGTGACCTTGGGCTAGTCACACTTCTCTGAAGTCTCTCAGCCCCACTCACCTCACAGAGTGTTTGTTGTGGGGGAGGAAGGGAAAGGAGATTGTTAGCCGCTTTGAGACTCCTTCGGGTAGTGATAAAGAGGGATATCAAATCCAAACTCCTCCTCCTCTTCTTCTTCTTCTTCTTCTTCTTCTTCTTCTTCTTCTTCTTCTTCTTTTTCTTCTTCTTCTTCCCTTCTTCCCATATGATGGCAATGGCACCCTTCTTGAGTTTCAGCAAGCCCTGAGTTTATCAGTGACAGTAGTCCAAAGCTACATAGGATTTCTCATCGTGGCTTCAGACAGATATTAAAATGTGATCTTCTTCTTTGTAGATCACTCGTAGCTGAGTAAGATTGTCTTCCATAAAGACAGTTTTAACAGTGAGTTCGTAAGTGACTGTGGAGGCCAGTTCTGGATCCACACGTCCTTCCACAGTGGGGACATAGGTTTCTGGGTGGGAGTCGATCATGGTGAGGGTTTGCCAAGCATGCCTTCCTCTTAGCACATCTCTCCCTTTCATCCTGAGTTTGAGCATCTTCAAAGCCCAGGTAAAGGTAAAGGGACCCCTGACCATTAGGTCCAGTTGTGACCAACTCTGGGGTTGCGGCGCTCATCTCGCTTCTGGGTCATGTGGCCAGCATGACTAAGCCACTTCTGGTGAACCAGAGCAGCGCACGGAGACACCGTTTACCTTCCCAGCGGAGCGGTACCTATTTATCTACTTGCACTTTGACGTGCTTTCGAACTGCTAGGTTGGCAGGAGCTGGGACCGAGCAACGGGAGCTCACCCCATCACAGGGATTCAAACCGCTGACCTTCTGATCGGCAAGTCCTAGGCTCTGTGGCTTAACCCACAGCGCCACCCACATTCCTTTGGTAAAGGCTGTTCTCCAACTGGAGTGCTCACAGGCCAGTGTTTCCCAGTTGTCGGTGTTTATACTACATTTTTTAAAAGATTTGCCTTGAGAGAGTCTTTGGACCTCTTTTGTTGTCCACCGGCATTACGCTTTCCATTTTTAAGTTCGGAATAGAGTAGTTGCTTTGGAAGATGATAGTCAGGCATCCGCACAACATGACAAGTCCAAGTTGATGCCAGTCACAGTGGAACCCCAGAAGTTTGCTTTCAAGGGACCTCTAAGCTGCCCTCTGAGAGATAGCTTAAGGGAGAAAAAGAAGCCAAACCATTTTAGGATTTCTCCATCAGTCTACTTGCTGGGTCAGTTGGTATAGTAAAACACCATTGCCCACAGGATCAGAAATCAGTGAAAAGCCCAGAAGTGAAAACCAGTGCATATCCAAATTTACATGCTTTGACAGTGGGTGAAATCCGTACGCACATCCCATAAATTCAGAGTGCTTTGGCTCGTGCACAGGGAGGGTGAAACTAACTTGTAACTGTGGCCTTATGGGATGTTGCTCTGGGAGGAGACTGTTCAGGGGGGTCCTTGAAAGGGTAGCTTACAGGGTTTCCCGAACCTGGGATTCCAGCTGTTTTGGGACTATAACTCCCATCATCCCTAGCTAGCAGGACCAGTGGTCAGGGATGATGGGAACTGCAGTCCAAAAACAGCAGCAGCAAACCCAAGTTTGGGAAACTGTCCTCTAATATGTGAGCAGAGGAGCTGTTCACTCTGGTGATAGTCTTGGCTTTCTCTGTGTGTTCCCTGTCTGTTGGGGGACACATTATTAAAGAGAACGTTTTGTACGTCTCCACGAAGACACCCAGAAAACAATTGCCACTATTCCAGTGGCACATTTGAATGGCTGCTTTTATCTCATGGCCTTTGCCTTTGAATGCAGGTTCCTGGGAAACACAAATGGGGAGTTGGGAGTGTTGTTGCACCCAGGTCTGGTTTGTGGGTGTCACAGTGGTTCGCCACTGAGAACAGGATCCTGCCCAAGGTGGGTCATTGGCTCCTCTTGCGTTCTTACTTTACTGAACTTAACACCTAGTTTTTTGAAGATCTCTTTACTGAACTTAACACCTAGTTTTTTGAAGATCTCGGAAATCCAAATTATTGTTGCGTCCGGCTCTTTTATCTAATAATTCTCAGTCTTTGGAAATCACATACTTCTGTAGATAACAAATTTCTATATTAAGACGATTTGAGTGAAGGCTGGGAGAGCTTCCCACTCGATCCGTTATCTGCTGCTGTTATTCTTTTCTGGGTTCCTTACACTTGTATTTTCAGCTCGACTTTTGAAACGGCCGAGAGCAAGCTGGGACTTTGTGGGGGTGCGGGGGGAGGTATCCGCGCAAATATAAATGCTTAGGTGGGCATCATTTCAAGTTAATTCTGCATCTGTGGTTCCAAAATGAAATCCCTGGAAGCAGCTTTACGAGTTAATGCTGCCGCCGGCCTCCAAAAAGAAAAGCTGCCCTAACAGCATTGTGAAGTTAATGCCAGTGCGTTTGTAGGGAGGCAGAGGGTTGAGGGGGAAATATCGAACAACCTACAGACACTACAATATTGTGACTGTGCACCACCTAGGGGGCAAACCTGGAGCTGTCTCTCTCCTGAGAATTGAAATTGAAATACTTTATTGTCACTTGTACAACTTGTATACAGTGAGTTTACACGAGCACCTCCCACTCAGCTCTCTTAGTCTTAATTCCCCTCGTTTACTGACGCACACCCACCAAACCCGAAAGTCAGTTGCCCTGTTGTTATCTTTTCATTCAGCAGCCTAACAGCCCACGGATAGAAGCTGTTCTTTACCCTGTTGGTGCGACTAATCATGCTTCTATATCTTCTGCCTGAGGGCAGGAGATCAAGAAAGTGCCGGCCAGGGTGTGAATCATCCCTGAGAATTTTCCTCACTCTCCTGAGGCAACGTTCTTCCGCTATTTCATCCAGCGGATTCACGGGACAGCCCATAATATCTTGTGCTGTATTCACCACCCTCTGTAGGCACTTCCTATCAGTTGATGTCAAACCAGCGTACCACACCGTGATGCAGTATGAAAGGACACTTTCTATTGTTGATTGATAGAAGGAGATCATCAGATGTTGATTGACATCGTTCTTTCACAATACTCTGAGGAGATGGAGTCTCTGTTGGGCTTTCTTAACCACCTGGGTTGTATTTATTTTCCAAGTAAGATCTTCACTGAGATAAACTCCTAGGAATTTAAAGGAAGAGACTCTCTCCACACAGCCCTCCCCGATGTACAGCTTGGCTAGTTCTCCTCTCTTCCTCCGAAAGTCCAACACCATCTCCCGAGTTGTCCAATTCCTGAGGTATTGATGATATTCCTCTTTGCTTGCTTGCAGTGACATGATTAAAAATAATGTGGCATCCCAAAACTGGGGAGATTCATAGTTTTGGTAGGGTAGGGAAGTTTAGACCATCTTTCTGGGTGCTGTACCAGAATAGCCAGACTGAGTGCTTTACAGAGAGAGAGAGAGAGAGCGCACAATTATTTTTGGCAAAATTGTACAGTACGAAAATCAATACTGTTGCCGGCAGAGTCAAAAGCAGCATATATTGTAGTCTTTCTTTATTAATTCTGTGCCATTGCATTATCTTCCGCCATATCAACATTTTTTAAAAAAAAGTTTTTATTAAGATTTCCTTGGGTAACAAGTGTACGGCGTCTCTGCTTTCAGTTCACAGAGTCCTTCCTACAAGTCAGTTTCATTCGATGTGAGACCCTAATGTTATAGGCAATATTAGTTTGGGGGAGAAGAGGAGTTGGGGGGGGGGATATACTTTTACATAGTGTTATGTGTGCAGTTTGTGTGTCAGTGTCACAGGGAAAGTAGGTTCTCTTTCCATTCATGTTTTTGTTGATTGGTTGCCTAAAGTTGACTGCAGTGAGTTTTGTTTGTGTGTAAAGGGGGGGGGGTGCTGTTGGGTCAAATTAGCCAAATCTGAGTTGTTGTGTTTTTTCTTGTTGTCTAGTTGGGCTGTGTATGTAATAAAGGGGAGCCATACCAAGGTGAAGGCGTCCTCTTTGCTTTGTCCTCACACCAGTTTCAGTTTTGAGATGACCCTGAGGCTTCTTGCAGATACTAGATTTCTGCATGCAGGGTTTTTCGTGGAAGTTTTTCACAGTTGCACTAATAATGATGATGCTGATGATAATAATTTATTACTTATACCCCGCCCATCTGGCTGGGCCTCCCCAGCCACTCTGGGCGGCTCCCAACAGAATATTAAAAACACGATGAAACATCAAGCATTAAAAAATTCCCTAAATAGGGCTGCCTTCAGATGTCTTCTAAAAGTCAGATAGTTGTTTATTTCCTTGATATCTGGTGGGAGGACGTTCCACAGGGCGGGCACCATTACCGAGAAGGCCCTCTGCCTGGTTCCCTGTAATAATTATTTTTATTATTTATACCCCGCCTGTCTGGCTAGGTTTTCCCAGCCAGTCTGTGGGGTTTCCGGAATAATATAGAAACATAATAAAACATCGTGTTAAAAACTTCCCTAAACAGGGCTGCCTTCAGATGTCTTCTAAAAGTCAGATAGTTGTTTATTTCCTTGACACTTGATGGGAGGGCGTTCCACAGGGCGGGTGCCACTACCGAGAAGGCCCTCTGCCTGGTTCCTTGTAGCTTCACTTCTCGTAGTGAGGGAACCGCCAGAAAGCCCTTAGAGCTGGACCTCAGTATCCAGGCTGAACGATGAGGTGGAGACCCTCCAGGTATACTACAAGACTTGATGCTGTCAGAGGGCATCTCGTAACGTAGCTTTGAGTTTTTCACTGCCATGTTCAGCACTGCAGTTTCGTTTTAGCTTTGAAGTCTGGGGATGGGACTTGATCAGTTTTCACTTTCCTGGCGCTTGGTTTGGTTTTGAATGGGGCAAGGGTTGTGTGGTGGCACTGATTAATATGGTTCAGCGAAATTAAGTGTTGCCCTTTGTTTGAGTTTCCAGATACCATTTGTAACCTGTACCTGGCATGATGTCAACTGAAGCTATTTTTTCAGATTCTTTCATACACAGGCATTGCATTGATCTCTTACACTTGTTTCGTTGTTGCCTTTTTCCTTTTTATTTGATAGGAGGAGAGAGAAAACCTGCAATCGCAAATGCAGAGCTCTCCCAGTAAGCTACTGATTCTGGTTCACCAGAAACACACTCACCTCAGACAGTACAGAATCTATTTTTTGCACATCGGCGCTAATCCCACTTTGAGCCGGATTAACGGGGGCACATCCTGTTAACAATAGGTGCCGAGGCCCTGCAAGGACAACAGCTGTTGCCTCATTTTGCTCTTGGGTGCTTGCCCCCTTAATACAGCTCACTTGGGTGCAAGATCCTCCGGCTGCCTGTGAACTGGTCAGAATGCTGGTTTGATTGTGACACAGCTGAAATCAAAGATTACTATCTTGAACGTCTTTGGAGCTGGGCCAAGGGTAAACACGAAAGACGCCGCCACTTGGCTGCTGCTAATGCCTTTTCCTTGAACAGCAACATGCAGAATTTAAGTCCGTTACAGTGCTCTGCAGATCCTAAAAGTCTGTTGGAAACAGGCCAGGAAAGCCATTGAGCAGTGCTGACACCAGGATTGTTTTATTAATGCTATGCTCTCGCGTGTGTTCTGCTTGCGTCAGTGAGCCAGGGAGGGTGTGCTGTGTGTGTGCACCGTTTGTGCGGTTTCAGAAAGTGAGATAAATTGGTCAATTTTACTGAGCAGTTTTGCAGTTGTTGGGATGAATAAAATAGGTTCAGCACAGTGATATTTTTTCTAGAAAGAGAGGTGCCGGAACTCACCATGAACACCTCCCTCGTTCTCTTAGAATGGCAATGGCGCCCACCTCAAAGGTGCCAGAACTCAGTTCTGGCTGGGGGGAAAAAGACCTGGTTTTGTATAATCTTACCAAAATGATTAGGGACGTGGTTTAAACCACAGAGCCTGGGGCTTGCTGATCAGAAGGTCGGCGGTTCAAATCCCTGCGACGAGGTGAACTCCCGTTGCTCGGTCCCAGCTCCTGCCAACCTAGCAGTTCAAAAGCACATCAAAGTGCAAGTAGATAAATAGGTACCTCTCCGGTGGGAAGGTAAACGGCATTTCCGTGTGCTGCTCTGGTTCACCAGAAGCGGCTTAGTCATGCTGGCCACATGACCCAGAAGCTGTACGCCAGTTCCCTCGGCCAATAAAGCGAGATGAGCGCCGCAACCCCAGAGTTGGCCACGATTGGACCTAATGGTCAGGGGTCCCTTTACCTTTACCAAGATGATTGGCATTTGGTTAACACCTTTGTAAATGTTAATACCTTGAATTTAGCAAGAGATCTTTTGCCTTAGTGGTATCTTTGATTAATGCTGCTCTCCTGCTTTTTGTCGTCGGGATGTAAGGAAGAATTTCTCAACAAATGTAACATTTCCGTTCTGCTTTCCTTTATTCCGCAGAGTAATCGTGTGGAAAGTTTAAAAGCCTCCAATATCTATATTTAATCATGAATCTAAAGGAGTGGGATGATTTTCAGATAGCAGGGAAGGAGTTGCCTGGAAAGCAGACCATTCTGACATCTGTAGATCAAACCACGGTGACCTCGGGCAGAAAAATCTCAGGGAATTTAATCAAGCTCTGAGCAAAATTGATTCATTTGAGGAATTTGTTTTTGCATGCATAGCAATCCAGAGGCTAGGTCAGGAGGGAATTGCCCCCCTTTTGAGCTGAGAAGGAAAATGTGCGTTTTAAGCGAAAACTAGACTGCCACGTTAGGAGCGATTCATTTAGGGAGTCTGAAACAGCTTGTTGGACGAATCAGTCCTTAATCACAAATTCTTAATCACAAATTCCCGTTCTAGGACAGCAGTTCTCAAACCTTTATCTTCATGACTAATAGAATATTGCTGGTGGAATATTGCTTATGTGCTTTGAAATACATACAGTGGTACCTCGGGTTAAGAACTTAATTCGTTCTGGAGGTCCGTCCTTAACCTGAAACTGTTCTTAACCTGAGGTACCACTTTAGCTAATGGGGCCTCCTGCTGCTGCACACCAGAGCACAATTTCTGTTCTCATCCCGAGGTAAAGTTCTTAACCTGAAGCACTATTTCTGGGTTAGTGGAGTCTGTAACCTGAAGCGTATGTAACCTGAAGCGTATGTAACCTGAGGTACCACTGTATATATAAATCGAAGCACATAGATGTAATCTTGCCTTACTAATGCAATGGATGTGCTTCTGGGTTAAATAGAACAAAAACAAACTTAACGTTTTTCTTTTACGCTGGTTTCAAAACCAGCACCGTATCAAAATCATAAGTTGCTATTAAGGTTCCATTCGAGTGGGAAATGTTTGAGGGAAAATCACACTTGCCCCCGTGTTGTCTTTTGAAAACTATGAGCCCAAAGCCAGGAGTTACACATAAGGGATTGCAGGCTGAAAAATCTTACCACGTTTAAACCAAGAAAATGGTAACTAGTTGCAAAGCTGGTTTATGTGATATTATTGGTTTCTGCTTCTTTTATTTTGCATCCTTCCATTTGGCTTTCCTGGTCTCAGCTCTTAAAAAAAACATCTTAAACATGAGTGCTGCCAGTGAGCTGTTGAATGGATTTAGGAAATCATCCTGGCCTGGTATAAACTTACCCTTAAATGTTGGAAGCTGCCTTATTGCAGACACTGATCATCAGTCCACCAAGTTCAATATTTTCTATACTGATGGGCATGCAGGTTTTCAGATTGGACTGCCCCAACCCTACCTAGGGATGCTGGTGACTTAACACAAGCCCTTCTGCAAGCAGGGCACATGCTCTCCCACCAAGCTGCTTCCTTACTATCACCAAAGCTTGGGGGGAAATGGATTATTTGGCCAAGAGTTATTTGAGTCAATTTAATAATTTATTAGCCAGGCAGGGACATTTGACCTTTTGCGAATTCATCGTTCTTGTGGTTCTTGTGTTACTCTGCCAGTTCCTCCACTTCTGTATCTAAGCAAAACAGCGTCAAGGACTCTCTATTCCCTACCCACGCAAGGACGGAAGCTGCCACATTTTGAGTCAGTCTTGCAAATAGGCCGGGGTAGTGTATCATTGCCGCCGTATCCTTGACTTGCGTTCGTGGCTTTGAGTTCTGCTTATCGGGGAGAGTTGCTGGCGATAATCTCTTTTTGCCAAGATAACGCACTGGCAATTCAACAAATAGAGGCAAGCAGGTAGGCTGAGAGGTGAGCAGGCAGGCCTGCGCAGGGGTTGCACGAGGTGACGTCTGGGATGAGCTGCGGCCCAATCCTGCTTCCTTCCACTTGGGAAGTGCCGTTCTGCTCACGGTTAAAGAGGAAGCAGGAACAGAAAACAAGAGGGTGGGGATAGCTCCTCTCCCCTGGCATCTTCATGTACAAAAGTCCGAAGGGAGGGAGCCACCTTGCATACAGGTTTCCATATGTTCTGGAACACTGAGGGGGTCAGGGTTCTGGAACATTGAGGTGTCAGGGTTCTGGAACGCTGAGGGGTCAGGGTTCTGGAATGCTTGAGGTGTCAGGGTTCTGGAACATTGAGGTATCAGGGTTCTGGAATGCTGAGGGGTCAGGGTTCTGGAACATTGAGGTATCAGGGTTCTGGAATGCTGAGGTGTCAGGGTTCTGGAACATTGAGGTATCAGGGTTCTGGAACGCTTGAGGGATCAAGGTTCTGGAATGCTTGAGGGATCAGGGTTCCAAACTGCCTGAAAGCCGTGTGTGTCTGTGTGTGTGTGGACTCCCTTTCCTGTATATGTGGTGTCACTGGGAGGGGCCCACTTCCCACTAGCATGTTCCTAGTAGTGAACCCAAGTAGGGATCGAGTGGGTACTATTTGTTCTGGGAGATCCCTGTTTAAGTGGAACACACTGTACAGTGGTTCCTCTGGTTAAGAACTTAATTCGTTCCAGAGGTCCGTTCTTAACCTGAAACTGTTCTTAACCTGAGGTACCACTTTAGCTAATGGGGCCTCCCACTGCCACCGCACGATTTCTGTTCTCATCCTGAAGCAAAGTTCTTAACCCGAGGTACTATTTCTGGGTTAGCAGAGTCTGTAACCTGAAGCGTCTGTAACCCGAGGTACCACTGTAATTTCTTCTACAAATAGTGCTGGAGCTGGCTATGTGTTTTGGGGTCTCTGTGGGATGACTCTTACATATATATATATATATATATATATATATATATATATATGATGGGGGAGAGAAAGAGCTTGTCAAAAACTCACAGGCTTCCTCTTTGGAATGGACCCTGCACTGTGCTGCAGTTTCCCAGAAGCCTTTGCATGGGTCACGCCTTACTGGAAACAATATGGTTGCTGCCATGTTTGATGCCCTGGGTCCCTTTGGGAGGAAGGGTAGGGGTATAAATTGAATTAACTGGATAAATAACCTGTGCCTAAGTCCAACATGTGAAATAGTAAGAGCTTGAAAAGTGTGCTCAGCACTTGTTGTATAAAGCTGTCTCCCAATAGTTTCTGTCTGTCCTATGTTTAATTATCTTCTTTCACCCACTCTCTTGGGTCTCTTTAAATAATAAAATGTACATAAAATATAAATTTGCTACGAACGTGAATATATATTCTTTTTAAATAGTATTTTGGTTACCTGACATTGTAGTGGGGTAGGCTTAGGGTTATAATGCCAATATATTTCTGGCAATATATTTGGCAACCAGTGTACCCCTTTGGTTTCAGATAGTATATGGGTAGATGAGTCAAAAAAGCCTGGGACACAAATTTAGACCAAACTAAGCCTCCTAGAGCACAATATACATTGTGGTCAGAATTGAGTATATACTTCCAGTAAAAGGTAAAGGTAAAGGGACCCCTGACCATTAGGTCCAGTCGTGGCCGACTCTGGGGTCGCGGCACTCATCTTGCTTTATTGGCTGAGGGAGCCGGCGTACAGCTTCCGGGTCATGTGGCCAGCATGACTAAGCCGCTTCTGGCGAACCAGAGAAGCGCACGAAAATGCCGTTTACCTTCCCGCCGGAGTGGTACCTATTTATCTACTTGCACTTTGACGTGCTTTCGAACTGCTAGGTTGGCAGGTGCAGGGACTGAGCAACGGGAGCTCACCCCGTCACGGGGATTCGAACCGCCAACCTTCTGATCAGTAAGTCCTAGGCTCTGTGGTTTAACCCACAGCGCCACCCACGTCCCATATACTTCCAGAGTTAATGCTAAATACATTACTTCTGGTAAATGAGCTGCTAGAGGGCTGTGAAAATTTGTGTCCTGGCCTTTGTAGACTCGACTACCCATGTACTATCTGAAACCAAAGTGGCAGATTGGTTGCCAGATGTGACTTTTTTGTTTTGTTTTTGCTCTCCTGCCCCACTATTAAATACAGCCTTTCTCAGATATCAGCTGCTAACCTTTCCAAGTGACAACTTTGGCTGTGTTCCACCGGTTTAATTGCTTTGAAGTTGTCCAGAACTAGAAATTTATACAGAGGCAAAGTTGCTGTTGATAAGGCTGACATGAAAGTTTGCAGGTGTTAGCATGTTTTTATACTCCCTTCTGCACCTCCCAGGAAAATAGAAAAAAAAACCATTATAAATCCCTCCCCCTTTCCCTTCTTCATTACAGGTGAAATCTGTGATAAATCTCCTGTTTGCTGCCTACACTGGTGATGTGTCTGCACTACGAAGGTAAAATCCATATTTTGCTTTGTGCTGCATTATGTGAAATGTGTATGCCATATAGGGTAGCCATATTTCAAGAATTAAAAATCCGAGCTTTTTTTTTAAGTTTCTAAAACCCGGACATTTTGCAAATTTCCCCCCAAAATTCCCCCAGGCGCTAATTCCGTCATTGGAATCGTGGACGTATGGCAATGCTATATAATGTATATATTAAACGTGGCCGGGCCATGTTCAGAGACACTGTGAGCGATGGAAGATCCATTTGAACAATAATTATAGTCTTAGATTCCAGAGACACTCTATTCAAGGTGGAAAGAGGATTCAATTACTACATGGTTCCTTAATAATCATGTCTCCTGTGGGGAACCAGTGATATATTATTGAGTTTTATTGATTTTAATATGCTGTACACCGCTTTATTAAAAATATAAAGCGGCATAGAAATTTTAAAAATAAATAAAATAAAATAAAAATATAAGTAAATATAAAATAAAATAAAAATATAATACCTACCGGACCGCCTCTCTTGGTATGTCCTACAGAGGAACTTACGGTCTGCAAATAAAAACATCCTGAAGGTCCCAGGCTTCAGAGAGGTTAGGCTGGCCTCAACTAGAACCAGGGCTTTCTCGGCTGCGGCTCCAATCTGGTGGAACGCTCTGTCACAAGAGACAAGGGCCCTGCGGGACCTGACATCTTTCCGCAGGGCCTGCAAGACAGAGCTGTTCCACCAGGCCTTTGGTCAGGGCGCAGCCTGACTCCTCCTCTGGCAATCTGCACAGAATTTTGCTTAACGGTTGCCATCAATTTGATTTTAATTAATTTTTATAATGAAATGTTTTTAGAATGTTGGATTATTTGATTGTTGTTAGCCGCCCTGAGCCCGGCTTCGGCTGGGGAGGGCGGGATATAAATAAAAATTTATTATTATTATTATTATTATTATTTTATTATAAGTTCTGGCTGCAGAGTGGCCACATCTGCACCATACAGCCAGAGCACATGTCTTCCCCCCAGGGAATAATCCTGCAAACGGTAGTTTAAGGGCGCTGGGAATTGTCGCTTTGTGAGAGGTAATCTAAGGTTCCCTGGATAATCCCAGTGAGCCATGACTTAGGCTCTGAGCACCAGTCGGTTCCTTTGAAGTTGACCTGACTTACCTAGAGAACTAACAGTGTACATAGTTTCAAGGTTTCGGGGGATAAGATTGAGAGGAACGTTTCCAGGTGTCACTTACCCATGTTTCACAGTTCCCTTGGAAGAGGAGGGGGAGAAAGGCCATTTATATATGGTATAAATGTGATTTAAGTGCACTGTGTGCATGTGACCGCTGGCAATATAAATTATTTTTTAGTACATAATATTGCGGTTGAGATGCACACTCCCCACAACCCTGTTTGTGCTCCATTATTTTAAATGAATACTGTTGGGAATGCCAGGAACCTGTTGCATAAAGCTAGTACAATTGCGGGTTTTAAAAAGCATACCAATTAAAGCTTTCATCAATTAAATCTGCAGAGCAAGTGATTAAAGCTTACAGAGCCATGGTGAAAATATTACAGGAGCGAGATTACATGCCCTCTGCTCGTTTTTAAATTTTTTTGCCTTTGTTTTGAAACGTTTCTGCTTTTCTAGTGTATATGCAGAGCCAATGGCTGCTCTGATGTTATTTTGTTTTACAAGCCAGGACAGTGCTTGAATGCAAAGGCTTGAATGCCAAGGCTTTTCAGAATGACTGGAAAGGAAGGAAAACTCTTCACACCTAGAGCCTCCTAGCAAACGCATTACAATTTGGATGATTGAAACTCATTCCCCATTTAATGGCCCGGTTAGCTAAGGCATGGCAAACACTAACCATAGTTAAAGCTGAGGTGTCTGGCAGATGAACACTTAAACCTAACTTTATTATATTGAAGAATAGTTAAAAACACCAGCAGCTGAGCCTTGAGAGAGGTTCAAATTCCCCCACTCTTTATACGAGCCAGCCCTGCTCAAATGCTGCTAGCCACATTTAACTGTAGTTGAGCAGGAGGTCTAGGTTTGCACATAACACTAAGCTATGATTAATGTTAGCAAAGGCTTATAAAGCAACTACAAGCCTTAGTTAATGAATGACCTTCAACCAGAATTAATCATCCATAGTTAAGCCGCTAAGTTGGGTTCATACAACGCTTAAATCATGGTTTAATAAACCGTGGGTTTAGCATTAAGTGCAAACCAGGTCAGTGGGTGGTGCCCAATGCTATATTATTATTATTATTATTATTATTATTGTTGTTGTTGTTGTTTTATTTGTAACCAGCCCATCTGACTGGAGTGCTGAAGCCACTCTGGGCAGCTTCCAGCATATACCAAAACATACTGTATTTTTCTGTGTATAAGACTAGTTTTTTTCCCTAAAAAATAATGTCCAAAATTTGGGGGCGTCTTATACACAGGGGCCACCTCCCCCCATTTTCTTAAATTGGAGTCCCCCAAAATAGTGGGCGTCTTATACATGGGTGCATCTTATAGAAGGAAAATTGCGGTAATTAAACATTAAAAACTTTCCCTATACAGGGCTGCCTTCAGATGTCTTCTAAAGGTTGCGTAGCTGTTTCTCTCCTTGACATCTGATGGGAGGGCGTTCCACAGGGAGGGCACCACTACTGAGAAGGCCCTCTGTAGCTTCACTTCTCACAGTGAGGGAACCAGCAGAAGACCCTCAGAGCTGGACTTCAGTGTCCAGGCTGGATGACAGGGATGGAGATGTTCCTTCAGGTACACTGGGCCAAGGCTGTTTAGGGCAGGCACCCCCAAACTTGGCCCTCCAGATGTTTTGGGACTACAACTCCCATCATCCCTTGCTAACAGGACCAGTGGTCAGGGATGATGGGAATTGTAGTCCCAAAACATCTGGAGGGCCAAGTTTGGGGGTGCCTGGTTTAGGGCATTAAAGGTCAGCACCAGCACTTTGAATTATGCTCAGAAATGTACTGGGAGCCAATGTAGGTCTTTCAGGACCAGTGTTCGATTTCCTAATGAAAGGACTCAGTTAGTGAAATGAGGAAGAGAGGCATTTTTTGGTGAGTCCCCCTTCAGCCCTCCTGAATCTGCCTCCAGAAGGAGCCGCCAACACTTTGTGGAACAGATTTGGGAAGAGGGCAGAGGGAGAATTGCCCAAAATGGCCTTCCTGCCATTCCACTGACAAAGTTCTTCCATCAGCATATGGAAAGCTTTAGATACCAATCGATATATTTTGAACTTCTAATTAAGCTTTCCTCATATCCAAGGCTTAGGAAACACTAGATGCTTGGTTCTGCATTATTTGGGACTGAGCTCTTTATCCCCTCCCCCCATTTTCCTCTCAAATTTTAATAATAATTTTATTTATTTCAGGTTTGCTTTGTCAGGCATGGATATGGAGCAGAGAGACTACGATTCCCGGACAGCGTTGCACGTAGCGGCTGCGGAAGGTTGTGGCAGTGAATAATCTCCGGCATTTCTTGTTAACATTTTAGCGTCGTTTAATATAACGAGTGCATAAAATTATCCTCCTCCTTGTGTTTTGTAGGTCACGTAGAGGTAGTTAAATTTTTGCTGGAAGCCTGCAAAGTGAATCCTTTCCCCAAAGACAGGTGAGCATCTGCACTTGAACATACAGGGGAGTATTCGCAGTCAATTAAATTACGGCAGCGCTGGCTTCGTGGGCACTGTTCTCCGAGGAATTTGTGTGCTGAAAAGCGGATATTTTATGAGGAACGTAATGAGAATTCTCTATATGCAAGCCAGGCGGCTGCTGATTCTGCTAATAGGGAAGGCGGGAGGCAGGGTTCTGGGCTTAGTTACAGAATATGCCTAGTCTACATGCCCTTGGGAGGGAATCAAGGCAGTGAAATGGGAAGAATAGTATTATTATTATTATTATTATTATTAATTATTAGAGTTTCTATACCACCCTATACCCAGAGGTCTCAGGGCGGTTCACAGAAAAGATTGCAACATATATAATCAGAAAAAAAACAACAACCCAATAATATCCCCCTAGAAAAGAGCCACATTTAAAAGGGCACAGAATGTCAAACAGATCAACCAAAGGCCTGGCTAAAAAGGAACCTTTTTGCCAGCTGCCTAAAGGTGTATAATGAAGGCACCAGGTGAACTTCCCTGGGGAGAGCATGCCACAGACGGTGAGCCATTGCAAAGAAGGCCTGTTCTCGTGTTGCCACCCTCTGGACCTCTTGAGGAGGAGGCACACGAAGGAGGGCCTCAGATGATCTCAGGGTCCGGGTTGGAAAGAGCAAGTTCTTGAGGTATTGCAGTCCTGAGCTGTTTTAAGGCTTTATGGGTCAAAACCGGCACTTTGAATTGGGCCTGGAAACTAATTGGTAGCCAGTGCAGTCGGACCAGGATCGGTGTAATATACTCAAGCCGTCTTGTTCCGGTGAACAACCTGGCCGCTGAATTCTGCACCAGCTGAAGTTTCTGAATCTTGGGAGGCAGCCCTACGTATAACACAGTGCAGTAATATAACCTTGATGTTACCAGAGCATAGACAACAGTAGTTAGGCTATCCCTGTCCAGATAGGGGCGTAGCTGGACCACCAGCCAAAGCTGATGGAAGGCACTCCGGGACACATGAGCCTAAAGTAGACATTGTGCTCCAATGTTTTTTTACATTTTGTCCACATGCTTCCCTGTACAAACAGACTCCCAGCCTGGTCTTGTGCAATGTCAGATGTCCTTAAGCCTACTTAATTCAGTGAGCTTTGGCACATCAAACCATTCCTGCATTGTTTGCGGGTTAGACTGGATGACCCTGGGGTCCCTTCCAGCTCTTAAGATTTTATGCACAGGTCAGACTGTGAGACCACATATATCCATACTCAGGCCATCCTTGGTTTTATGGCTTATAATCAACTTCACTTTGAGTTTCACCTTCAGTTTTATTGCTTTTGACGTAACCCCATGCGGAATTTTCTCCGGTAGAATGAAACGGGCTTGTTAGCGGAATCCCTTGTTTACAGAAAACAACCCTGAGGACCTCAAGGTTGCTTCAGATGCTTTGAGCTTCTTCTGCCAATTGCAACGGGTTCCTGTGGAGGAGAGAAACATGCAGCCTGCCTACGGATTGGGAACTGTGATGATGGCACAACCATTCACGTTGCATGGGTTTTCTTCCATGGTAGTTAGTCGTGCCTGAACCCTGTATCCCCTGCTGCGCTCCTCGCCGTAACCATCATTGTACATTAAAAAGCAATTCAGTTTATTGGGCGAGGTTGCGGCAGGACTTCCTCCCTCGTGTGGTTCCCCCAGAATCTGCTCCAGAAGGTTGGAGGGACCCTCTTGAGCAGTTTTTAGGGTGCACGAGGGTGGGGAGTAAGAGAAATCTTTAGTGCCATTGCACAAGCAGCTTTTTGTTCTGCAAGCAGGCAGACGTGTTGCCCGCTGCTTTCATTAAATGCTTGTGATTTAAAGACACCTATTGATGCCTCCTGCTGCGGCGACGATGTGTGATGTCACATGCTGATGTCACACATGCGTGCCGGGCACCCACAATGTTGGGTGGAACCTGACACACCATCTCCCTGCCTTTTCACTAGGGAAAAGAGAAACTCACTACAGTGGTGCCTCGCAAGACGAAATTAATTCGTTCTGCGAGTTTTTTCGTCTTGCAAATTTTTCGTCTTGCGAAGCATGGTTTTAACGGTATTAACGGTTTTAAGAAAAAGGAAACAAACTTGCAAGACGTTTTCGTCTTTCGAAGCAAGCCCATAGGGAAATTCGTCTTGCAAAGCAACTCAAAAAACGAAAAACTCTTTCGTCTTGCGAGGTACCACTTTATCCCCATTTTAACTCCTCACTTAACATACTGGCTGACTTTGGGCAAGTCACTCTGTCAGCCTGCTTCTCTGGGTTATGTTAATTCTAAAAAGCTGCTCCAAGCTTGGGTGAAAAGGGGGGCGGTTTTACAAATATGGCAAGAGCTTCCAATATATTTTGATACCCACATCATCATCTTCAACCTGAATGTTTTTGCTCCTGCAGATGGAACAACACACCTATGGATGAAGCTTTGCACTTTGGACATCATGATGTATTTAAAATTCTTCAAGAATATCAGGTCCAGTACACGCCTCCGGACGATTCTGGCAGTGGAAAGGAAAACCAAACTGTGCAGAAGAACCTCGACGGCTTACTATAACCCTCTTTTCCCCCTCTGCTAGATCCCAAGAATTGAGATTACTGATCTAATTAATTGTGGGGAAAAATGATTATGAAGAGCGTGTGTGTTTCTATTGGATAGTGATGTATCTTTGTTTCAGTGTTACAAGAGCTTTCTTCATGGCGCACAGACAAGTCTCGTTTCTCTTTCAGAAAAACAAAACTTCCAAGTCTCCATTCATGATGTGAGCAATATTACCTCGTGCTACTTATAACCGATAGGGGAAAAAAGAAATATTAGCTGCTGTTGGCTTTGTGCACTACTTATTTATTTTTCTGTTTTCCGTGATGCTTCACTCTAGTCAAGAATTCCCTTCCCCCCGTTCTGCATTTATTTTTTTAAAAAAATTATTAATTGAAGCCGTCTGGGAAGCGTGCCTGAGTGGAACTGGGCCACACACAAGTGTCAATGTGGTCTTGCTAGATTTTCAAGGTTTGTTGCTGACGTGGATTTAGTTTGGATGCGTGATGTGGATTTAGTCTGTGTGTGTGTCGAGCTACAATCTGCACTTACGTATTTCTTGCGTTTTTAATTTCCCATGATACTTGTTTACATCATGTAAATTCTCAGAAGTATAGATTGTTGACTGGGGTCAGTGGTCTAGGCTTAACTTTTATTCGAATAGTGTTTTTATCAGGGAATCTGTTCTAAGGTTTGTTTGACCAAAAGATATAGAGGAATGTAATTAGATAACCACGAGATCTTAGATGTTTCTATCAAATCTGCTTTATCCTCATGTCTGGCTGCTGAAATACTCCTCAGTCCTTTGGCAGCCACTGGTTCTTCTCAACACTCTTTGTTTTCACCGAATCATCGTATACATACCACATTGGACTATGACTGACGGCAAGTGTCCTCCTTGTATTCTTTATTTAGCAGTGGCAAATACTTTATTCCAATCAAGGACCTGCAGGTATAAATAGAGAACCTGGCATTTTATAGTGTGTAAATCTAAATTCAAATTATGTGTGGATAAAGGTGATGTGGGGGCTGGTTTCACGCCAGGGGAAATAATTGCAACAAGGGTGTCAGAAGGGTACTTCCAACTAACCTCCATTCTCAACTTGGTGACACTCATGCTATGTGCAACTTGCTTAAGCGACCTGATCAAAGCAGGTAATGGTGATGTTGTCATTATGGATGTTCATCATATCAGAATCAATCTAGATGCAAACAAATGGCGTTTTATAAAGGTGGGAGCTATATGAAATCTCTGTGAGCTTGAAATAAGGATTCCATGTGGTGTTGATGTTGCTACCCCTCCTGTGGAAGATCAGCTGAGCCATTACTAGAGAGTGGACTGGGTTTTGTTGAAGGAAACAATTACTGAAGTAGAATGATTTGCATCCTTAAGGAAGTGCTTACACCATAGAAAGACGAGGGGTTTGAGACTGAGCATATGAAGGGATAGGCCTGAGATTTTACATTATAATAAGCAGTGGATCGAAACTGGGTTGCAGGCCATATGATTGCTCCAGAATCATAGCCACCATTTTCTGTTATTCTTGTTGTATAATAAGGAAGAGTAGATAGTAAAGCCAGGAGGAGACGCGCAGAAAAACACACGGTATGGGCGTGAGGATCCAAAACAGGCCTTGCATAACAAGTGAGGCTTAAAAGTGGATTCCAAAAATAAAAGATGGAAGTTGCACATTTTAGCAAACCTCTCATTACTGGTAGAATATCCTATTTTTTCACAGGTTTTAGGAGTTTCTTTCAAGAACGCCACATGCTTTATTTTCCTAAATGCCATCCACTGGGCTCTGTGCCACACCCCTCCACTAACGTTCTTTGAGCCAAATTGAGGACAGAATTTACTGCAGCGCCTCAGGAGTGCTTAGCAATACAGTGGTGCCCCGCAAGACGAAAAACTTGCTAGACGAAAGGGTTTTGCGTTTTTTGAGTCGTTCCGCAAGACGAATTTCCCTATGGGCTTGCTTCGCAAGGCGAAACGTCTTGCGAGTTCTTGCGAGTTTGTTTCCTTTTTCTTAAAGCCGCTAAGCCGTTAATAGCCGCTAAGCCGCTAATAGCCGTGCTTCGCAAGATGAAAAAACCGCGGAACGGATTAATTTCGTCTTCCGAGGCACCACTGTAGTCTGCAAAGACTGAAAGTATAAAAGTCCATTTGCCGGGCCTAGAGAGTCATAGCTGTTCTTTTCTCCAAAATGAATCATATTCTACGTGTATCTCCTTAAAGTATTCAAATTTATCCTTTTGACATTTCAGTAGTCTATAGTTATCACTATTTAATCAAATTGTAATACTGCAAAGGAAAAAAAAGCATTATGCATATAAGCAAATGAAAGCCATTTCCCCTCAAATAGTTTGAGATTAACATTAGTATTTCCACCCTGCCAGTAGACAGCAACTATTTTAGTACCAGCCTCTTCGAAGGTAGTTACAGTATAGCTTTTCCTCATTACAAGAGGAAGTTGCAATTTGTAAAGTAATTGTGGCCCATTGGAGGCAGTTCATTTACATGTGGGTTTATTTATAAATATACTGTCCTTTAGTTCTGTTTTCTGTTGCTAACATGTTTTTTGTTTACCAAAAAGGCTTGTTTTGCTTGAAGAACACACTCAGTTTTAAAGTCTAAGCATTCTATACTTGTTCATCACAGCCTATAGAATTAAGTCAATTTTATGCTTCGTACATAAATGGCTCCTGCAATAGTCCTAGAATCAGCTATCCCATTTTTTGTGTGGATGTGTTGTGCTGGACGCATGTCCTTTTTAGTTTCATAGCAGAACTACCAGTGACTGTTTGTAGTGACCCAATGAGTAAAATACCTGGGCTTGACATTTGACATTCTTTATTGTAGAGGAGAAACTATGATGATTGTATTTGCCTCTTGACAGTTTCCCCATGAACTGAATCTAAACTTAATATATACTTGAGCTGTACCACTTCTGAACGTAAGATTTATTTTCAGGATTACCAAATTCAGTGGTGTTGCATTTTACAACATAATAAACATGCTTACAAAAAAAAAAAAAGGTGGTTTGCTTTTTCTTCCCCGATCTATGCATGTGTGTTCTCAGTGGAAGCATATTAATTAAGCTTTTCATTCTTTCTATAGCAGCTTTACAAAACACATTTGCTGAGTGATGGGGGGGGGGTCCAATCTGAACTTGTGTATTGTGAAACGTGCACTGCTGGGACTCTAGTTTGCTTAAGAGGACTGTACTGCTTGTTGCATAGAGGGGCTGTAGAACTAATCTTTCTGGAGCCGAAGTGAGGCACACAAGCCTTAGCCACTGAACAGCCTAGGCAACAGAATCAGTCTCTTAATTCCCTCCACAATCTAGACTCTCTCCAGAAAGCAATTCCCTTTTAATGAAAAGAGACACCATGGGAAACCATTACAGTGGTACCTCGGGTTACATACGCTTCAGGTTACAGACTCTGCTAACCCAGAAATATTACCTCGGGTTAAGAACTTTGCTTCAGGATGAGAACAGAAATCATGCTCCAGCGGCGTGGCAGCAGCGGGAGGCCCCATTAGCTAAAGTGGCGCTTCAGGTTAAGAACAGTTTCAGGACCTCCAGAACAAATAAAGTACTTAACCCGAGGTACCACTGTATTCCATTAGCAACCAAACACACCGAAGGTATGCCACAATTACACACGTGTTATTAGGCGCTGCCACTTATTTACAGTCTTCAAACTGTGTGTGTCATTTATGGTCTGCCAACACAGAATACAAAATACATGGGATCATTAAAAGGTTACCACGGCAGGAATAGGGGGGGAAAACCCCAAATCTAACAATGCTGCTTATTTTGCAAATTCATCCTTTTACTGAATGGCTCTGATACGCAGAGCGTGCATGTAACAAAATCTATATACCACTTGGTTGCAATAAAAGTGGCTTACTGGATAGAAACCTACAGAATAGGCATATTATTTTTGGGGGGGCACTCCTGGTAAAAATTGACTCCACTGCCAGATGAGTTACGAGAGCTGGAACTATTACCTGCCTCTGCCCTCTAAATGCTTTCAGCGTTAAGTCATTAAAGCGTTCCTGTATTTAGGAAAAGATAACCAGTTATATAATAGGGAATTCTGCTCTTTAAAATTGGGTACAGCAATAACTGTGATCTTGTCGTTGAGCTCTACAGCAACTCTTAGCTGCAAATCCTGCTCCACCTGTTCAGTTTTGTTTTAACAACACAGCAATACACAATTAAAACAGGAAGAAGCAACTTTCTCTTGCAAACCATCATTTGGAATACTACAGAGAAAAAGGAGATGGCAGTGCAGAAAAGTAAACCTTTCCTCTAGTATCTTCATGTATTCCGATAGAATTGTACAGTTGGCAGCATCCCCCCAGGGCTATCACGTCCAACCGCCCCCCCCCCCCCCCTGCTCAAACCCATGACCCTGGTAGTAAGTCTCATGCTCTACCAACTGAGATATCCCTTAGGATCTTGAAAGTTCCTGGGGGACTCCTTGCCTATTTCCACACTAGCGCTCTGCAGTTAGTGAATGATCTTGTTCCCACCTCCAGCAACACACTTTCACTTAGCTTTCCTGTAGGCCAAAATGGAATCGCAAGTGTTAGACGAGGCGCAAGTGCTGTGTACTTGGGGTACAATGCTTATGTCAAGCTACACCCCACGGAACAGGGGGTGTACTTTGAAAGAGCCCTAACTAGGACTCCACAGTTAGTCAGGACTGTGCAGTTAACAGTACCCCACCAAGGAATCCTGATTTGCATGCATTTTGCCTCTCTGTGACACAGCAACGAAACCAGATTTGATTTCTGCAGGAAATCTAGGCTTCCAATTTGAACGTTCTTGGTGCTTTGTTTTTAAAAGAACATTCCATTTCACAGGGAACAAGCTAGGAATGTATGCAACGCTAATAAAATAAAATCGCCATAAGCACACACCAACTGACACACACAAACAAGCTGCTGGAAAACAAGTTATGTCCTGGATCACTAGCCTAAACCACTGTTTTCGTAACAAAAGAACAAACCCTTTTAACTTTTGTTTGCCGAAAGCGTAGCTTTAAAAACAGTGCAGCAGCAATACATAAGGCACTGCAGTGCTCAGAAACCAGAACTGCATAATATGGATTCTACAGCCTTTATGGGTCCTCAACTCACGAGTGGCTAAGTCTTGATGCAGGCCTAGCCAGCCAGCCCTTACGTTCAGTAATCTGGACATAGCTGGAAAAGAAAAGAAAAAAAGACAGGTTACCCAAGTGACAATGACAAATGACACTTAACATTCTACACTTTTGGTGGAGCGCTTGATCCTACAAATCCGCTTTTAACCAGCTGAAGAGCAGCTCTTGAGTCCCACGGTCTGTGCACCAGCTTATTCACTATTATTTAAAGGAGGCTGTTTGGAGAGAGGCAAGCAGATACAATGCCCTGCATTAACTCAAAAAGAAGTGGGGCAAAGCCAAGTCTGCACAATGGCCTCTGTCCACTTCATCATCACTCCCCACACCACCACCAAAAAACGGTGTCTCTTAACAGGAGACCAGAGTTAAAATTGGGCTTGCTATAAATTGCACCGGCTGGCTTTGAGTAAGGTAAAGGTAAAGGGACCCCTGACAGTTAGGTCCAGTCATGGCAGACTCTGGGGTTGCGGCACTCATCTCGCTTTATTGGCTGAGGGAGCTGGTGTACAGCTTCCGGGTCATGTGGCCAGCATGACTAAGCCACTTCTGGCAAACCAGAGCAGCGCACGGAAACGCCATTTACCTTCCCGCCAGAGCGGTACCTATTTATCTACTTGCACTTTGAAGTGCTTTCGAACTGCTAGGTTGGCAGGAGCTGGGACCGAGCAATGGGAGCTCACCCTGTCGCGGGGATTCGAACCGCCGACCTTCTGATCAGCAAGTCCTAGTCTCTGTGGTTTAACCCACAGCGCCACCCACGTGTAAGTTATTACAGTTAAATTGGTGTATAAGATAAAAGGGACAGCTCAGTTATGCTGCCTTAAGGAAGACACCTTATATCCATAGTCTACACCAGGAGTCGGCAACCTAAGGCTCAGGGGCCACAAGCGGCCCATGGGGGTCATTTAACCGGCCCACGAGCTGCCCCCGAACTGAGTCGCCTGCTTGGCGAGTCCCTGCGCGCTGTCCTAAACCGGCACAATGTGGTGCAGGGACTCGCTTCCGTGGCGTTGAAAATTGTGTCTGCACAGAAATCGTGGGCGCGTGATCCAGCCCAAGGAGGGATCTCTGCTGGAGTGAACCGGCCCAGGCGAGGTAAACCTTGCCGACCCCTGGCCTACGCCTCTGCTCATTGGAGGAAATCCAGAGTTGAGCATCCCCCAGCAAAGGGGAAAGGTAGTTGTTTAGTCGTTTAGTTGTGTCCGACTCTTCGTGACCCCATGGACCAGAGCACGCCAGGCACTCCTGTCTTCCACTGGCTCCCACAGTTTGGTCAAACTCATGCTAGTAGCTTCAAGAACACTATCCAAACATCTCATCCTCTGTCGTCCCCTTCTCCTTGTGCCCTCCATCTTTCCCAACATCAGAGTATTTTCCAGGGAGTCTTCTCTTCTCATGAGGTGGCCAAAGTATTGGAGTCTCAGCTTCAGGATCTATCCTTCCAGTGAGCACTCAGGGCTGATTTCCTTAAGAATGGAGAGGTTTGATCTTGCAGTCCATGGGACTCTCAAGAGTCTCCTCCAGCACCATAATTCAAAAGCATCAGTTCTTCAGCGATCAGCCTTCTTTATGGTCCAGCTCTCACTTCCATACATCACTACTGGGAAAACCAGAGCTTTAACTATACGGACCTTTGTTGGCAAGGTGATGTCTCTGCTTTTTAAGATACAATTTTGCCTTAAAGCTAACAGACTCCAGGGTAGCTTTTTCAGTTCTGCAGGGCAGAGGTTTTCAACCTTTTTTGAGTCCACTGCTTCCTCAACCAACTACATTCTTTCTGTGGCTCCCCTGTGGGTCTCAGGAGCTCAATTGTCACCCCTTGCCTGCCGAGCTGTCAGCCCCTCACCCCTTTCTTGGACACTCTTGTGGAGGGTTCCCTCAGCCTCCTTCCGTCTCCCTTCTCCTCTCCTTAGGAATCCTCACTTGCTTGCTTGCTTACTGAGGCCACCAGCACCCCGGCTGGTCCCAGAGGCACCATTCGCTTCAACAAACAGCTGTGCAAGCCTCTGGAGGGGGAGGGCATCAGAGAAGAGGATGGGAAGGAAGGAGGGAGGGCAAACCTGACCACGATTCAAGGCACCCCAGGATGCCACAATGCACTGGTTGAAAACCACTGCCGTAGGGGATTGCTGAATCACACCTGTAGAGTTTACTAACTGCTGCTCAGCGAGAAGCTCTTCCCTGTGTTACTATGATGTTACTAAGTATGTTTCCGAGCACAATTCAAAGTGTTGGTGCTGACCTTTAAAGCCCTAAACGGCCTCGGTCCAGTATACCTGAAGGAGCGTCTCCACCCCCATCGTTCAGCCACAACACTGAGGTCCAGCGCTGAGGGCCTTCTGGCGGTTCCCTCACTGTGAGAAGCCAAGTTACAGGGACCCCCAGGCAGAGGGCCTTCTCGGTAGTGGCGCCTGCCCTGTGGAACGCCCTCCCACCATATGTCAAGGCAATAAACAACTATTTAACTTTTAAAAGACAACTGCTTAGGGAAGTTTTTTATGTCTGATGCTGTATTGTTTTTAATATTCAGTTAGAAGCCGCCCAGAGTGGCTGGGGAAACCCAGCCAGATGGGCGGGGTATAAATAATAAATTATTATTATTATTATTATTATATTATATAAAATCATGCTAAGTCTCTCGGGGATGGCGGCACTATGTGAATTTCTTGCATCCATGACAGATAAGCGTGCCCGACAAGTAAGCAAGGCTTCAGAAGCCCCCGGCTTTGTGGTTGACTCACCATCATGTCTGCAGAGCCTATCGCTCGTTTGACCTCGTCAAAATCTTCCGGGGACATTGGCAAGAGGTTATCCGTGCTCTGCAGTTTGGAGGGGTGGCTGCAAGATAAGAAGGAGGGGGTGGGGAGAAAACAACAAGAACGTGACTGTTTCTAATAAGCTGGGAGCAACCAGGGAATCACTAGTCCTGGTATAAACAAAGCTGGGGAACCAGACGCCGAGCAGATGTTGGGAGATCAGTGCCCACCTTCCCCAGCAAAAAGCCAAACTGGGTGTGACTGATGGGAGTCGGAGTCTAACAACATCTGGAGGGAGACTGGTTCTCCTCACCCCTGCAGTACAGGATACCTCTGGCCAAACTGTTAATTTAGAGTGCTCGAAATCATTAAGCGTTGCCCAAAGGCCATGTAAACCCAACAGCGGACCCTTCTTGCCCTGCTAAGACAATCGGATCGCTTCGAACAGCACAGTAGAATTTTAACAGCATCTCCCAATACTACCAGGGCACAGAAGTCTAGCGTTACCCTTGCCAATACAGGAGCCAAACGTGAACCGGACCCAAGTGGGGAATCATCCCTGTACACAGAGGCCTAACTGGCAATGCAAGCGTTAAGTTAGGATAGCCACACCTTCGGAGGCGGTTCCTATTTGATACGCGGCGCATGCAATCCATGCTCAGGCATGCACAATTAAATATAAGCAGCCCGGTAAGGAGCTAGCGCACGAATTCAGAGGGGCAGGGAGAGATTGTGTGTTTGAATATCCTACATACTGCACACAGAAAAAGCAGCATACTGTAAAGAATATACAGAGGCGACCCTCTCAACTTGAAGCAGCACACATCTTTGACCTGTTCCTACTCACAGAGAAGCACCTTTTCCTTTACGCATGGCAAAATGCAAACGTGAGGCAAGAAGATGAAGGCATGCTGTAAGGAGAGGGCCTTAAAACTCTTCCAACTGTTGCCATGTCATACATTATTATTATTTTTCTAAAAACCATGACTTTACCAGATCTATTTGTTAGGACACTTTGGGAGGCTGGGCCAGTGTGACATTAAAAATTAGGGCTGCAAACTTTAATTAAAAACCCTTTAAATCAATTTTAAAAGACAATCCTGGTTAATTGGACAACACTTTTTTAAAAAATATGGTCAGTTAAGAGAAATATTATCTACACTGACCGGTAGTGGTTTTCTAGGGATTCCCACACCTACAAGGAGACACCAGAGAACTTTTGATTGCAAAATTACTGCGCTACTGCTAAGCTATAGCTCCACCCATTAACCCATATATGGTTGATGATGTCATCCCAGGGGGAGTGGCTACAAAGCTGATGGAGCCTGCTCCCCGATGGATGGACAAGAGAGAATTCTGGAATATTATTTAACTTACAGTGGCATACTGTGTTCTCAATTATATAGCTGGAAACTGCTAAAAGGGCTCTCTAGGATAGAGAAGGAGCCTATATACTTTATTAGCATTTAAGAACTGGGAAAAAACACATACAACGAGACAAGTGTCCCTGCCTTCTAGGCTTACAATCTAATTTGTTTAGAGAGAGTCAAATGGATGGGGAACAATCTCTCTCTTTCTCTCTCTCTCACACACACACACACACGGGAAGTTTTAAATCAGAATATGGAAACACACAAACTGAAGGGGCAGGCTGGGTTGGGGGGGGGGGAGGTGTTGAGTGTTCCAGTGGGAAAGAGGGGGCAGCTAGGGAATGGAGGGTGCAATTTTGGATTTATGGAGGAAGGGGAAACAGAGGAATGCAGACAGTGGGCAGGGAGACCACACAGAGATTTAGCAAAGGAAAGACTGACCTGAGTGGTGGGACAAGCAGAAGGGGGCAGGGAGAAAACAGAAACCAGGTTTCTCCCCCCACTTAGGCAGTTGCCTGCCTAAAGCATTGCTGCTCCTTTCTGCAGAACCACCTCTGGGCTCAGCCCAGGCTCCAAGTCCCTTCCCTTTAGACTCCCCCCACCCCCAGCTGCATCCCCTTGCCAGCTGACAACCCAGTAGTCTTAACCCTTTGCCCCCCTTCCAAAAACAAAACAAAACAAAACAAAACAACAAACAAAAAAAGCCCTGGGGAAATCTGGTTGTCCATCCCAAATTAAGTACCGCCAAAGAAGCACATTATACCAATATCCAAAATTAACATTTTATTTTGATATTTCTTTGTGCGTGAGATTTTTCCACCCCCCTCCTCCGAGTGCGCAGTGCATCACTAAGTGATGGTGTATTTGGAAGGCAAGATGGTCCATGGAGGAACTTCTGGAGTCAGCCTAGGCATGAACAGGTTATATAGTTCAGCTGTGCTGGTACCCCAGAGGTCACTTTGAAGGTCCGCACTGCAAAAGCAGAAAGGTCGGTGTGTGTGTATATGTGGGGTGGCGGGGGTGGGGAGTGTTCTACCCTGTAATAACAACGCAGGAATTTCACTTCTTAGCATCTATCACAGTTTTTTTTTAAAAGTACATTCAGCTGTCTTCTCAGCAAACTCACACTTCAGACACAGAGATTAATTCAGTTTTGATGTATCCTTTTCCTCCACCGTCCACATCCATGGGTTCTGTGGCTAAAATGATGAAAGAAAAACACATACAAAACCCAGTTTTAGTAACTATGGAACTGGTTCATTCAGCCAATAATGGCCAATGGTCAGGGGCTGACGCGAGTTGGGAGTCTAATAATAATAATAATAATAATAATAATAATAATACTTTATTATTTATACCCCGCCCATGTGGCTGGGTTTCCCCAGCCACTCTGGGTGGCTTCCAACAGAATATTAGTAAAGTAAAGGGACCCCTGACCATTAGGTCCAGTCGTGACCGACTCTGGGGTTGTGGCGCTCATCTCGCTTTATTGGCTGAGGGAGCCAGCGTACAGCTTCCGGGTCATGTAGCCAGCATGACTAAGCCGCTTCTGGAGAACCAGAGCAGCACACGGAAACGCCGTTTACCCTCCCGCCGGAGCGGTACCTATTGATCTACTTGCACTTTGATGAGCTTTCGAACTGCTAGGTTGGCAGGAGCTGGGACCGAACAATGGGAGCTCACCCCGTTGCGGGGATTCGAACCGCCGACCTTCTGATCGGCAAGTCCTAGGCTCTGTGGTTTAACCCACAGCGCCACCCGCGTCCCTAACAGAATATTAAAATACTACAAAAGCACTCCCAACGTTTCTTGGGTCTTCACTTTAATGTAAAGACAACGGTTGGGTTTCATCGAACGAGACTTGCCAGCGGAAGCCCCCAGCAAGGATTTCTGCACGTACAATGGAGCTCCCCCACCCTCTGCACCCAATTGGCTTGGGGTGGGGCAAAGAGAGACCCTCCACAATGGCACGAGGTGGGTGGGGGGAAGAGGTGGGGTTGTTCTGCCCGGCAAGATGAAACTCTTGTGCCGACTGAAAACACTGATGTTGGAATTCCAACCCCGTAACAATTCTGTCCATATTGGCGACCATGACATCGCAGCGGATGCACCCAGAATTGTCAAAACGTGCATCGTCAGGTCTAGAACTGGGGGGAAAGCCAGTGCTATTTTTCTGGGAGGGGATGCAAACCCCTAATCATTTTGTGAATCCAAGTCTGGCCTCATTGAGGGGCAGTATTTCAATATGAGTAGGAAAACGAGAGCACCCCTAAACATTTTTTTAAAGAAAAAAAGCACTGGAAAACGCAATGGACAAGACTACATTTCAAATCACCCGTTTGCTGCTATTCTCTGCTATTTTCCTTACAGCTGCCCCCTGTCCCCCACAAGTGCCATCCCTGTTTGGGGCCCAGGAAAAAAAGATGGGGTGGCACTGCTAATTTATGAGAGGAAATTGTTGTCGTTTTTTTAAAAAAAAGAACATGGCTTTTCACCGCTACAAATTCAGCTACTGATGCTTCATGGAACTGACCACAACACATGTTTTTGTTTCAAAGGAAAAGTACTCACACTCTTTGGGCCTGGAGTAGTATTTTCCAAAGGCATTGTCTTTGGGAATATCTGGATAAAGAAATTTCAGGGGGTTTTCCGGAATATTCTCAGCCGCCATCACCTTGTAGCTGCGAATAATATCGGGCAGGCTAACCGCAGAGAGTTCCTTCTTTGTGTAGGGCTCCACTGAGTGACAGAAATTATCTGGTACATAGCCAGGGGAGTGGGGGTGGAGAGAGACAAGAATTAAAAGCAAGATCAGAAACTCAACTTTCAACACACTTGGTCTGCTAAGAAGCTAACAGAACTCAGAAAGCTGCTATCTACTGTTTATCCTTCACATTAGGGTTGCCATTCACCACCACCCTGTAACAGAAGAGAAATTTAGCAGGTGAGCTTTCCCTCAGCATCAGAGTTAAAAGGAGGATGGCTCTTAAGAAGTTGCCAACTTCTCCTTCCATTTTTTTTTAAATATAATTTTTATTAGTTTTCAATTACAATAATCCAATAAAAGCCTCATTATGCCAATACAAAATTATAATTAATAGTGCCAATCTTTCAAATGCCAAATTATACCATTTATGTGCCCACTCCCCCCCCCCGTGTGCTAGAATGAATGGTTTGACAATTTATGTAATTTCTGCGTTCCATAAACTTATAAATTCCAATTACACAGCAGTCAGAAAAACAAACCAGCTTCTCCTTCCATGTTTTTCTCCATTCTCTCAAAATCCCTGCCTAGGCTCCCTTTCCCACAATTATGCCAAGAGGAAAACAGGAAGCAAGAGACTTGTTTCAAAGGAAGGAACATTCCAATGTTTATTTTTTTTGTGAGAAATTGGGGTGCAAGAGAAAATTTCCATAGCTTAGTGATAAAGCATTATTATTGTGTAGGAGGCCCAATTCAAAAAACAACTGTGCTTGGAGAGCAAGGCTCCAATGAACATGAGAGGATTTGCTGCCACAAAAAAATAACACAAACAAATATACCGGCTGTATATAAGTTATTTTTAAATGTGATTCAACATATCATATCAAAATATATGGTTCTACAGACCAACGTATCATACAAACGAAACATATTATGATAAATTAAAGTCTAGCAGATTGATCAGGAAATACAATCTATTCAGTTCTTATACTGGCAATATCCACGGTGTGGAATTCTTATACAGTGGTACCTCGGGTTAAGTACTTAATTCGTTCCGGAGGTCCGTTCTTAACCTGAAACTGTTCTTAACCTGAAGCACCACTTTAGCTAATGGGCCTCCCCCACTGCTGCCACGCCGCCAGAGCACGATTTCTGTTCTCATCCTGAAGCAAAGTTCTTAACCCGAGGTACTATTTCTGGGTTAGGGGAGTCTGTAACCTGAAGCGTATGTAACCTGAAGCATATGTAACCTGAGGTACCACTGTATCAGTCTTGGTAGTGTTCCACGTGAAGATGCTTTTACGAATTCTACCATTCCTTGTATGCAGGTATCAGACAAAAAACTTGGAAGAATGGCACATGCACAAAAATTTTTAAAATGGAACGCTTCAGGAATTTGCGTGTCATCCTTGCGCGGGGGCCATGCTAATCTACTCTGTATCATTCCAATTTTAGTATATGTGCTGCCACAAAAACAATATGCAATGGATAGGTTTTTTCCAAAAAAAATTTTTTTTTAAAAAAATGTATTAAAAAAAAATTAAGCCCTTGAACACGACATGAGTGTTCTTTTTGAGTGTTTGCCTACCATTTTGTGGTCCTTCTGCCCAGGTAAAAGTGATGGCTCCTTCTCGACTACTTTCACTGAACCTCAGGAGGAAGGTACCGGTGGGCTTATTCTTGAGCAAGCAACGTTCTCGTTCTTTGCTTATGAAGCCGATGATGCTTCTGAAATGTCAAAAAGAGAAGAGCACAGATGCACAAAACATTTGTGACAGGACTTTGGCCTTGTAGTAAGTCAAGAGGACACCAACCTGGGGCCCTGAAGGTATTGTCTAGATACTATCAACTCTCCTCAATCAGGGCTGATGGAAGTTAAAGTCCAACAACATCCAGAGCGCACCGATTTATGGTAAAGTCCTATCCGCCCACAACTGCCAAAACGGCTTACAAATGAGTATTTCCAGTACGTTTCCGAGCACAATTCAAAGAGTTGGTGCTGACCTTTGAAGCTCTAAACGGCCTCGGCCCAGTATACCCGAAGGAGCGTCTCCACCCCCATTGTGGCAGCAGTACAGATTTAGGAGAATCATTGGAGTGAAAGTTGGGTTTTACTATTAAGTAAGAAAATACCCACCTTTACTGACCACAAAATCAAAAGTTGCATTATAAATTAGGGATGCGACTTGCTAATTGTTCCTCATTTCCTTCACCTTAATTTGGAGGGGAGGGGACAAGGCAGAACCTTTTCACTGTTTAGAAGCTCCCAAATATACTGCAAATATTCCAGCAGGTCCCAGCTATCCGTCTCTTTACATTACTTGCTTTTTCATAACAAAGGGAATCCATAAAAACGCTTTTATGTTCTCAGTAAACCTGTTTGCTATGCTGTGGATAACAAGCTACAATAGCTCTCTAGAGGTATATTTATCCCCCAGCTTCTTCCCCATATATACTTTATACTGCTCCATAAAAATAAAAAAAAGCAATTTCAGGGCAATTAAAGTTCTGTTTTGAGAAATGGGTACACGTTCAGCACTGCCTATCGTTTCACGGTCTGAGCAATTACTGTTTACACAATTAATTAGACTGCTGTTGTTTGGAGCCTACCAGCAGATATATAATAAGCCATTTAAACTGCGTTTTAATCGGTCTTTGAGCTGCCGTTCTGACAACAGTCCCTAAACCAGGAGCAGGGAAACTGTGGCCTTCCAGTCACTGCTGAACTGCAACTCCCAAAAATCTCTGACTGTCTGTCATTCTGGCGGCGGCAGGGAGGAGCTGAATTGCAACAACATTTGCAGGGCGACAGATTCCCGTCCTTGCCGTAAACCTTCTTACCTTAAAACTGAAATCTCCTTCATTGTGTTTCTCTCTCCTCATGCCCCCAAGACTATTCCATATGCAAAATGTTCTCCCTTTTTTCGGTGGTGGCAAAGCTAAGCATTGTTTAAGCACCACTGATTTCAAGGGGGAAGACAAGGGTCCTGGGAATAAAACCCCATGAATTCCATGGAGTAAATGCACAAAGACTGCATTGTAAGATACCCAATTCCAACCAGAACACCTTTAATGTTATTTAACTGATGTTTTAATGTATTTTTATTCTTTTGTTGGAAGCCGCCCAGAATGGCTGGGGAAACCCAGCCAGATGGGTGGGGGTATAATTAATTAATTAATTAATTAATTATTAATAATAATAATTCCAGACGTGGTTTTATTTAGGATTCCAAGCCCATCCACTGCCCTCAAGAAGCCTCTGAAATTCTTACCCATCGTTCCAGAGGGCGAGAAGATGTTTCTTAATGAGGTCAAGGATGCCTTCAATCCACAACCAGAAGGGAACGTTTTTGTCATTTATGTTTTCCTGAAATTGAAGGAAACAAAAGAACAGCGCGTTAGAAGTTGCTACTTCAGCTAACCACAACGGAGCTCGTACATTAAGAGTATCCGTTCTATCAGTGGTGCTCTTCTCATTAATTTTTTTCCTCACGGCTGTTCTTGGGTCTTCCGATTTTGTGTTCTATACATTCACATTCCCACATGCATTCCAACTGTCTTACAAGTCTCAAGGCCACCTCTATGCTATTGTGCGTAAGGGTGTTCACACATTGCATTCAATGAGTGTGAAACTTGTGTGCCCAATAGTTGAGCTACTGCTACGTAAAGAGTTTCTCCACCCGCATCGTTCATCCCGGACACTGAGGTCCAGCTCCAAGGGCCTTCTGGCGGTTCCCTCACTGCAACAAGTGAAGTTACAGGGAACCAGGCAGAGGGCCTTCTCAGTAGTGGCACCCACCCTGTGGAACGCCCTCCCACCAGATGTCAAGGAAATAAACAACTATCTGACTTTTAGAAGACATCTGAAGGCAACCCTTGTATCGGGAAGTTTTTAACGCTTGACATTCAATTATGTTTCTATATTCTGCTGGAAGCCGCCCAGAGTGGCTGGGGAAACCTAGCCAGATGGGTGGAATATAAATAATAAAAATAATTACTATGTATTTTTTTAAAAAACCAGCCAGCACAAACACTTGTACATGCACAAACACAGTCTGCGACTTGTGCTCAGGGTAACCTATGAATAAGCCTGGTGAAAGCTAGTAAAAGGTGTCTGGAGCAAGATGATTCATAGAAGGCAACTGGGCACCAAAAGAGATTGCGCTATGCACATGTGCCTTTCTCTTGAAAATGACTGAAACCCCACAGTCCAAACATACAATGTATGCTGTGCTCTTCCCTGTATCAGGAGGGTGTGTGTGTGTGTGTGTGTGTGAGAGAGAGAGAGAGAGAGAGAGAGAGAGAGAGAGGGAGGGAGAGACTCCTATTGCACACATTGCTGTTCAGCAATATAATGTTGCCTATGGTTGTGCACTCAAGACAGTCTGTTTTTCCGAAAATACAAGACTCCTCTCTCTTGGGTGCTCTCCCCTCGGCCCAATCTACCCCCATCCTGCTTCTCACTGCATCAGTAAAATTACAACCACAACAAAATGATTCTCAGTACACTGACGTGTTTTCTGTTCTATTTAGTACCCTCTGCTGGCAACTGGAGAGAAAGCAAGATTGTAAGACCTGAGGCGAGTTGTTTTAGCAAACAACAGCTTCCCCTCCCCACCAGAAAGTTTTAAAATATGACAGTTCAGGCTCTGTCTTCCACCATGGCCTCCACACACATTTTTTCAGGTTTGTGCAGTGGCTCAAAAAAAGCCCCACAACAACTTTTTTGAGATGACGAACAAAGGCCTTTATCACGCCACCTTAAACTCCCTTATAAAACTACGGTTTGTCTCCGACTTAGGCAACCAACTGGTTATCAATGGATCCAGTAGTGGTTGGACTCTGGCCCCTTTAGAAAAAGAAAAAAGGAAATATCCTACCTTACAGAACCTCACCCAAGTAATAGTGCCGTCCGCAGTGCATCCGTTCGCTAAAGGGAAACAAGTTATTGCCATGTTACTCTTCAGATAGTAATTAGGCTAATATATCTGTATCACATGTAAGATTGGAGATAGAATCTTACCCTCCAAGAACACAAAGGATTGAATTTAAATCCCAAGGGCAAAGGGAGAGGAAGGACTCCCAGAAAAGAAAAGAAAAACCCTGCTGATTGGAACATGCCTTATTCCCATCTGCACTGCCGTGCTAAGGACTTAGGAATTTCCTAGTAACTGACAAATCAGAATGCTTTGTTGTTGTTTAGTTGTTTAGTTGTGTCCGACTCTTCGTGACCCCGTGGACCACAGCATTCCAGGCACTGCTGTCTTTCACTGCCTCCCGCAGTTTGGTCAGACTCATGTTTGTAGCTTCGAGAACACTGTCCAACCATCTCGTCCTCTGTCGTCCCCTTCTCCTTGTGCCCTCCATCTTTCCCAACATCAGGGTCTTTTCCAGGGACTCTTCTCTTCTCATGAGGTGGCCAAAGTATTGGAGCCTCAGCTTCAGGATCTGTCCTTCCAGTGAGCACTCAGGGCTAATTTCCTTCAGAATGGATGCGTTTGATCTTCTTGCAGTCCATGGGACTCCCTCCCCAATTATATTCTGATCAAGTCGGCAGATTTTGCTTTCGACAAATGTGATGTTTTTAAAATAATGATAATAATAATTAACCCAGAAATACTTCCAATTTATTTATTTAGGGCAGGAGCTACATAACTGGGCTCACAATTTATTTAGGGCAGGAGCTACATAACTGGGCTTCATGCAAGCTTCAGCCAGGTGGTCCACAGTAGGGGCTGTGTGATAAATTGCCACATCGTTGAATACCAGTATCGAAATAACATTGTGGTAAGTGTTTCAACCAGACAATATATGGGTGAGCGAAAAGGTAGAGACTTGACAGCTTCCCAGGGGGTAGCTGAGCTGAACCGATACTTTACAGATAATTTGCAGTACGTTTCTGAGCACAATTCAAGGTGTTGGTGCTGACCTTTAAAGCCCTAAACGGCCTCGGTCCAGTATACCTGAAGGAGCGTCTCCATCCCCATCGTTCTGCCCCGGACACTGAGGTCCAGCGCTGAGGGCCTTCTGGCGGTTCCCTCACTGCGAGAAACCAAGTTACAGGGAACCAGGCAGAGGGCCTTCTCAGTAGTGGCACCCACCCTGTGGAACGCCCTCCCACCAGATGTCAAAGAGAAAAACAACTACCAGACTTTTAGAAGACATCCAAAGGCAACCCTCTTTAGGGAAGCTTTTAATGTTTAACAGACCACTGTATTTTAATACTCTGTTGGAAGCCGCCCAGAGTGGCTGGAGAAACCCAGTCAGATGGGCGGGGTATAAATAATAAATTCTATCCTATCCTACCTTGTCTCCTGCTTTGTTTTCTCTCTCCCTCCTCCCTCCTAACTGATAAGAAATGAAACTGTTATGCCTTGTGCGCCAGAAAAGATGGATATAAAATATCCAGCGAAAGAAATGGCATAACCTCTAATTAAACATGGTGGGAAGCTGCATGCATTTTTTTTTTAAGGAGGTTGACAGTGCAAGCGACATTTTCGAACATCACTTACGAAGTAACTTTTCTCCTATCATGCTCAGTTGCTCTGCGTTGAGTCCCCGCTTTGTGACAGAAGAAAACTGCCAACTCAGCACTTCGGAAAGCTGCGACCACCTTGCACACGGCGCGTTCAGAAAGAAGGACAAATTCTAGAGAGGAAAAGGAAAGGATTTAGAATCTGAGCCACTATTTACTGACTTTTGTTTTATTTACAGGAATATCATCCCACCTTTCTTCCAAAGGAGCCCAAGTGTCATAGAAATTTCTCCCATTTTATTCTCATAACCTTGTTTGGTAGGAGAAACTTGAGACATGATTGGTAGAGCGGAGATTTGAACCAGCCTCCTTGGTCCTAGGACTCAGTTACCGTATTTTTCGCTCTATAGGACACACTTTTCCCCCTCCAAAAATGAAGTGGAAATGTGTGTGCATCCTATGGAGCGAGTGCAGGCTTTCGCTGAAGCCTGGAGAGTGAGAGGGGTCGGTGCGCACTGACCCCTCTCGCTCTTCATGCTTCAGGAAACTATCCGCAAGCCTTCGGAGCGCGGCGGGAGTGCCTGCCGCGCTCCCAAGGCTTGCGGATAGCAGCCTCCAAACCTGACCTGGTTTGGAGGCTGGCGGTGTGGGACAGCAGCGCTTCTCCCCACCGCCAGCCCCACAAACTCGGGAGACAGCGGGGAGGCAGAGTGCTGCCTTCCCGCTGTTCCCCGACCTGGTCTTTGGGGCTGGCAGTAGAGGAAAGCAGCGCTCCGCGCCCCCGCCAGCCCCAAAGAGCAGGTCGAAAGGGAACTCCCGCTGGGCTCCGGAGGCTTCGGGTGAACGCACAGAATGCACCTTGTTTTAGAGGGGGAGAACAAGAAAAAAAAAATTCCCCTGTTCTCCCCCTCCTATGGTCCGGTGCGTCCTATGGTCCGGTGCGTCCAATAGAGTGAAAAATATGGTACATTTCGTCACATTAATGCGTTTTGAGTGCGTTATAAACATCCAACACCAGATGGCGCCAGAGAGCAGAAAAAAGTACCGTATTTTTCGCACCATAGGACGCACCGGACAATAGGACGCACTTTGTTTTAGAGGGGGGAGATCAAGAAAAAAAAATTCTCCCCCTCTCTGCCCAGCGCCCTTCAGCGAAGTGGCAGGAGGCGCTGTGCAGAGAGGGGAGAACTTTCCCCCTCTTGTTTTCCCGCTCTAAAACAAGGTGCCGTTTAAGGTGCGTTCAGGCGGCTACCTTGGAAGCCTGGAGAGCGAGAGGGGTCGGTGTGCACTGACCCATCTCGCTCTCCAGGCTTCAGGTTCCTCGACCTGCTCTTTGGGGCTGGCGGGGGGAAGCCCACCACCAGCCCCAAAGAGCAGTTCAGGGAGCAGCGGAAAGGCGCAGCGGAGAGGCTCCTGCCATAGCCGTGCGTCACCTCTCCAGCCGGGAGAGGGTCGCTGGGCTATGGCTTCTTTAGCCCGCTGGCGCCTCCCGGCTGGAGAGGTGACGGGCGGCTATGGCAAGAGCCTCAATAGCCGCGCGTCACCTCTCCAGCCGGGAGATGGTCGCGGGGTGCTTCTTAGCCCCGCGCGCTCTCCCGGCTGGGGAGGTGACGCGCGGCTATAGAAGCTCCTGCCATAGCCGCCCGTCACCTCTCCAGCCGGGAGAGGGTCACGGGGGCTGCTTTAGCCCCGCGCGCTCTCCCGGCTGGAGAGGTGACGCGGGGCTGTAGAGGCTCCTGCCAGAGCCGCGCGTCACCTCTCCAGCCGGGAGAGGGTCGCGGGGCTATGGCGTCTTCGCTCCATAGGACGCACACACATTTCCCCTTCATTTTTGAAGGGAAAAAAGTGCGTCCTATAGAGCGAAAAATACGGTATATATGTATTGTTACATAGGCATTTTTTCTTTCTTTCATTGTAACGATTTAATTTCTGACTTATTTATAGCGTTTTTAACCTGTGTCCAGACCCACCCCTTATTTTGAAATATTAAGTACTGCACCATATTGGCTCTCACAAGGGTAGGCCTAAACACCTAAACACCCATGTGGGGAGTTTTTACATCCCTATCAGGGAGCTCCAACCTCCTCACAAAAAAAACCTTTTTTTATCTTCCCACTCAACAAGACACATACTCCTGAAACGTGGAATCATTTTGAGAAGGGGGGTGGCTTCTGATGCAACACAAAGCATTACTATTTCAAAAGGAAACAGGAGGCAGACCAGGGTGCATACCTTAAAATGGTATTTGGATTTCCAGACAACCTACATGGAAACTCTAACAATAACTGTTTATTTTACCTGGGCAGAGCGGGGGGGAAACCAATAAAATTTCCTGCAATTTTGTAGTTACGACTTGTTGCTTCTTTTCAAAAATGTTATTTTTAAAAAATGGCTGTGGATTTAACTATAATCCTTAAGCTTTCTCTGTGACTGTTGTGTGCAGTTTCTCCTGTCTGCATTTTGTCCACATTCTTCCTTTTCCTTTTGTTGACAACTCTACAATCCATTTGCATGTTCTCATGCCCATTTTTAATTTTATACGGGAAGCAGCTGGTGTGTGTGTGTTTTTAAAGTGAAATATGATCAACATCAGCAAAGCAAGTGATTTCTTCTTACACAGAGAACGCATTGCCCTTGTACAATTTAAATCAAGAGAAAAACCGCTGCTTTTTCTCCCCAAAATGCCATGTATAAAAGAGTTCGAACAACTGTAATGTTTATGCAACGGTCATAAAAGCAATTCCAAAAAAAATCAAGTGTCCAATCGGGTCTTCAGTGTACGTAACTGAAGAAAACCTCATCACTGAATGGAGCTTTCCAATTACGTTTTTAAAAGGTACCATTTTACATGAGGTATTTAATATTGCAAAACCATAAGCTGAAAAGCCAGCCGCTTTTAGCTCCTTTCTCCTTAAACAGTTTTCATTCCAAATGGTTGTTCGAAGAAATGATATCCAACATAGGATAAACTCACTGAAATAACTTATGTCCATATTCAAATGGGTCTTATGTTGAACTTAGTCAATGGGTCTGTGCACAGATATAACCAATGCTGGATTATTAGCCTTCATAAACAGAGCCTTCAAAACCAGAGCTTGCTTCCTCCTCTGTCACAATTATTTTCCTTTTGTGCCATGTACATTGACTTTGGTAAGTTACAACGCTCTTCAGCTGTGAGAGGGTGATTGCTTTCTTTCAGAAGTTTTTAATTTATTTATTTTTAAAAGGAGACTCTCTTTACTTATTGATGTATTTGCTACCCTAAGTTCTTCGAAGAGCAGGATATAAATTTAATAAATACAGTCGTACCTTCCAAAACGGATTCCGTTCGACTTCCAAAGCATTCGAAAACGAAAGTGTGGCTTCTGATTGGCTGCAGGAGCTTCCTGCAGCCAATCAGGAAGCCACGTCAGACGTTCGGCTTCCAAAAACAGTTAGCAAACCGGAACACTCACTTCCAGGTTTGCGGAGTTTGGGAGCCAAAACGTTTGAGAACTAAGCTGTTTGAAAACAAAGGTACGACTGTACATCGATGAACAAAATAATGGGGCTTGCTTTAATGAAGAGTATTCTTTCAATTGTTTCAATATCCATTCACCCACCCAAATCCTGCACTTAAAAAAGGATGCCAGGATACTCACCTTGGGCTCATTTGTCAGCATGTTGTACCACAAGATGGAAGCCCATCCGCTCGGCAGCTGGCTGACATTGGAGATGACAACAATAGGAAGGGAGGTGGTCTGGGAAGCGAGGGTGACAGGGAAAAAGTGAGCGAACGCTTCCAAGATGGTCAAAGGCACGGAAATTAAGGGGAGACACAGTACCAAATTCTTTTAGGCAGCAGCATCACGTCATTACAATTTGCAAAACATGGCTGGATATTTCGACACAGAAAGATATGACAGGCAACCCTCGTTTTGCGCGGGGGGTTGCATTCCAGACCCCCAAGCGCATCGGTGGACCATGCGCATGTCGCCTTTCATGACCTCTGTGACGTTTTGGGGCTGCTTCCTGGTTTGGCGCCATGCGCACATGCTCAGACGCAACTAAATCGGTCGTTGCCTGTATAGCCAAGGTTGGTATATTCACTTTTCTACGCTCAAAGCTCTTTGGTGAATTTAAAAACAAAACAAACTGCAGAGTGAGCCAAACTCCATATAATTGCTTTTACCACAAAAGCAAACTGCTCCCAGTTTGGCAAACGAGACATAGCTGGGCCAATCTAACAAACAAGGAAGTGCCAGGCTGTGTTCACAGTTTGGCTTGTGGGTAGATTGGGACAAGACTTTTCCTAAAATTCACTCCTCTCTTGCTACATACATAGCCTTATGTCCTGAGTAGTTAACACACTTACCTCTAGATCAATTATGAGGCCCCACTGCTCCAGCGTTGTCTCAAAAGAGAGAGAATGGAGTTCTTCTGTTACAATGAGAGGCCCCTTTATATAGGAAAAAGGCAGCTTTAAAAAATAACAATTACAGGAATCTGTCGCACTGCACAACTCCCCTGATCCCTGATTATGCTCGTTGGGGATGAAGGGAACTAGTTAGATCTTCCAAACCCTTCAGAACATAGGACTGAAAATGAACTGGACTCTTTGGCAGGTTTTGAATAAACATTCACAAACTGTTTATTGTAATATATAGAAAGACAACTTGAGGATTTTTACAATTCTTTAAGATGCAGATAGAAATATGTGTTGAGGAAACCAGGGACAGGAGCTGAGGGAAGTCCGGGGGTGGGGTGGGAGGTTGGGTTTGTTTGTTTGTTTGTTTATGGGGGAGGGGGGGCAAAAAAAATGGAGGGGGGAAATAATAGTATTGTGGATGATGTATTTTTGATAAAACTATTGTGTTGAAATTTCCAATATTTTTTTATTTTTTTAAAAGGACTGAACTTCCTGTGCTATCCTCATTGGACAGTATCTCCTCCCCAATATAGGTGGGACAACCACTTGTCAATCACCCGACATCCTTATTGCATCAGGTGCCTAACAGGAAGGTGGCCCCACCCACCTGTCAAAAGCTGGCCCAGTGGGATGGGGAAAATAAAATATCTGGGTTGCTGGACTAAAAATCCTGTTCTATATCAAAGGTTAACAAGGGAGACCCTGGTACTTTTTTCAGTTATATAATTATATTATCACTCTAACCAATATCAGGTTTAACATTTACAGGCGAAGGTTAAAGAGTAACCTCAAATCTATGGGGGATCATGGTATGTGGAAAAATAGGTAAAAAATGGAAGGGACCCCAGGACCGTTAAGTCTAGTCCATGGCGACTATGGGGTGTGGCGCTCATCTCACTTTTCAGGCTGAGGAAGCCAGTGTTTGTCCACAGACAGCTTTCCGGGTCATGTGGCCAGCGTGACTAAACCGCTTCTGGAGAAACAGGACACTGTGACGGAAACCAGAGCGCACAGAAATGCCATTTACTTTCTTGCTGCAGCGGTTCCTATTTATCTACTTGCACTGGTCTGCTTTTGAACTGCTAGGTTGGCGGGAGCTGGGACAGAGCAACAGGAGCTCACCCCGTCGCAGGGATTCGAACCGCTGACCTTCCGATCGGCAAGCCCAAGAGGCTCAGTGGTTTAGACCACAGCGCCACCCACATCCCTTTGTGTAGTCTATTACCACTGCTTATTAAAAATCTGCTATCAAATTAAAAGAAAACTGAGTAAGCAAAATGAACGGCATAGGTGTTGATTCCTCTTACCTCATTGGTTCTTCCAGGATTCTTTTGCTCCTTTAATTGCTGTAGAATGAAGGAATGTCTCAAAGTGAGTGACATTTATGTTCATTTTTCAGTATATTAACCAATCAAAGACACAGTTCAAAGACCAACGTGTCAGGTGCCAAACCATGGTGCACATTTTGACTAGCCAGGGGTTGAGCAACACCCTAACACAAACTTCACCAACCTAGTGCACTCTAGTTGTTTTGTATTCCAACTCCCGCCAGTGCGGCCAATGGTCAGGGATGATGGGACTTGCCGTTCAATAAACATCTGGAAGGGCACCAGTACTAGATTCTCCCAAAGGAAGCTCTGGATGAAACTAGTCAACATCAGACTCATAGGTGGCAATATTGTGCAATTGTATTTCACGTGAATCATGAAGGATTTTGTTTTAAATCTTCCCCCTCATTGAAAGAGAAATTTGTGATATTGTGTCTCCCCACGCCCCCAATATTTTCATTTCACTTTTAATTTGTATACCTCGGGTTAAGTACTTAATTCGTTCCGGAGGTCCGTTCTTAACCTGAAACTGTTCTTAACCTGAAGCACCACTTTAGCTAATGGGGCCTCCTGCTGCCGCCGTAGCACGATTTCTGTTCTCATCCTGAAGCAAAGTTCTTAACCCGAGGTACTATTTCTGGGTTAGCGGAGTCTGTAAACTGAAGCGTATGTAACCCGAGGTACCACTGTATTGCCTTTCTAAATTACTACACACAAGGCCATTTACAAGCTGAAAAACAAAACAGTTGCCTAATAACAATCTGATCCTATAAAAAAAAAAGCCGTAATAAAAACATAACTTTAACAACTTATATCAACTAAAGCAATATTCAACAATCCAGTAAAATTCACGATCCGGGAAAACCATGAAGCCAGCCAATGCCTCCGCATAGCTCCGTCCTTATTTCAGACATTGTGATATATTGATATAACGCGATGTTTAGCTGCTGACATATCACGACTTTCAAAACCAGATATTGCCCAGCCCTAGTTATGGGTCCATAAAGCAACTTTAGTTTGTGCTATACAGTGGAACCTTAGGTTACGGGTAACATAAACTTCTGGTTACGTTACCGGCAAACTTGGAAGTGTTTCGCTGCGCACGCATGCGCAGAAGCGGAAAAACGCCTCTGCGCATGCGCAGAAACAGGACCTCCAGTAGCAAAAACTTTGGGATACAGCTGGACCTCTGGAACAGATCCTGTTCACAACCGGAGGTACCGCTGTATAAGAAATGTACCAACATTAATATGGAGTATAACTGAATTAATGCACATGTAAAAACAAGATTTTTTTAAAAAAAACAAAGCAGGTAAGTATTTCAAAACCACCGTATTTTTCCATGTATAAGATGCCCCCTATTTGGGGGGACTTCAATTTCAGAAAACACCCCTCAGCACTTCTACTGTGTAGAAGACGAACCCCAATTTTAAACCTACTTTTTGTTTTTGTTTTTAAAAAAGCTAGTCTTATAAATGGAAAAGCTCTGGCACAGAAGAACAAGAAGACTTCTTATGAAAGGAATCCTGCCAAAAAGGAATAGGGGTGTTTGTGTGTTGTATGTCATTGTACATGCACACACACAAATACGTGTGTGTGTGTGTTAAATAGAAGCAGAAGTGAATACAAAACAGTGACATACTTGCTAGTTGTGGCCTGTATGGAATATATACTCCTTCAGTACACAAACATCAGTAGCACAGAACGTTTTGGGGGATGACGAAGACAGAACGTTATGAAGATATTTTGAGAATGTGAATGCCAAAAAGATAGGCCTCACCAGATGTCTAAATTCTGCTGACAGGCTTCCATTCGACTCTTCCATGTTCATCACTTTGGAATTCGTCCCCAAGATGTTAAATTTTCTAAATCTTCAGTGAAAACAGATTTTAAAAGTTTTTTTGAGACTAATCAATTCACTGTGTAACAAGAACAACAAGCAGTAGCGTACACAAGAAGTCAACGTACCCTTTAACGGCAACTTTCTCGTTGACGTCTCTGCAAAGGAATAAAAATAGTGAGGGGAGGTCCATTATATACAGCTGACAATGTATGTGGCAAATTTATCCATTTTACTGTAGGTTTTTTTAGTGGGTGTTTTAAGCAGTGGTAAACTTCTCCAGTGTGCAAATGTTACATACTGCAGGACCTGCTATTTCAAAGATGAGCAAGACCTGTCAGCAGAAAACAACACCAGAATTTTTACTTTTTAGTCCTAAACAGAAATAGGGAAAGTGTGAAAGGATAACAGGGATCTATTGTCACAGGTGGAATCAGGTTATGCTTTAAATGGATTGTGTGGATGCAATCTCAACCCTACAGCCGCTAGTAGATTGTGTACTTTCAGTCACCCTTTATGATGTTTCTTAGAAAGCGGAAAACTTTCAGAGAAGCTTGCTTCTGGTTGGAATAAAGGTGGCTACAGTTAAATGGGTAGAGAAAGAGGGCAAAGGTAAATAACAACTGATGCTTCAGTTTTGAGTGAAATTTTGATTTGGATGTCAATAACACATGCGAGGCGTCACTTACTTATCAAATACAACTTGCACCTTCAATTTGTAATTCAGTTCCTGTAGTTTCACCAGTAATCTGGAAGCACAAGACATATATCACTACTCCCATCTTTAACTTCAATTACTCCCATCTTTAACTTCATGACAAGCCTTGCATTTCCTTCAAGTTCTCAAGACAACAAAGAAAGCTTCCTTCCCAAACATAGCAACAGGGGAGCTGACTCATTTACTGAATAATAATAATTTATTATTTATACCCCGCCCATCTGGCTGAGTCTCCCCAGCCACTCTGGGCGGCTCCCAATCAAGTATTAAAAACAATACAGCATTAAATATTAAAAACTTCCCTGAACAGGGCTGCCTTCAGATGTCTTTTAAAGATAGGATAGCTACTTATTTCCTTCACATCTGAAGGGAGGGCGTTCCACAGGGCAGGCGCCACTACCGAGAAGGCTCTCTGTCTGGTTCCCTCTAACCTCACTTCTCGCAATGAGGAAACCGCCAGAAGGCCCTCGGCGCTGGACCTCAGTGTCCAGGCTGAACAATGGGGGTGGAGATGCTCCTTCAGACATATAGGACCGAGGCCGTTTAGGGCTTTAAAGGTCAGCACCAACACTTTGAATTGTGCTCAGAAACATACTGGGAGCCAATGCAGATCTCTCAGAACCGGTGTTATGTGGTCCCGGCGGCCACTCCCAGTCACCTGTCTAGCTGCCGCATTCTGGATTAATTGCAGTTTCTGGGTCGCTTTCAAAGGTAGCCCCACGTAGAGTGCATTGCAGTAGTCCAAGCGGGAGATAACCAGAGCATGCACCACTCTGGCGAGGCAGTCCGCGGGCAGATAGGGTCTCAGCCTACGTACCAGATGGAGCTGGTACACAGCTGCCCTGGACACGGATTTAACCTGTGCCTCCATGGACTGCTGTGAGTCCAAAATGACTCCCAGGCTGCGCACCTGGTCCTTCAGGGGCACAGTTACCCCATTCAGGACCAGGGAATCCCCCACACCCGCCCGCCCCCTGTCCCCTAAAAACAGTACTTCTGTCTTGTCAGGATTCAACCTCAATTTGTTAGCCGCCATCCATCCTCCAACCGCCTCCAGGCACTCACACTGAAGATCAACATGTGCCCATCCCATACCACAACATTTTAGAGAAGCAGCCCCCATCTGGTTTTGTCATGCACACACTTGCCAGAAGCCAGTTAATAGCTGGAATAGCCACACGTTGTTCAGCTCAATCAACCACTACCTGACATGAAGTGCTCTGTAGAATTGGCTTTTCATTGGATAGAGAAACTACTAGAGCATGGGTAGGCAAACTAAGGCCTGGGGGGCCGGATCCGGCCCAATCACCTTCTCAATCTGGCCCGCGGACGGTCCGGGAATCAGTGTGTTTTTACATGAGTAGAATGTGTCCTTTGATTTAAAATGTATCTCTGGGTTATTTGTGGGGCCTGCCTGGTGTTTTTACATGAGTAGAATGTGTGCTTTTATTTAAAATGCATCTCTGGGTTATTTGCGGGGCATAGAAATTCATTCATCCCCCCCCCCATATAGTCCGGCCCCCCACAAGTTCTGAGGGACAGTGGACTGGCCCCCTGCTGAAAAAGGTTGCTGACCCCTGTATTAGAGGTAGTGAGAAATTAGTACAAGTCAGATATATGTTGCCTTAGCTTTAAGTTTGCAGCTGGTCCACAAACAGAAACGTGACACTTTTTCCAATTACCGCCCTTTTGTTTGGGCACAATTTTCCTCCGTGGTTTGGACAACACATGGTACCATTTTCTCCCTGGTTTGGAGTTGTAACATTACAACTGATGTGGAATGGCCGCCTTGAAACGTGTTGCTGGTTGGTTGTTTTTAACCTAAAGGGGCAGTAATCTGGATCATTTAAGGGGAGGGGGAATTACCTGAGTTTTACTGTAAATTGCACTCCAGTCTTCACGACCAACGGTCTCTGAGAGTGGGTCGGCATGCAAGGCTGTCTTTCTACCACGAAGGAACTGGACAAAGAATAAAGAAATGGCATTCTAATTTGTCTCAACAAGAGAATGAATTATGGCAAAGGGCACAATAGAGCGACATTAAAAATATAATCTATTTTAATATTTTGGTTCATTTTTAACGGACTCAAAAAACCCTAAACAAAACCCCCAAGCCTACCTCTGAATCAGTTGCTTGAAGAGGCTTAATGTCCGTTCATACAGCCCATTTTTCTGCTGAGGGATGGGGTCTGTCTCGTAGGTAAACTTCTGCTCCAACTCCTCCAGCTTTTTAAGCTGCTGGCGAATTTGCTGAAGACTCTCTGCTACTGTAGTAAACCTACCATTTACAAGTGTTATATATTTTAACAGGGCTAAGCAATGCAGCTGGAACGCAGCAGAGTTAAGGTTTGAACACTCTCTACTTGACCAGGGGGGGAACAAATTTCTTTTGTCTAGGAAAGAAAAGGAAAAGCAGTGCTTGCATATCCCAACCTTAACAGCTTTTCATTCCGCAAAGCTTAGGAGCACAGCATGTCCCAGCACCTGAGATCAAAACACTCCTGCGTCAACTTGCAGCTTCAGAGACTTGGGGTGTGGGATGGAGGGAGAGAAAAACTTATTCCTCCAAGGCCTGCAAAGCCAATATAAAGCTAAAGGGACCCCTGATCATTAGGTCCAGTCGCGGACGACTCTGGGGTTGCGGCGCTCATCTTGCTTTATTGGCCAAGGGAGCTGGCATACAGCTTCCAGGTCATGTGGCCAGCATGACTAAGCCGCTACTGGCGAACCAGAGCAGTGCACGGAAATGCCGTTTACCTTCCCGCCGGATCTACTTGCACTTTGACGTGCTTTCGAACTGCTAGGTTGGCAGGAGCAGGAACCGAGCAATGGGAGCTCACCCCGTCGCAGGGATTCGAACCGCCGACCTTCTGATCGGCAAGTCCTAGGCTCTGTGGTTTAACCCACAGCGCCACCCTCAGCAAAGCCAATGGACAGAGGGGAAAAAAGCCAACCTCTGAGGCAGCTCAGGAACCTGTTTTGTCTTCCTGTCAGGGTGCTCAACAGGGCAGACTCAACAAACATCCTGCTTCTGAACACTGCGAAGGCAGGAGGGGGGAAACTGGCCTTGAGAGAAAAGGGAAGACATTGCCCTTGTCTTCCTTAGTTAATGCCTCCCACGGTGTGGAGCAGAGAGAATGCAGTGTTTGGACCAGTGGATGTTGCCAAGCACAGAGGAGGAGAATCTGCAGAAAACATTTACTGAATAATAATAATAATAATTTATTATTTATACCCCGCCCATCTGACTGGGTCCCCCCAGCCACTCTGGGCGGCTTCCAACAAAACACTAAAATACAATAACCTATTAAACATTAAAAGCTTCCCTAAACAGGGCTGCCTTTAGATGTCTTCTAAAAGTTTGGTAGTTATTTTTCTCTTTGACATCTGGTGGGAAGGCGTTCCACAGGGCGGGAGCCACTACCGAGAAGGCCCTCTGTGCTGGACCTCAGTGTCCAGGCTGAACAATGGAGGTGGGGACGCTCCTTCAGGTATACTGGACCGAGGCTGTTTAGGGCTTTAAAGGTCAGCACCAACACTTTGAATTGTGCTCGGAAACGTACTGGGAGCCAGTGTAGGTCTTTCAAGACCAGTGTTTTATGGTCTTGGCGGCCGCTCCAAGTCACCTGTATTAACCTGCTTTCTTTCCACTGTGCAGTTCCAATGTGGAACTCAGGACCACTATACCTCCAGGACCGCCTCTTTCCATATAAACCTACCCGGACCCTGAGATCATCTTCTGAAGCCTTCCTTTGTGTGCCTCCTCCTTAAGAGGTCCAGAGAGTGGCAACACGAGAACGGGGCCTTCTCTGTGGTAGCTCCCTGTCTCTGGAATGCTCTCCCCAGGGAAGTTCAGCAGCCCCTTCATTATACAGCTGTACCTCGTTTTGAGTCCGCCTCGTCGAGCATCCATTTCGTCGAACGTCCGCGGCAAACCCGGAAGTACCAGAACGGGTTACTTCTGGGTTTGCTGCTTGCACATGCGCAAAGCGGCGCTTTGTTCTGCGTCCTTTTCGTCTAGCATCCAGGGCTCCAGAACGGATCCCAGTCACAAAACAAGGTACGACTGTACACCTTTAGGCACCAGGCAAAAGTGTTCCTTTTTAACCAGGCCTCTGGTTGACCTGATGTGACATCCTATACCCTTTTAAAATGTGGCTCTTTTTGGGGGGCTTGGCTGTGTTATTGGCTTATTGTTCTTATTTGGATTTTATATATTGTGATCTTTTCTGTGAGCCGCATCAGCCTGTTGAAGCCTGCAGACTTACTCAGTATCCTGCGAATCCCAACAGACCTCTGGGTATAGGGCGGTATATAAATTCAAAATAAAATAAAATAAAATAAAAGTGGCCTCCTATCCAGGCACTGAGCAGACTCAGACCTGCTTAGGTTCAATAAGGGTGCTTCAAGGCTGTGCGAAGGCTCCCATTTACACTCCCCGCTTCCCCAAGCAGCTTTGGAAAAGGAGCCTCTACATACAATTCTCAAGCAAGTTTTGCAGGGCTCGGTTCTTTCCAGACCCCTCCCCAAAAGGCCTTGCTTAGGAGAGGCCTACCAGTTCTGAAGCTGGTCCAAGCAAGCGTTGGGCGGCCCTCCAATGCAAGCCATTTGCTGCCGCTGCTTCCATTCCACCAGCTCCTCTCGAATCAAGGCGTTCTGGGTGTGTTCCGACACATGCAGCGCACTGGATATTCTCTGTAGCACATCCTAGCAAAAGAGAGCCATTCAGGAATAAGTAAGAGCATTTAGAATTCTAAAAACCATCTCACATCAATAGCATTTATTATTTATTAAATATGTAAACCGGCCCCTTCATCCTCATATCTTGATTGGTTGAGAGGGGTTGTATGTTTGGGGATAGAGAGGTTCTCCTTTGAGGTCTCTGGTTTTTTGCCTTTGGGGCGCGCTTCCAAGGCTCGCCAGTTTTTCTTTCTGTAAAATGGGTACTTTGCAATGACCATGAAAGCTGCTCACATTTCCAAACATGCCTCCACATCCAGAAACGTTTGCAATAGGCTTTGGGAAGTGCAATAGGACACATGCTCAGTTTGTGTAGGGAACCAACTACAGTGGTACTTTGGTTCCCAGACGCCAAAAACCTGGAAGTAAGTGTTCCGGTTTTTGAATGTTTTTCAGAAGCCGAATATCCGATGTAGCTGTCGGCTATTGTTTCCAGGGCGCCTGCACCAATCAGAAGCTGCGCCTTGGTTTTCAAACATTTCGGAAGTCGAACGGACTTTCTGAATGGATTAAGTTTGGCACTTTTGTTTTTGCTATTTATTTTGCGCGTTTGTTTTAGAGGCTTTTTCGGCTAATTTGTTTTTGTGACTGTTCAGCTACTGATCAATTGTGTGACTACGGAAATGGATAAAAGTCCCCCATCCAAACAATGACTATCATCATTAATTTTTATCATCTACAATACTGTCTTATTTATTTTATAGTACAGTACATTATCGCTTTTGTTTTATGGATCAATGGTCTCGTTAGATAGTAAAATTCATGGTAAATTGCTGTTTAGGGGTTGTTTTTAAAAGTCTGGAACAGATTAATCTGTTTTGCATTAGTTTCTATGGGAAAGCGTGCCTTGGTTTTGGAACGCTTTGGTTTTGGAATGGACTTCCGGAACGGATTAAGTTTGGGAACCAAGGTACCACTGAAAGCTTCTCGAGTTTCTCCCTCCGCTGAAAGCATGGCCTGGAGCAGCCAATGTAATGGACTTTTCATTTCCTGACCATTGGGCTATGCTAGCTTGGGCTGATGTTCAACATCTGGAAGGTCCTGTGTGTTGGCTACCCCTGGCCTTGAATAAAAACCAAAGTTTCCCTGTACTTTGCAAGGAGAGGTGAAGCACAAGTGGTCAAGATGTTTCTTAAGGAAAACGCCTGCCTGCCTGTTCCCCACCTGTGCTAAGACAAGGGAGGGGGGAGGGAAGTAAAGGTAAAGGTAAAGGGACCCCTGACCATTAGGTCCAGTCGCGGACGACTCTGGGGTTGTGGCGCTCATCTTGCTTTATTGGCCGAGGGAGCCGGCGTACAGTTTCCGGGTCATGTGGCCGGCATGACTAAGCCGCTTCTGGCGAACCAGAGCAGCGCACAGAAACGCCGTTTACCTTCCCACCGGAGCGGTACCTATTTATCTACTTGCACTTTGACGTGCTTTCGAACTTCTAGGTTGGCAGGAGCAGGGACCGAGCAACAGGAGCTCACGCCATTACGGGGATTCAAACCGCCAACCTTCTGATCGGCAAGCCCTAGGCTCTGTGGTTTAACCCACATACCAGCAATTTAGACAAGTATACAATGCCTCTCCACAAGTTCACCAAAGAATCACCTGTCTCATGAGGTCCACCTGCAGATACATTGTGTGGAGCTGCATTTTTTCCTTTAGGAAGTCTTCCTGGGTCATACCACAGGGCTCATTTTCTGCAAAAACAGACCAAAGAAGAATTCCTGTGTTATAGCATTACATTTAAAGAACACTCTTAAGTTTGTGGAACTTTTAAAAAGAAAAGTAAAACCACATAGCTCAGCAGCTGGAATGTATTTAGGAGAGGGGAGTTCTGATTTTATTGTCGCCTTCAAAAGCAGAAGTGCTCTGAAAACCAGGAACCTATTCCTGCGCATTACAGTGGTTCCTCAGGTTAAGTACTTAATTCGTTCCGGAGGTCCGTACTTAACCTGAAACTGTTCTTAACCTGAAGCACCACTTTAGCTAATGGGGCCTCCTGCTGCCGCAGCGCCGCCAGAGCACGATTTCTGTTCTCATCCTGAAGCAAAGTTCTTAACCTGAAGCACTATTTCTGGGTTAGCGGAGACTGTAACCTGAAGCATATGTAACCTGAAGCGTATGTAACCCGAGGTACCACTGTATAGACAAAGGTTTTAAGACCGACTTCCTTGTTAACGATTCTTAGGGAAACTGGTATTAATTCCATCCTCAAAGCCCACATATATATTGTGTCATTCAACAGAAGAATAAACCGTTCAGGTTGGACTTACCGTATTTTTCGCCCTATAGGGCGCACCTAGTTTTCGGGGGGCGGGGGAATCAAGGGAAAAAATATGATCCCCCCCGCAGCTCTGGGAGCAGCGGACAGGCTGCACGCAGTCTGTGCGCTACTCCAAGACCTTCTCCCTGCTTTTGCGGGAGGTGGCGGAATTCCCCCACCTCCCGCAAAAGCCCACAGGAGCCGCGCGCGACTCCTGCGGGCTTTACGACCAGGAGGGAGTAGGGACTGAAATGGCCAGTCAGTCCCTTCTCCCTCCTCGGGGAAAAGCCCCCAAGAGCGGTGCGCTCTTTAAAGGGTCCGCGGCATCCTGCAGGCTTTTCTACGAGGTGGGGGAATTCCCCCACCTCGTAGAAAAGCCCGCAGAAGCCGCGCACCCTTTAAAGAGCGTGCGGCTCCTGGGGGCTTTTCAACCCAGATTGTGTCCCCCAATCCTCTGGGGCTGGCGATGGGGGAAGCGCTGCTTTCCCCCACCGCCACCCTCCAAGAGCAGACTCTCCTGGCTTCAGAGGAAGCAACGCAAAGCCTCCGGAGCGCAGGCTTCGCGTTGCTATCGCTGAAGCCAAGGAGCCTGCATTCGCCCCATGGGACGCATACACATTTCCCCTTCATTTTTCTAGGGGAAAAAGTGCGTCCTATTGGGTGAAAAATATGGTAAATTCTTATCTCAAGAAACCAATGTTCCCAAACTCACAAGCTGTTCATAGGCAGCTGATTTAGAGTGTAATGAGAGGGAAACAAAGTTAAGTTTTTTAATTCATTTCTGTATTATTCCCTGGCAGATGAGCTTGTGGGATTTTCTGTCTCAGCTGCCGAAGCAAACTTAGCCAGCCACATCCTGGGACACATGGAGGAGACGCTTCAGGCAGCCAGATGTTTTGCGCAGGCCCTCCCCAAAGCTTCATTTGCTGAGGTAATTTGCTAGAGGCACTTAACCAAGTATGATGTGTTCTCTCTCTCTCTCTCTCTCTCTCTAACACACACCCCCCTCAGCCCCCCCCCCCCAGTTTATGTCCAGTTTCAGAGATCCGTTGGGATAAAAAAATATTAAATGGCGGAGGCCAGCATTTTTATAAAGGAAAAAGAGCACATACAGAAAGGGTTAAGAGCTCCTCTCCCATCTGACAATCTTCCCTTTCTGTTAAGGCCTCAGGCCGTCTTCATAATGTTAAGTCCTGCATTCTGTTCCTGAGGAAACAATTGCCTGGCTCCAGAGAGAAAATGTATGGTGCCAAGGGTTTTTTTTTGTTTTTTTTAAATCTTTAAGGAAATAAGACTGAGAGAAAAGGACTACTGGATGGTTAAGTCCAGTCAAAGGCAACTATGGGGTTGCGGCGCTCATCTCGCTTTCAGGCCGACAGAGCCGGCGTTTGTCCACAGACAGGTTGGTCATGCGGCCATCTTCTGGCGCAACGGAACACCGTGACGGAAACCAAAGTGCACAGAAACGCCATTTACCTTCCCGTCGCAATGGTACCTATTTAGCTACTTGCACTGGCGTGCTTTTGAACTGCTAAGTCGGCAGGAGCTGGGACAGAACAACGGGAGCTCACCCCATCGTGGGGATTCGAACCGCCGACCTTCCAATCTGCAAGCCCAAGGCTCAGTGGTTTAGACCACAGTGCCACTCGCGTCCCTTTATCTTTTCTATAATAAGCTTCACATGAAAAGCCGGCCTCACCCTCAAATCGCAAGTCCCGACAAAGCATCACAAGCATTTTACTAGAACGGTTATGTATTTGAACCCCTGCGAAGCTGAACTGCTCACCTCTAACCTGCAAGGTTTTGTATTTGAAGTCATATTCGTCTTGCGCATCCTCCAGATTTTTGATGATCTGTTCGATTCCCTGGAAAAGCAATGACAAGCTTACGCACTGGGAAATGGCAAAGAATTATTAAGTTGCCCCACCCACCTTTCCTACTGGGAGCTCAGGTTATCCCTCCCACCCCCTTTTATCTCTGCAACAACTCTGTGAGGGGGTAAGGTTAGGCTAAGAGAGACAGAGACTGACTGGCCCAGTGAGATGTGTCTGAGCAGAGATTTGAACCCAAGCCTCCGCATTCCTAGTCCAACACCTGAACCACTATACCATACTGGCTCCTTCTTATAGTGAGGTTTTGAGGACCGAAGGGAGAGACCGTTTAGTCATGACTTGTCCAAGTAAACCAATTTAGACATCTAGGATAGTCAGTGACTCAGTAAAGACATTCACACTTAACTCTGGTTAACTTTAACGCTGGTTCAGATTCCAAAAGTACAGGGATTGTGGAATGTGCGCTGAGACACTAGAAAGACCCATTGGTGGTGCTGGGTTAAGAAAGCCCGCAAAACTGGCTTCCACTGCAGATGCAATGCTTAACACAACTTTTTTCCATTGGTCCCAATCTGGCACGGGGCTTCAGCAACTCGGATGCTCCCAGACCATCCCTGGGACCACACTTAACCATGACGATGCAAAGAGTTTCTGCACTCATTCTAAACCATGGTTTCCCAACCATAACCATGGCTTAAATAACCTTCCCTAAGCTTGGTTATGGATTTGGTATGACAACTAGCATTGGGATCCAGCTGGCTAGGGCCAAAGGTCGTAGTCTGGCAATATCTTGTGGACCAGCACTGGGAAAGGCTAGTTTAGGCAATTTCAATGAAACTGAAAACAATGTAGGGCTTAACAGGTTTATTTATTTAATTATTGCCCATCCTTCACCCCAAGATCTCAGGGTGGGTTGCAGCATTAAAAATAAATATTAAAACAACTTACAAACATAATGTGGGTTTCTAAAAACACTGTCTGGAAAGGGCAATAGCCCAACCTCTCTTTGGTTGAAAACTTGTGGTCGCGTTTCTTCCCACGAGATACCAAGATTGCAAGCGAAGTAAACTTGCAAGAAAGCAGATCACAAAACTCTGACAGCAGCACTGATGAGGTAGTGCTGTGCGACTCCAAAGATGAACAAACCCCTGTCCAAATGCGGCGAGGAAAGACAAGTCCCGTATTTTGCTCGCGCACCTCTCAGCATGCCTTCAAGTGCTTTTCGTCAACAAGTTTCAGCTTAAGAACTCCTGGACTTTCAATACTTACAGTGACACTATCCTTCACGCTTCTGACTTTCGCATCCAGTTCCTTCACTCTGCCCAGCACTACTGTGTTCTGCACAGTCCCCAGCTGCATCTGGAATGGAAACGAGAATGCATGGTGACATGCAGGAGGGACGAAGGACTACAATGCCCATCACCCCTGGCCAATGCCCATGCTGGCTGGGACTGATGGGAGACTGACAGCATCTGAAGGTCTGCAGTTTGTCCACCCACATGGCTACGTACAAGAAACTAAACCCTCAAAACAAATTATTCTCTACAAGAGACGGGCAAACTGAGCACCTGCTCACTTGGAGAAATCTTTCAAATCAACACCGAATAGTGCAGTCCCACCCATGTGTTGTCAAACGTAAATCTCACTGAACCCAGTGGGTCTTACTCCCAGAACAGAAGAGTCTTTATTTGCATCAGCCACTAGCCATAGCAATAAAATAAAATAAAATGTACTGAAAATAGAGGTAAAAACTTAACTATAGAAAACACATTTTGGGAGTTTACATCAATAATCAAATACAGTGGTACCTTGGGTTACAAACACCTCGGGTTCCGCTAACCCGGAAGTATTACCTCAGGTTATGAACTTTACCTCAGGATGAGAACAGAAATTGTGCGCTGGCGGCGTGGTGGCAGGCCCCATTAGTTAAAGTGGTACCTCAGGTTAAGAATGGTTTCAGGTTAAGAACGGACCTCCAGAACAAATTAAGTTCGTAACCAGAGGTACTACTGTAATAGATCTTATTCTAATTGCCCCCGCTAAAAACCTTGCAGTTTTTGCTGTCACCTGATCATCTTGATCTGCTAACAGAAAGGACACAGTAGCAATGCTTGAGCAACCCAGCGTGGAGAATAATAGAAGGGTAATAATAACCTCACTCCTCACATCTTTATAAAGAGTGCAAGCCAGAAGCACATGAGCCACTGACTCAATACTGCCATCTCCACAGGGACATAACTGGTCTTCCAGTGGGATTTCTTGAAATCGACCCTCAAGTACCAGCTGAAGGCAGTACTGTATATTCAATCCTGCAAAAGTGAAAGCGCGTCTGTATTTTGGAATTGTTAAATTTTGCAAACAGGGTGCCAAAGTGTCAGAATGACGAGGTGGAAAATAATCATACCATGGACAAAACTTCCTTAATGTGGCCAGATTATTCTGTCGCTTGATCTCTTACTCCCAGGTATATGGGAGTCATGACGGGATTTTAGACTCCAGGGAAAGGAGATGCAGGCTACAAATATGAAAGTCCTACGAACGCTGCAATGCTCGTTCCAATGTTTTGTGAATTCCAGCATTCCAGGGAACGCCTGGGGCGTTTGGTACCGTTGGTTTCAAAGGGAATTGGGGCTGAATTGGATGTCGTGGGAAACTGCATTTGTTTGTTGATGTTTTTTAATGCAGCCATGGTGCCTGATCAGGATTGGAACCATAATGCTAAAAGTGGGGGGTTATTCCCTCACCCACAAAAAACAAATGTCTATTTCCTTTGTTAGCATCAATAGTAGCTTTGCTTTCAGAGTAGATAGCAGCTTTAGAGAAAGGAACCCATTTCTGTTACGATCACAGTTCTGTTAGGATCACCAATCCCACTCTTCTTTCCTTCAATCCCAGTTTCCTGCAATCCTACCACTGGGCGCAGCTTAAGCAAAATAAATAAAACCAGATATGTAAAACGTAATGTTGCATTTTCCAGTATCATCTAGCTTAACAGTGACTTACGGTCCAACATGAAAGCAAATATATTTGGAAACACAGTCCGCCAGTTTTGTCCAAAAATTGCATGTGCTGCCCAATTACAAAGCTTATACACAATAACATTAAACTGCAGGTAAGAAAACATAACCAATAAATAAGTTAAAACAGATTTTAGATAGAAAGAAATTTAAACAGATAGGCCTTTAAAAAAATAATAATCTTAGGTCCTAAAGCAGGCACTGGGTGAGACTCTCTTGGCTGCAGTGAGGTTGTTCCACTTAAAATTTACGGCTTGTTGTACACTGAAAGAAAGCTACATGAAAATGATGTACAGTGGTGCCCCGCAAGACGAATGCCTCGCAAGACGGAAAACCCGCTAGAACCGCTAGACGTTTTGGAGGTGCTTCGCAAAACGAATTTCCTATGTGCTTGCTTCGCAAGACGAAAATGTCTTGCGAGTTCCTGCGGGGGTTTTTTCCTTTCCCCCCCCTTTTTCCCAAGCTGCTAAACCACTTATCAGCTGATGGCTAAGCCGCTTATCAGCTGATCTTTAAGCCGCTTAACAGCTGATGCTAAGCCGCTTATCAGCTGATCTTTAAGCCGCTTAACAGCTGATGCTAAGCCGCTTATCAGCTGATCTTTAAGCCGCTTAACAGCTGATGGCTAAGCCGCTTATCAGCTGATCTTTAAGCCGCTTAACAGCTGATGCTAAGCCACTTATCAGCTGAGCTTTAAGCCGCTTAACAGCTGATGCTAAGCCGCTTATCAGCTGATCTTTAAGCCGGCTAAGCCGCTAATACTGTAGCGCTAAGCCGCTAAACCTCTAATGGGCTTGCTTCGCAAGACGAAAAAACCCGCAAGACGAAGAGACTCGCGGAACGGATTCTTTTCGTCTTGTGAGGCACCACTGTACTGTTGGTATTTGACTCCAGTAAAACTAGCAAAAATGTATTAAAAACCTCCATTTATGTTGGAAGTGTAAAGATAAAGAAGGTACTTTTTACCACATGTGGAGGACATGTAAAATAGTAAAAGACTTCTGGGAAATGAGATACAATGAATTGAAAAAAAATGTTTAAGAGAACTTTTATCAAAAAAAAGCAGAAGCCATTTTATACTAGGGTTAACAGGAGACGAAATAACAAAAGAATAAAAAAAATACTATGTAGGCGACAACAGCCGCAAGAATGCTACTTGCACAGAAGTGGAAGGAAGAGAAAGTCTCAACTAAAGAAGAGTGAATAACCAAAATGGCCGGACTATGCTGAAATGGTAAGATGACCGTGAGGATCAGGCACCAAGATGACAAGAAATTCAGTCAAGAGTGGGGAAAGTTTATAGAATATCTTAAAGGCCACTGTGTATACTTAAAAACGTTAGAAGGATTGTTGTAACACTTATAATGTAATATTAGTTAAGGTAGAAAAGGAGATAAAATGGATTAGACAAATGTAATTAGATACAAAAAGTATAGAGGGGAATTGGAAAACGCGGGGGGGGGGGGGAGTCCGAGGGACCTAAGTAATCCCTGGAGTGTAAAAACTGAAAATGATGTGAATGTATAACAACACTGTTTAACAAATGAACTATTAAAAAACCCCAACAGTAATTCAAAAGAAAAGATTGTTCCACAGCTGAGGTGCCAGCCCTAAGAAGGCTCTCCCATTCACTTGTTTTAACTTTGATGACACCCAGGTCAAGCAACAACAGAAACCCCCAAAGACAATCGCAGGCTCTGAGCAGACATGACAGTGAAGTAGATCTTCTTGGAAGACCAGCCTGAGCTTCAGCATATAATTTTGGGACAGCACTCCACATGGCGTGCTGTGTGAATGTCGCTGTGGATCGCTAGAGGGCATCCCTCAATGACATGATGCTGTTTGCCCAGAGATAAAAAAGCAAGGGAGAAAACAGTTACCTGATCTACTTCCTGAGCCAACCTGAGGATTTTCTCTTCTTCGTGCAGACACTTGGAGATCATCATGGCCATAAACATGGGGTCTTCCTCAAAAGTGTTCTAGAATACACCATAAAGAACAGGTTAATGTGAGCTAGCCCAGCTTCTCTCTCTTTTTGTTACATTTGCCTATAAAATAACAACAGGAGGAACTAAACAACATTGAGCAGGGCATCCTCAGGTTTCGACGTCCCATCAAACTCAAATAAAAGAAGATGCTGAGTGCTCAACCTCACAACAGGTGAGCTGCCAAGAAGAAGATGTAGAGCCTATTCACACATGCACCTGGGCAAACCAGAATCCCGGGAAAAATCTGCACTTATTTATGCTCATCTCAGCATTTTGAATTTCTGAAGACAGATCACAAGTATGCCACATCCTTCAGAGAGCCACCTTATTGCAGGTAGTGTCAATATGCATAAACTTCACTACTGCAGCTGCTATCTAGCACCCCAAATTTGGGGAGCCAGTTCAACACACAAGATCCAAGATTGTGAACCAGTAAGTGTTGAACAAACATTAAGGCGGGTGGGTGGGTGGGGAATCTGCCAACATTACCCTTGATTTGAAGACATGCTAAAATTTTCAGGACTGTCATACACAAAGCTATTGGCTGTGAAGTAATTGCATTCATTCATTTGAAGCACTACAATACCACTTTAAACAGTCACGACTTCCCCAAGGGAGTTTTGGGAGCTATAGGTAAAGGTAAAGGGACGCCTGACCATTAGGTCCAGTCATGACCGACTCTGGGGTTGTGGCGCTCATCTCGCTTTATTGGCTGAGGGAGCCGGCGTACAGCTTCCGGGTCATGTGGCCAGCATGTGAACCAGAGTGGCACACGGAAACGCCGTTTACCTTCCTGCCGGAGCGGTACCTATTTATCTACTTGCACTTTGACGTGCTTTTGAACTGCTAGGTTGGCAGGAGCAGGGACTGAGCAACGGGAGCTCACCCCGTCGTGGGGATTCGAACCGCCGACCTTCTGATCGGCAAGTCCTAGGGTCTGTGGTTTAACCCACAGCGCCACCTGCGTCCCTTTTTGGGAGCTAAAGTTTGTTACAGATGCTGAGAGTTGTTAGGAGACCAACTCCTCTCCTGTATTGAGATGTTTTTAATGTTTGAGGTTTCTCTATGTGCTATAAGCTGCCCAGAGTGTCTGGGTAAACCCAGCCAGATGGACAGGGTATAAATAATAAAATTATTATTATTATTATTATTATTCCAGTCCCAGAGGTACAATTTCAAGAGTACCCTATGAAGATGGATTGACTGGATAAATAAATTGGTTTAGTAGTGTTCTTAGACTGTTCTCATTTGTTTCACTGGTACATGACCAGGAAAAACATCCAGCATTTATTTGGGGATACTATCAAGGCCCTTCTGAATGGAAGGATTATGGCGAGATCCTCGCATGAATGAAGAGCGTATGTGAAGAATTTTACATACTTTTTTTTACAGAGATACTTCTCATTCACAGGGACATTACCTGTAGGTTACGTTTGCTCTTCCTAATGTTGTGCTGAAGTAAAAAGTTGTTTTCCTGCGTGAAGCGGCTGTACTGGTCGTCCAGCTGAGACAGGAGGTTATGGAACAGCAGAGTCGCCTGCGCAACATCGCTAGCAGCATGGTCCCTGGGAGATGAAGCAATGGAAGATGTTCACTTTCAGCTTCTTTACCCTTCCACAAACCTTCTTGCAAGGCTCTGGGGCCTTCCCCTCTGCTCTTCCAGCATCCTGTTTTGGTTTATGATTTGCAGCAGCCATCCCAAATAACAATACCACACTGCAACTAGAATCAAATAGGTACAAATAAAGCGGAAACCATTATGTTTCCAGTTGGAGCAGCACCAGGTACCAGGATTAGACACTATATATGTATAAGCTACACCAAGGTTATATAAGCTAAATCAAGGTTGAAGTCGCCAAAACAGAATGTCTAGTTGCCATTTTGGGGCAAGACGGCTCTGAAGTCTTGCTTTGCAAATGATGGACTGGCTGTGATCGATTCTCGGTTGAACATCTGGCTTGTTCAGATGACAACCTTGAGCTAGGATAAGAAGTTGGAGAACTTGAAGAAGAAAAGTCACTTGATCCAGGGACAGTTCACATATATACAGTGGTACCTTGGCTCTCAAACGCCTTGGAACCCGAACACTGCAACCCCGGAAGTAAGTGTTCCCGCTTGCAAACTTTTTTTGGAAGCCGAACATGCTCCAATTTGAGTGTTACGCTTCCGATTTGAGTGCCACACTTCCATTTTGAGTGTTACGCTGAAGTCTGCCTGTTTCTGCTATTTATTTTGCGTTTCTGGTTTTTTTGGATCTGTGTGGAACCCAGTTCAGCTAATGAATGATTGATTGTGTGACTGCAGGATGTTGCTTGTTGCTTTCATTTTATAGATCAGGGGTAGGCAACCTAAGGCCCATGGGCTGGATGCGGCCCAATCACCTTCTAAATCTGGCCTGCAGACGGTCCAGGAATCAGTGCATTTTTATATGAGTAGAATGTGTATTTTTATTTAAAATGCATGTCTGGGTTATTTGTAGGGCATAGGAATTCACTCTTTTTTTCTTTTCTTTTTTCAAAATATAGTCCAGCCTACCACATGTTCTGAGGGACGGTGAACCGGCCCACGGCTGAAAAATGTTGCTGACCCCTGTTATAGATCAATGGTCTCGTTAGATAGTAAAATTCAGGTTAAATTGCTTTTTTAGGTTTTTTATTTTAAAAAGTCTGGAATGGATTAATCCATTTTTGCATTATGGGAATGTGTGCCTTTGATTTTGGAACGGAATTCCGGAGCGGATTAAGTTTGAGGACCAAGGTACCACTGTACAGTGGTAGCTCGGGTTACAGACGCTTCAAGTTACAGACTCTGCTAACCCAGAAATAGTACCTCGGGTTAAGAACTTTGCTTCAGGATGAGAACACAAATCGCACGCCAGTGGCGAGAGGCCCCATTAGCTAAAGTGGTACCTCAGGTTAAGAACAGTTTCAGGTTAAGAATCGACCTCCAGAACGAATTAAGTTCTTACCCCGAGGTACCACTGTATTGGCCTATTCTGACCTCTTAACGGTATCTGCTCCTGCTCAGGCTGTACAGAAAAAGCAATTTGGTTCCAGAAATTCATCCCGATTGAGCAGATAAAATGTAACTGATAGAATTCTCTAGGGTGGGGTAAAGGTAAAGGGACCGACCCCTGACCATTAGGTCCAGTCGTGACTGACTCTGGGGTTGTGGCGCTCATCTCACTTTATTGGCCGAGGGAGCCGGCGTACAGCTTCCGGGTCATGTGGCTAGCATGACCAAGCCGCTTCTGGCGAACCAGAGCAGCGCACAGAAACGCCATTTACCTTCCCACTGGAGCGGTACCTATTTATCTACTTGCACTTTGTGCTTTCGAACTGCTAGGTTGGCAGGAGCAGAGACTGAGCAGCGGGAGCTCACCCCGTCACGGGGATTCGAACCGCCGACCTTCTGATCAGCAAGCCCAAGGCTCAGTGGTTTAACCCACAGCTCCACTGGCGTCCCCTAGGGTGGGGTATTAGTGTGTAAAAACAGTCCAGATCCAATGATCCCTGGATGGTGGAGATGTCAGGCATCTTCACTTGGTCACAGTGGTCGAGGACCAGATGCAAAATGCGCCTGTTAATTTCAAACACTGCCAGGTACCACGATGTCATGCAAGTAACATCCTCAATAGTATACGTTTCTTTGTCGACAAGACTTAGGATGTCATTGGCTCAACTTGCTTACATCTCAACATTAAACTGGTTGCCAAACAAGGGCTTACAATACAACATGTTGTTTACTCGCTTTACCAAAACTTAGTTCCTATGCAAACATTATCTTCGGCACTTTTCAAAGCCCAATCGTTTTTGACAGGAGCAAATTAGGCCATGCACAGTTTGGAACACAATCTTATCATTTGACATCTCAAACACAAGTTGGCCTCTCACCAGTCTTGGGCTTCCAGCCACTGCGCTAGATACTGTCGTATCTCCATGGGGAAACTGTCATCGTAGAGCTGGTGTACTTGCTCCAGGAATTTTGAATCCAACTGCTGCAGGTTATACCACTGACTCATCCTGCAGAATCAAAAGGAGAACAGTTTTTAAGAATACTTACCGTAACGTTCTCTATCACACACCTCAGTGGAGATTTTAGCTTCCTCTTCTCTGAGATCAGAATGGAACTGCAGGCTACCCAAAGTTTAGGAAGCTAGCAAAAGGCAGAGAGACCTGCAAGCCAGTAACTTGTGTGTTCACAAGGCTGCTCCATCAGAAAATGGCTTAGGCCCAGCTGTACTAAAAAGCAAACTTGAATTCTGTGCCAAGCAACACTGGATTTTATAATACTTAATATTCAATGTCTTACTATGTTTCTATATGTGCTGTAAGCCGCCCAGAGTGGCTGGGGAAACCCAGCCAGATGGGCAGGGTATGAATTATTATTAAGCTATATGAACAGCACAATTTTTCTGCCTTTGCAACAGGGAGTAAAGAGGCTAGTGGAGGAATTGTAAGGGTGGAAAATGGGGATGAGCAGGACTTAGGCTGCAATCCTATACCCACTTACCTGGGAGTAAGCCACACTGAATGCAACAGGGCTTACTTTTACAGCATTCTTCTGTTATAAGGTTAGGTGGATACTGTATGTAGGTACAAATAATGTATAATGTACAGGACAATTGCCAAACTGTTTGATCTGGACACATCCTGCAAAAAGTTCAAAAATCTGCCCTCTCTTGTGACTTACATTAATTCAGCAACTGGAGAAAAGAGGTGCAATCTAACCCCTAAGTTAAGCAGTATCACACACCACTGGGTTCAATGGGCAAGATTTAACAGGCATGCTTTTAACCCTTCCCCACTCAAATTGACAAAATAATGCTTAATTTGAATGGGATGATGCTCAGTGCATTTCTGAATTGGCCCCAGACAGATCGCAATCTGGACCAAGACAAGTTGGGAGAAATAACTCAATCTTTAGCACCTTAATAACCAATTCCCTCTTGTTCTGCTTTAATTCTACCATGGGCGTAGCCAGGATTTATGTTGGGCAGGGAGCAGGACTTCTGTCTGGTTCTGTCTAGCAGATTCAGAATGAAACGTCTCAAAAACAGCTGTTTTAAATTGTTTTCTTTTGACCCCAAGAAAAATCTGTCAAAATCTTACGTCATTTGACAACTAGAAGGTAAATAAAAAAAAGACACCTGGGCGTACCTCTCATGCAGTTAAAGGGTATAATTTGCAAAATTACAAAGAAGACGCCTTTTAAAAAACAACAACCCTAAACTAAAACAAGTTTTCTTGAATTTGCTGAAAACCGTTTCATACTTCCTTTTTTCCAATGTAGTTTTTCTGTGCATGCTCAGTAAGCATAGCCCATTGAGACTCCCATGTCATCCCAGGTCTTTATGCTCTACAAGGTACAGAATGACCGTTCTATGGTCCAAGTAGTGGTGCAAGGCTGAGCAAGAGAGATAGTCAGTTAGTATTCTAAATTTCGATGTTCTGTAGACAACGGCTCACACATTTCAGGGAAGGATAAAATAATATGCCACATACATAAGTAACAAAAGCAGGCACTGCTAAATAAAGGATCGAAATCAGAACTGCTGTCATTAGAATAACCAAGATTATGGAAGCAGAAAGAAATAAGATTTTGAACCCTGAAATCCAACACACGGGAAGTCACCCTTAATGGTTTAATTTGGTATTAGATTATTTTTTTAAAAAAATGTATTGTAATTTGATACTGTGATAATGTGGCTCTTTTGGATCAATGTGATTGAAAATTAATAAAAAATATTATACAAAATCAGGCACTGATGTTTTCTAGGGAAAAGTACCTGTCAGGGAGTAAGATTGTGATATTTTTATTTATTTACTTGATGGGGGGGGGAGCTGCCCGCCCCCGGCTACGCATTCTGGCTCCGGAAAATAAGCGCAATTGCCAGCGAAGCTTGCAACACTCAAGGGTTTGCGACACATTCCAAGAATAAAACTGTCCAGCCCCATCTCCCACGTATACTTGGAAGTCGCGTCCAGCTGCTTCCGAACAGAACTTGGCATGATGAAAAAACTAAAAATCTGAATGGCAAAAAACAAAAGGTTTTTCCTGAGTAACTGGTGCATTGGCACAAGAGGGGGGAGGATAGAAAAAACTTCGAAACCATTCGCACCATAAATGTAAAGCACACTTGATGCATATTTTACACACATACACACTCCCCCCCCCCAAAAAAGAATCCTGGCACCATCAGTTTAAGCGTGCTGCGAATTGCAGTTCTGTGCGGAGTAAGCTACAGTTCCCCGATATATAGATATAGATATTTAGGGAAGCAAAGCCTAGCATGGATGCAACCTTACTCTCGCATAAATCGAGGGGACGCAGCCTTATTTTATATCCTTGCGTTGGAGAGACGCTTGCGCGAAGACCCTGGTAATCCGTAAGGCCCAAGCAGACGGCTGCCCCTTTTTGCATGCATCTATCTCCCTTGCATTCTTGGAGAGCCCAAAACTACGCAAGCACGGATGCAAGCAGCACCTCGCCTCTTCTGCTTACCTGGCTGGTCTGCAGATGCCCCGGAGCGCGCGCTAACTACCCCCTCCAATGCTCCCCGACTCTGTGTAAAACGAAAGTAAGCCGGACTAGGAAATAGCAAGCGGCGGCAGGCGCGCGGCCAATCAGCGAGGCGCTGCTTTCGGCGAGCAACCATTCAGGAGAGTGTGTTCCGCCTTCTTTGAATAATAAGGCTGTTCCCACGATTGCGCTCTCCTCCCTCTCCGGCAAAAGCACAGCTGTAGCTTAGCAAAGGGGCCGTGCTATAATCGCCCTCTGATCTTGCTGTGTTCTTTTTGCAAACGTTTCCTAAAGCTAGCTAACGCGCTCTCTTTACCGTCTCCTCATCCTTGTCCTTTAAAAAAATAAAATAAAAATATTATAGGAAAAGCATTGTTCCCCTTGGCAAGATGTGTGTGGGTGCGGTTTTTTATTTATTTAAAAAATATCAAATTCAATGCATATATCTCAGGGCTGTTGACAGATGTTTCTTTGACAGAATTTGACACTACAGCTGCTGTTTTTTTTTTAAAAAAAATATACTACCCTTCATCAAGAGATCCCAGAGGCAGTTCAAAGAATAAAATGCAAGATAGAGCACAGTAAATAATTAAGCCAAAACACCCTCCCCCTTCCCACAGATGCATTTAAAAGGCTGTAGAATATTCATCAGCCAAAGGTTGATTGAATAGCCATGTTTTAACCTGGTGCTAAAAATATATAATGAAAGCACCAGGCGAACCTCCCTAGGGAGAGTATTCCATAAACAGGGTGCCACTGCAGAAAAGGCCCGTTCTTATGTTGCCACCCTCCAGATGTCACTTGCAAGAAGCGCACAAAGAAGCGGCTCCGTCTGTTCTAACAGGGACAAAAACCTCGAGGTTAGTGAGTTTGAGAAGATTGCATGATGAGGGCTTCCTAATTTTTGCATGTGCTTGGCACAAAATAATTAGCAACCCAGTCCTAAGTGGAATCTACAAATCCAAGACTTGTAGCAAGAAGGGGTTTCCTGCACAATGCTCTGTAGCTCTGAAGTTAGCCCCCCCCCCCAGCTGCATAGGATTAGCTCCCAGTTAAAAGCAGATAAAAGGGATGCGGGTGGCGCTGTGGGTTAAACCAGAGCCTAGGACTTGCTGATCAGAAGGTTGGTGGTTTGAATCCCCGCAACAGGGTGAGCTCCCGTTGCTCGGTCCCTGCTCCTGCCAACCTAGCAGTTCGAAAGCACGTCGAAAGTGCAAGTAGATAAATAGGTACCGCTCCGGCAGGAAGGTAAACGGTGTTTCCGTGCGCTGCTCTGGTTCGCCAGAAGCGGCTTAGTCATGCTGGCCACACGACCTGGAAGCTGTACGCCGGCTCCCTCGGCCAATAAAGCGAGATGAGCGCCGCAACCCCAGAGTCGGCCACGACTGGACCTAATGGTCAGGGGTCCCTTTACCTTTTTAAAAGCATATCAGATTACAGCTTCTGTTTAAATATTTGAAGCTTCCCTATAGTTTCGTACCTCCGCAAAGATCAGGTTTTCACAGTAGTGCGTTTCCTTTAGCATCAGTACTGTTGTAGGTAATATCTCAAACTCTTAGTAAACTATGGATATGGGGTGGAGAGAGGAGGGAAGATTTCACCCAGCGTGGGACTCCAACCCACAACCCTGAGATTAAGAGGAAATAAGTTTCCTGTGTAGAACTTTTCTTACATTGATGCCACCAAAGTTACCACCCTTTGAGCAATGAAGCAGAAGTCTGCAAAGCTGCCAAGTTCAATATTATCAAGCTTTTCGGTAAGGAAATGAACGGCCAGGGTCAAACATGCAGCAACCGCTAGGAAACCCCCAAGATCCCAGCCTGCTTTTTCCAGCCAAACCACACAGAAAGGGGAGGAGGCGGGTGCCGCGCCTGGGTGAAGGGCGGGAGGAGAGACCTGTTCCTGGAACAGCACAGCCACACGTGCTTTCTGAGAAACAGGGACAAGTACGGGAAAGCCAGCGTCTGCAATGAAAACGAAAGTTAAAAACGGTCCCACGTGGTGGAAGCCTGGGGAGGGGAAGGAGAAAGAGCTAGCTTCAGAGAGATGGCCGGGAGGATTGCTTTGACCTCCTTTCTCCTTTCGATTTCAATAACCTCCTCTGAATTAAAGAAAAGAAAGTAAAGCCCCAGCTTACTATTGCAGTGTTTCGGATCGATGCAAAGGGCTTTATGAGCGCGTCCATTGTAAAGCACTCTGAAAACAAGACAGGAACCCAGGAAGTTCAGAGGGGAGATGTCAAGGAAATATTGGCATGGACTGAAATGGACAGTGCTGTAATTTGTTGCGTCTCCTGCACTGGCCAACATGGGGCGGCTGGGCTTAATAGATGATGCCAGGGAGCCCAAATCTGGTTTCACATCCTTGCTTTTAAAACAGGATTGAAGTGGAAGTTAAGGGGGCCAGAGATGGTTAATAGTACCCAGTTCCTTATTTGCATGAAAGCTCAGAACACTGCTCAATCAGAAAACTTTTTTTAAAAACACACGTATTATGCACACACTAGTGTTTGTACTTCTCTGAACCCCAAAATAAACTCTGGTCTATCTCATATATTAACCAATTTTAGCATCTTCTCCGGTAGCAATGGAGAAAGTGAGGACTCCAGCATGAGCAGAATGCCTTCCTCTTATCACCATGGGCAAAGCTTGGTCCAGAAAGCATTTAACTCTTTTGGTTCTGTGGTTGTTTCTAGTTGTCCTGTATACTAAGGCATTCATTCACGCATGCTATTACACACACACACACACACACACACACACACCTCTTAAAGGTTATGCCATGATCAAGAACAACATTCATTATACATGCTTCATGTGTGCAAGTCCTTTCAAAGATTGAGAGGGGCTTGGGTAACTTCTAGTTTCTGAGACCCCTGGCCGTTATAAAAATAAAGAATGACAACACAGGCACACACAAAAAAGACAGACATAATTTGAGTATTTATTTGACAAATGCTTTTTCTACCCTTCTTCTGTGCAAATGCACCAATTCATCAGACAAATCTTTTTTTGCCATTAAGATTTTTTGTTTTTTCATTATTCACTAAGGTACAGAAAACTAATGTAAAAAAACAATCCACAAACAGTAGTAAAAATAGACTTAAAGGTAGTTCTTAAACCTTACCACCCACAGAAGGCAGTAGTCCCTCCCAGCTCTCACCTGGGATCTAGGGGGGGAAATCTAACTTTCATTCAATGTCACAGCTGATATTAAGCATGGTAAGCTGAGATATACTCTAAGTCGAGAGTGGATTTCATGCTCTTTATTCATCTCATAGTGGTGAGGAGGAATGGAAGTTCCCCCAGAATGTCTGCTTAATATACATTATTTACACAATGGGCCCCACGTGATTGGCAAATTCCGGGAGTCTCCTGTAGGCCAATCAGGTTGCGGATTCACTTCCACCTGGAGCTGGATTGGTTGGCTCCTGTGGACTAATCAGACTGCTGCATTCTGGATCTTATTCTTCTAGGACCAATCAGACTGCTGCATTCTGAATCCTATTGTTCTAGGACCAATCAGACTGCTGCATTTTGGATCCTATTCAACTCAGTACATAACATAAGCCCATTCCAATGTTCCTATCTCAGAGTCAACTAGACTTAAAACTATAAAGACACAAAAATATAACAATTCTCTACCTTTCAACACCTACTTGAACCAGGCTCAGGTATCGGTAGTGGTTTCTTTATATAATCAGCTGATAGTCATATTCACTATATACTCTCCAGCCAAGGGAGTCTGCTATTCTTTTGGCGATGCAAAAACCACTTGTCTTGGAGCTAGAAAATCCAGTTCTCAATCTGATGTCCAGCTGTTTTTGGTTGTGTGTCAATTTATTCAATATTTCCAATGCGGCTAGGCTTTAATGAAAGGCCCAATATGTTTTCACACATAATTACGTTGCTTGCAATCACTCTAGCTTGTAGTTTTTAAGGCTGCTTTGAAGAGTTATTCACATATATGTGTGTTTGGCTCAGTTCTCCAATGTATCAAGGTTTAATATATTGTAAGAATGACAGTTTGGTGCACACAGATTAAAATATCACAAGAATAAATATATAGCAAAAATACATAACCTTTGTGGATATGCATGACTTGGAAGATTTGTTGAAAACATGGTGGATTTTGGAATGGCTGCCAGGATTCATAGTTCAGGATCCAGAAGTGGCAAGAATTGAAATATAGAACCCCAATTTTTAGGGAGTGGGAAGGACAGATTGCAAAAAGCAGCAGTAATTCTACTACAATTCTCCATTAAATTATATCTATATAGAGTATAAAGGCAGAAATAATATTTTTAGACCTGTGCAACTAATTTGATTCTAGCTTTTCAGTAGTACATCCATTTCCTAATTTTTCATTGCCACTTGTTTCATGTACTAAGTTCTAGTCCCAGTTCAGACATAATGCTAAACCAGGGTCGTGAGAATAAGCCAAAGTGAGCCTCAGGCTTGCACAGTGCCAATGCTCTCCTCCTTTGCATGCAATGTCAGGAAAGTGCATACTTCCATCCAGGGCCGGATTTAGGTTTGATGAGGCTCTAAGCTACCGAAGGTAATGGGGCCCTTTATATGTCCAGCTGTCCTTTGGCAACAACAAATTGTCACTGGTTTTTTTGTGTTGAATATATGCTATATGGTAATTCATGGACCTAATAGGTATCTAGAGCCATTTGCACATAACAAAATTTTATCAAAGTGATTGTTGAACTGAAATACAATTAAGAAGTATATTGATAGTGAAATACAATTAAGAAGTATTGGGGGGGGGGCAAGAGAGTGGGGCCCTAAGCTATAGCTTGTTTAGCTTATACGTAAATCTGGCACTGCTTCCATTAGCAGTTTTAAATCATCTGCAGCTTTCTGTTATGGCAAAACTGAGGAAATGGTGATTTATGTTCACTGTGCTTAGTTCAAACAAGCCAGGACTAGAATAAGAGAATCACAAAATAGTTGGAAAGGACCACAAGTACAATCTCATTCAACTTGCTGCAATGCGGGAATCTTTTGCCCCATGTGGGTCTTGAACCCATGACCCTGAAATTAAGCGTCTCATGCTGTATTGACTGAGCTATCCCTCGGGGTAAACCATGGAGAGCAGGGTTGGGGTGCACAAGCCAGAGGCTTATCACAGCTTGTTCTTTCGGCCCAATCCATGGCTTAGTGTTATGTCTGAACCAGGCCAAGTATTGACTTAATTTATGAAAGCAGAGTTTGGTCAAAGACAATTGTGTGTGTCTGGAGGAGTGATGAAGAACCTGTGGTTCTCATCAACACCAGTCAGGATGACTAACAGTAATTGATGATGGCAGTTGTACTCCAGAAACGTCTGTAGGGCCACAGGTTCCCCATCTGTGCTCCACAGGGTACAGATACAGTATCTACAAAGGGAACTAGAAAAACATCTTCTTAGGAATGTTTCTGTTTAAAAACATACATATGCACTTTAGAATCGTCAGTCAGCTGAATATGGAGAACTTAACTGGAAGAGAAGAAGAAGAAGAAGGAGAATCTATCAGTTTGTGGAAATTCGTTGCTGTTTGTTTTTCTTAAATGCAAGTTGAGCTACAGCTTGCTGGAAATGAAAATGCCAAATGTGTATCTGAAAACTGAAAGCTGAAGCAAACAAAAGATCTATTTGTTCCCTTCTTGTGAAAGATTGACCTAATTTTCTACTGTGGTGTGAAATCCAGATGTTACGTTATGAAGAAGGCACAATGGTACTGTTGACCCAATTAATAGAGCGCGGGGGGGGGAGAATATCACTGAGGATTAGAGGCCCAATTTGATCTTTAAAATCATTTTTAAAAGACCCAGCTTCGTTTTGGAAGTTTGTGCCGTATCAGTTCTGCGGAGGAAGCAGTACTAAATAAGGAAAGTGTTGTCTTTTCCTTAGTTGGTGGAGGAATGTGCAAGCATGTGAATTATACAAAACTATTCATCATAGCGAAAGAAACTGCAGCCTACTGAGGGCTACAGATACAGTAGTTTGGTTATAAATGTAGACATTTTCTCCTATAAGCATACATTTATCAGGGTGCTGTGTGCAGTGTTTGCATAATTCCTTAAAATGTTAAGCAGTTTCTGGAGCTGCAAGGTAGCAAACACACATGCATGTGGAGGGAGTCTTTAGGAGCGGCTGCAAGGATTTTATTTGGAAATGGTTTATTGCTTCCTAACCATGTGAGGAGCTAAGTGTTTTAGAGTACTATTCTCTTCTCCTCCTGACAAACTACTCAGTCTTCCCTATAAAGCTGTCCTTTTAGCAGGGGTGGCTTAGTGTGCTGTCTGAACCCAGAATCACTGTTAAGCTGTCCCCCTCTCAACCTGAGTGGGAGCCAAGAACAGGTACAAAGCGGCTGCAATCTGCTCAGAGAGAGACCACCCATTTGCATTAAGCCATCATTTCATTTCACATTATGTAAGAACACAGTCACTAGCTCTTTCATTATAGTACCTGATAACCAGTGCTGACATACTTAGTGCCGTTTTATCAACAGCGGGAAAAAGTTAGTGACAATAAAGCTTTGCGCAGTCCAGTACAGTGGAACCTCAGAAGTCGAACGGAATCCGTTCCAGAAGTCTGTTCGACTTCCAAAACGTTTGGAAACCAAGGCGTGGCTTCCGATTGGCTGCAGGAAGCCGTGGAAGTCATGTCAGACGTTCAGGTTCCAAAGAACGTTTGCAAACCGGAACACTCACTTCCGGGTTTGTGACGTTCGGGAGCCAAAACGTTCGACTCACAAGGCGTTCGGAAGCCAAGGTACGACTGTATTCTAAAAGATACCCAGTCACTCCTTAACAGCAACTCTTCATTTGCTAACCACAAGTTTAGAAGAAATGAAGCTTGGAACGTACAGCAGTTTCCATTACGGTAGGGCTCAGGTGTTCTCTCAAAACAGCATAGACACTTGGAGACATGGGGAGAAGGTCTGATGGAGAAGGTGGGTCTGTGGAATCACTCAGGCTTTAAAAAAAAAGAGAGACAAAAATGACATCTTGAATGAGTAATACGTGAGAAGCAGATACTGTTGTAATTGACGCCTCAGGCACATACAGTGGTACCCCGGGTTACAGACGCTTCAGGTTACAGATGCTTCAGGCTAACCCAGAAACAGTACCTAGGGTTAAGAACTTTATTTCAGGATGAGAACAGAAATTGCACAGTGGCAGCGGGAGGCCAATTAGCTAAAATGGTACCTCAGGTTAAGAACAGTTTCAGGTTAAGAACCGACCTCCAGAACGAATTAAATTCTTAACCCGAGGTACCACTGTACTCTAATTTCACTTCCCATCAATCCTGGATGGTTCACCCACTTATTAGGAGAGGGTTTCCAAGACAAAGCAGCAAAAGAAATGTCACTTCCTCTGCTGAAGAGCAACATACCAATTGGACTGGTATGCCAGACTTTCCACACTAAGAAGTTTGGGAAACGCAACTTAATCAGCATGACTCACATTTTGGAGACTGGGATAAATACAGAGGGGACGTAACCTTTGGTTCCTCCTTCCATAGGCCTTGGCACTAAATTAAAAGCAACAACAACAACATTATGGACATTAAATCTCCCATCTAGGAAACCAGAAGTGCATATTCAGCAGTGCAGCCGGGTGAATTTGTCCTTCACTGAAGACAGCTAGTGGGGGAGGACACATAGCTCAGTGGCAGAGCACACATTCTTCACATGCACAAGGTTCCAGGTTCAAGTCCTGGTGATGGGAGAAGCTTCTGCTTGAAACCTTGGAGAACCACTGCCAGCCACAGTTGACAATACTGAGCTAGGTGGACCAATGGTTTGACGTGGTATATGGCCGCTTCCTATGTTAAAGGCTGCTCCAGAAGTTCATAGGATGGGACTTAACCACATTTGACTTTCTGATCTGTGCTTGTGACGGGGCATGCAGTTTTTGTATGTCTGGTTTAGTAATTAACCTTGCAGAGAACGTTCCATTTAATATCACATTTGTGAGGGAGATGGGGAGTGACTGTTTTTGCCAAGCCAGCTTGCTTTTTCTTCTTTGCTAGTTTCGGTTTGTACTTTTGTTACTGCTTTGATTGTAAGATGTCTTGTGCACCACAAGAAGTAATTAAAAACGGACAAGTCTAATCTGTTTTTAAAGAACAAATGTGGCAAGCATGAGCATCGGGAGTTTGCATGCTCAGCAGTTTTAATGTAAAATGGTGGGGGAAGATTATTACTATTCTTTTTTTAAAGCAATATCCTACCTTCATCTGGCTGAGAGCTATAGTGCTTTCCAAAGGCTTTGTCTTTGGGAATATCTGGATAGAGATATTTCAGTGGGTTTTCAGGAACGTTGTCTGCCATAATAACTTTGTAATCTCGTAAAATATCAGCAAATGGCAGCGCAGTTAAACGACCCTTATTATATGGTTCAACAGAATGGAAATTCACTTCTCCTGTGAAGGACAAGATAGTTATGAATAAGCAGGCAGATAGCTGATCGCAGGTTGTTTTTTGTCAAATGGAAAGAAGAACCACAAACTCACTTAAAATAATAAAAATACCAAATACACAAATGCTGGCCAGCTGAGAGCTGAGACAAGTAACAGATCCATTTCGTCCTAACCTGTTAAGGTACCAACTGAATACACTTTATAGGGGACTACTGCAACCCAGAGAAGGAGGTCCAAAGAAGCTACAGCAGTTTTTATTTAATCTTACACCTGTAGTTAAGGTAGCACTGAGACTTGCATTAAAAGCAACGTTCGAATGATCTAAAAAGGATCCTAAAAAGTTTGGTACTGGCAATTCGGCATGTGAGATGAAAGGGAAGGTGGGGCCAGGCCACTAGCGTGCATTTCCCAAATTGCTTTTGGAACTCATGGATAAGGGCGATAGGGGTCTGGAGTGCAGCGTTCAGCATGTTAAAATATAGCACGTACCATTTTCTGACCGCGATACCCAGGTAAAAGTAATCCCTCCTAAGTTGCTTTCACTAAACCTCAATAAAAATGTTCCGGGCATCTTGTCCTTGAGCAAATTTCTCTCTTTTTCTTTGCTTACAAACCCCATAATACATCTGCAAAAAGAAAAAGAGGAAAAGAAATAGGTTTATATGTGCACAATGCTTGTCAGAAAATCCTGTGGCACGCTAAAGACGAACAGCTTCTGCAGACTAAATCCCAGTGTTGTCCTGGACCTTCGCCCGTTTAAATACACAGGTTTACAATCCTGGACATTTTAGACTTTCCAAGGATTGAAAACCCCTGCATTTCAAGGGGGGGGGGGAATCTGAGTCTACTCTGGAATGGAGAATGTCTTATGGATGTCTTTATATTAAAGGAGAAACAGACCATTGTGAATCCACAGTTTGCTCTGGTGTGGACAAGTTCTAACTTGCCTACCCCTTCAGGAACCTGGCAAAATGTTATGCAGCAAACACATGTAATTGCTGGTCACCTGCAACTTTTTACATTCAAACTGCAGCACAGAACTCCAAACTTTATTAGGCAAGTGGTGCTGAAGGGGATGTCCCAGTACGTTTCTGAGCACAATTCAAAGTGTTGGTGCTGACCTTTAAAGCCCTAAACGGCCTTGGTCCAGTATACCTGAAGGAGTGTCTCCACCCCCATCGTTCTACCCGGACACTGAGGTCCAGCACCAAGGGCCTTCTGGCGGTTCCCTCACTGTGAGAAGCCAAGTTACAGGGAACCAGGCAGAGGGCCTTCTCGGTAGTGGCGCCCTCCCTGTGGAACGCCCTCCCACCAGATGTCAAAGAGAACAACAACTACCAGACTTTTAGAAGACATCTGAAGGCAGCCCTGTTTAGGGAAGCTTTTAATGTTTGATGTATCACAGTATTTTAATATTCTTTTGGAAGCTGCCCAGAGTGGCTGGGGAAGCCCAGCCAGATGGGCAGGGTATAAACAATAAATTATTATTATTATTATTATTATTATTATTATTATGTTTATGTCTTTTCTGCTATTCTTTTTCGTATTCTATATTGCTCTCCTGAAGTAGTTTTTGGCAGACCGGTGGTTCCTCATCATGCTTGTCTCTAGAAGGATCAGCAAAGGCCCTATGATCAGTATTCAGGTGCCAATGACCCTGTGATAAACTTCCATATAAAACAAAAATGCAACCCATTGCGGTAAATATTTCTGCACTTTCAATACATAGTCTCTTAAATAGGTTTTTGGTCAGGTGATGAGGATTATAAATGTAATTCTTGGTAGCATTCTTGCTAGAGTGGTAGATTCTTGGTATAGCGAAGGACATTCACCAAACAAAATTAATTACTTGCAAGGCAATGTTTAACCTTATATATTATTTTCACTCGCATTTTCTGACAGTCTGCTTAAAATATAATAGTAACCAATGACACCTAAACAGTGTATACAATTCTCTTTAAACAATAATCATCGTTTAAAAAATCTGGATACATGATATTATGAAATTATATTTCATATTGTCAGGGTTTCAGGGACAGAGGCACAGGGTAGGCAGGAGATGGAGAGCAATGGGGATGAATCCCAGGACAGCGAGGAAGAGGATGACAATGACTCAAGAGATTCCATGAGTCTTTCCAGCGGATCAGAGGATTCCCAGAAGGGGGCGCCGGTGGTCAAGGCCAGGGGAGCCCCAGGGGGACGTGTCAGGAGCAGGGGCCAGCGGGGATCCCAAAGTGGCAGCTGGGCGTCAGGACCAGCCTCCCCGCCAGAGTGCAGCGAAGGGGGTGGAGGTTCCAGTGTATCAGAGGAAGCAGCTCCGGCAGCAGAGAAGGGAGGGAGGTCGGAGCAAGCCACCCTCCCGGAAGGGGAGGGGAGTAGTGAAGGGAGTAGTGTAACTGTCAAAAGGAAGGTTAGAGGTTGGGCGCGCGCGCCAAGTTCAAATGTGGAGGCGCGCGGAAGTACAGGGAGCCCGGAGGAGGAGCCAGGTCCCAAAGCCCGCAGGAGGGGGAATCCAGGAGGGGCGAAACCTCAGCGGGCAGGAAGACCCTGCGGAAAAGGAAAGAGAGAAAGAGGTGGAGCAGCGCAAGCCTCTTCAACTGGTGCACGGGAGCGACTGACTCAGAGGGGACTTCAACGGTCTAAGCGTAACAGACGGGGGGCTGCGCGCCTCGGATGTGAAGCAAACAATGAACTGCAATAAACACTTTTGTATATAAGAAGAACTTGGCGTTGGTCTTTTGTGAGCTGAGACCTGAGGCAGCCCTGACACATATTTACATATATAATTGAAATGTTTTATTTCTTTTGTAATGATTTTATTTTTCTGGGGTTTTTTTAAAGGCTTTTGGTTAATTATGTAATTTTTGCTGACTCAATCCAATGATGCTTTTTGTGCACCTAAAATTTGTCAAGAGTTAGGTATTGTTAATTTCATAATTTGAATGTATATTAGCTTTTTTTTTAAAAAAAAAAGGGATTGTGTTTGTTTTACTCTGCTTTTGTTAACCACCTTGAGTCTTTGTGGAGACATAAACAGGATTTTTTTAAAAAAAACAACAACAACTATTAAGCCTGAAGGATGGGGAGTGGGAAATGGGTTCAGTACTTTTCCTTTCCCTCCAGCAGGGTCAGTAGGAGTTTCCAGGAGGCAAGTTAAACCACACATATATGAGGGAGTAAAAATTCAGAAAAAATCAGATCATGGATACTTTTCTTTTTTAGGTCATAAGTGGTTTGGCTTGAATTCTCAACCAGCTGGATAAGCAAAATGCTTAAACTGGCTAACAAAACTGCAAATATATCTGAAATAAATGGTGGCTGTGTGCACACATATTCCTGGCAGAAATTCCTGTGGTTAATCTTTGTCCTCTTGCAGAACTGCAAGGTTCCACTGGAAGTTCCCTGGAACTGAGAAGAAGAAGAAGAAGAGGAGTTTGGATTTGATATCCCGCCTTTCACTCCCTTTAAGGAGTCTCAAAGCGGCTAACATTCTCCTTTCCCTTCCTCCCCCACAACAAACACTCTGTGAGGTGAGTGGGGCTGAGAGACTTCAAAGAAGTGTGACTGGCCCAAGGTCACCCAGCAGCTGCATGTGGAGGAGCGGAGACTCAAACCCGGTTCCCCAGATTACGAGACTACCGCTCTTAACCACTACACCACACTGGCAATGACACTCGGGTGAATCATGGTGTTGCTCTGGTGCAGCAAAACAGCCAGGTATTACAACTGGGGCTTATGCACACCAGAGTTTACTATGTTCTTGCAGCTGTTTGGATTCCCATTTGATTTGCATAGCTCACATTGCCTTACCCCTTTGACAGTACCAGTCTCAATGCTTTCCCCAAGTGAATTTGGGTTTATGCAATACCAGCAGGGCTTTTTCTCAGCCTGAACTCATTTCCACCACCTCTCAGGTGGGCGCCATTGCCATTCTAAGAGAATGAGGGAGGTGCTCATGGTGAGACCTCTTTTTCTAGAAAAATAGCACTGGATACGGGGATAATCAGATACACTGGAGGAAATTGGGGGCACAGAACATTTGTTTTGGTGTTTTGGGGTGAGTGGATCAATATCCATTTCTGCTTCTCTCTTTTCCATGTCCACTACTTCTTTAATCATTTCGTTTCTTTTCTGACTGTGCTCCAAACTATTTCCGGTGTACCCCTGAATGGAGGCATGTTGTTTTATCCCCTTTTGATCCCCCAAATACACAAAAAATGAGAACCCTGTTGGTGCTTAATTGGCATAAGAGAATTAAGAAATTAGAAGACAGGGACAAACACAAGAAGGATCACATACTGATTTTTAGAACATATCTGAAGGCAGCCCTGTTTAGGGAAGTTTTTAATGTTTGATTTTTTAATTATCGTATTTTTAATTTCTGTTGGGAGCCGCCCAGAGTGGCTGGGGAAACCCAGCCAAGTGGGCGAGGTATAAATAACAATAATAACAATAATAATAATAATAATAATAATAATAATAATAATAATTATTATTATTAACAGGAAACACCAGTGTTGCTCCTTATATACAAATTCAAATACATGTGAGTGTGGACTGTCAGTCTGCATTTCTTAGTACAGAAAGTATTGGTCTGATATGTAGTGATCTCTCCTATTCTAATTGATTCAAGAGGGTTCTGTAAGCGTCTCTGTGTGAAATAAAGAAGGAGAAGGTTCATGAAAGCAGAAGGTTCATGATGTTTGGGTTATTCTTTCAGAGAGGCTGAGTACAGCTGGCTTAAACTGGTTCTGTTATCTCTTTCTGTCAAGGTCATGCTGACTATAATAGTAAGGCCAGAAGGAGAATGGGTTTCCCTCTCTTTCTATCTCTTCTGGTGCGGTGTTCTGTATATAGTGTTAAGGTTTAGTTTTATTATAAGTTATTGTAAGTTCAAGTTAAGTCTGCTGCAACTGGATTTCCTATGGACAGTGCCAATCCTGGATGTATTGGATTTGTGACCATTGTGCTCATTTCCCTTCAGTAGCAGTAAAGCTCTGCTGGATGAAATACAATTGCCTCTGGTCTATTTTGGGGGGAATCCCGCAACGTGTTTAAGTTTTTACTCTGCTAACTATACATTGGAGTTCTGCTCTGAATCAATATTGAGTAGAATACATGGCAGGACTACTATGGCCTAAGTTGAATGGAGGGGATGAGAAGTGGATTAACAGCAAAATAATGTTCAAATGTGGACAAGCCCTCAGTATGGCACAAATGCACTAGTGCAACTCTTATTGTCATTATTAAATTTTTAAAAAATTCAATAGAAAATTTCCCCAAGAAACTCCTCTTGCAATTCAAATGTAGGCAGAAGTGGGGTAACATAGTAGTTTGTCTGTTTTTTAACCTAACTGCACTCTTAGCCATATTCTCCCATTGCTTCTGCTTTTGTTGAAATCGACAGGATTTAAAAGTGCTTAAGTCTGCTTGAGGCTGCCTTCAGAGTCTTTACCTACTTACTTACTTAACAAACAGGAAGGACAAAACAAAATTCCCCGTTGGCAGTTTATGTACAATCACCAAGACGCTGCTCACCCATCAATCCAAAGTGGAAGAATGTGCTTTTTAATTAGCTCCAAGATTGCTTCTAGCCATGCCCAAAACGTAAATGATTTACCAGGTAAGTGTTCCTGTTTATAGAGCAAATTAGATACACAGAAAAATTAAGCTTTCAATATAGTACCAGTAACCTTTATCTTTAGACTTATTCTCCAACGAAAACAACCACTTGGTATTTGCAGACTACTGGAGGTCACCTGTGATACTATTTCTGAACAGTCTTTAGCTCCCTTCGTCAGCATACGCTTTGCTATCAAACGTTCCAAAGCCAGTCTATAAGTAGCTATTTCCCCTATTTTTCCTTTTAAATAATATAGTAAGTGTTTACGATACAAAGAGTCACACACTCATTATTCCACCCACTTTTGCTTGTGGAACTACCCACCACATGTGACACATACCCCACCACCAAAGAAGTTTATCTGTGAAGGAACATGGTCCTCGGACTAGAAAAGGTTCCCCACTCCTAGGGTGGATTTACACTGATCTGTAAAAACGCTAATAAAAGCTAGTTCAAAACCCTGTCATATAGCTCTCAATGCAGTTTCCCATTCCCATTGTGACTCTGCAATGCCCTCTGGTGTCACACTTTCATAACACATTTTTCACGTTATATGTGACCAGTGTAGGTTCACCCCTAGTCTATAGTCTTTTAACACTGTGCCAAAAAAAGCACTTTTATTTCATATTTGTTATAATCATAATGCCATATTTCCTCTCCTATCCCGTCTCTCTCAAAAGAAGAAAAATCAAATGGAAGTGAGAACAAAACAATGAAACTCTATATGCCAGTCTTTCTCAACTGTGGGTCCCCAGATGTTGTTGAACTACAGCTCCCATCATCCCTGACCACTGGCCCTGCTAGCAAGGAATGATGGGAATTGTAGCCCAACAACATCTGGGAATCCAAGCTTGAGAAAGGCTATTATATACCATATAGGTACATAATATACAATGAAACCCTCTGCATCCCTGAAATGTTGTGGAGCTCTTTGCTAGAATTAAAAGCTCCCATTCATCAACTACTGAGTTTTTAAAACAACAAAACCTCACAATATGGCTGTCCGCTAGGGATGGGTGAATATATCAATTTCAGTTTCACTTAGCCACTTGTTTTTTTACCATTCTTCTGTTCATTTTGCCGCATTTCTGAATAAGTTTGTGATTTCATTTTAAAATAAGTGTTCATGAAAATTCATCAGCATCAGTGCAAATCTCTCCTAATATACACACTTTTTCATTTCATAAAATGTATATACAGCTTGTTTGTAGAAAACATCAAAGCGGTTTTTGCAAAGCAATTTCTCAAAATATAATAAATGCATTTATATGTTATTTTCACTAATCTATTGATTTATATGTGCACTTTACCCTCATATATGCATTTTTGTACACATTACCTGACTAGCAAAATTCACAAGAAGTGTGACTTTCAAAGAATGACTGTGCTTCAGTTTGGGTATTGAGTTTCAGGAAGTGTGAGTTATGTAAGTTCACATTTAAATGCAAAATGAATTGAATTTCTCCCCAAATCCCTATTATTCACCCACCAGTGAAGCAAGGCTGCACCACTACCCTATTTACTTGCAGATGGGATGTTGCACTTTTGCTACTCAAAAGCTGTACAGCAAACAGAGTTGGCCTAAGACATTTAGGCATCTGAAGTGAACTACAAAATAGCATGCCCACCACCCACCAGGGAAGAAGGGGTGAATGAAGACCTACATCAAGAACAAGAGGTGGGTGGCAAGATCTATTTTGGGGACAAGAGAGGGTGCAATAGCAGCAGCAGCAGCAGCAGGTGATACATTCCTTGAAGGCTGGATCTGCTCCCCTGTGGATTCTGCCACCTGAGCCAGTTTCCACACATAGCCTCATGGGTGGCCCGGCCCCACATGCAAGCATCATGAAAAGACTAAAATAATTGCTTGGAGAATAAGTTGAGTGTTTGGAAAGACCTATGGTGCTTCAGTATCTGACTTGTGTACAAACATGGCCAAGAATGCAGGCAGCATTGTGAAACATCTTAACAATGACATACCTTACAGAACTTTGACCAGGAAAGTTGATGGTCCCCATAACTAACTTGCAGTCCTAAAATTTAACAGGGAGAAATGTGAGGCCAACATCTTTCCAAAATGTTTGTTTTAAATATCACAGTTTGAAATAATTTAAAAAGACAAGTAAAATTTCCCAGTTGTACTAAAGATTGAAGTACTATGAAGCAATCTGTGAGTTTCAAAATCCTGCCAAACAGCAAAGAAGAAGCTAATAATAACAACAACAATAATTTTATTATTTATACCCCGCCCATCAGGGTAGCAAGCTAATTTAGGAAATGCAGGATAGACCATGGAGTATGCACAGTTCTGTCCTCCAATATCTCATCACCATTTCCCCATAGCATTTGCCACATGAGGCAACTGCCTCAATCCACCTAATGTTAGGGCTGGCCAGATTTACAGCAGAACACAGTTTGGTTCAGAGAATTAATGCTGAAAATTTGCTTTATAGTTTCACCTGTAAGTTTGTCTGCCAGCATACTAAGTTGATCAGAGTTGAGCCCACGGCCAACATATGATGAAAACTGCCAGCTCAGTACTTCCAAGACTTGATTCAAAGTGCCGGGTGGTGGATTATTAAAGAAAGCCAAGTTCTGCAGCCAAATGAAAGTTAACACAAAATTCTGTTAGCTACTCATTGTTTCCATATGTGAGCTGTCTTGGGAACTCTGAAGTGCCAAAGGGCAGTAGAAGAAATGTACCATGTTTTTCCATGTATAAGATGCCCCTATGCATACGACGACCCCTATTTTTTGAGCCCAAAATTAAGGATATTGAGTTTAAATCCAGAACCAGAACCCGAGCCCAGGCCACCCACACCAGAACCAGAATCCAAGCCCAAGCCCAGGTTGCTGCGCTTGAACCGCCCACACCAGAATCCAAACCTGGGCTGCCCGTGCCAGAGCCAGAGCCCAAACCCCTATGCATTCACCATCCGTGAATAAGACAACCCCAATTTCTGACTATTTTTTAAAGCAAAAAACATTGTCTTATACACAGAAAAATATGGTAATACATAATATATTTATTTTAATGTATGTGGCAGGTATAAGATTATGAAGTCAGATTGCTTATATATGATACATGTGGGGTGTAACATAAGCAGTCAAGTACAACACTTCCTGTTTGCCCAGAGTGGACAAGCAGGGGGGTGTTACTCCCGCCAGGAGGACTTCCTGTCACATCTGGTCTGGAGCACCCTCCCCCTGCGTGTGACCAGGTAGGTGGGCGTGACCCTGGGTGACCTTGTAAAAGGGCCAGTCACGCAGCCATCTTCCCCTACTCTTTTGCTGCTTTCTTCTGATACTGATGTATTTTGCTGTCTGCTCGCTCTCAGCCAGCAGGACATGGGCTCAAATCCCTATGTGAGATGAACCCACTCTTTTCTGTAACTCTAAGCTAAAGCCTGCCTTCAGGGATTCAACTGCAAACTGAATGTGAGTAAACTTATTACTTTTAAAAGAAGACTGTTGTGTCTTTATTCTTTTTAGGAGGGATGAAAGGGGACTTGTCAGGAACAGAACCCAATCTGGACAAAGCCAGATTGGATTGCTTAAGCAAACAGATTCAAACAAATCTACCAACTAGCTTCCTGCTATATAGTGGGGAATGTACTCTGCTGCTGACTCACATGCGTGAGTTAGGGAGGATACTATTAAATCAATATATCCTCTCCTAGTATCTACAACATTCCCCCAATACATTATTTGGAGATCTTAAGAAAGGGTAAATATAGACTGTAAATAGAATTCAGAACATACGAGCATCATCTTTCAAGTACCAATAAGGATACACAAGTGTCATGAATATCTCTTAGAGAATTGTGAGAAAGATGCATCATGGGAAAGAAGCCCTCTGTGCTTCTATACCCAATTCATGAAAAACAGGAATTTTGCTATATAAAACCTACCTGTGGTTCACTTGTGGGCAAGTTGTACCAGATAATAGAAGCCCAAGCACTGGGCAATTGGCTGACATTGGAAATCATCACTACTGGTAAGGAACTCGTCTGAGGAAAAAGATGCATAGATTTCATTGTTTATATGGATCAGACTATAGTTTTGAACTGAATGCATTAGAAGTTACTGATGCAATGTCATAAAATGCTGCAATCAAAATGCTGTATGGTAGGTGTACTCTTGCTGATTTTTGCAGGTAATCAATATTGTTGGAGTTCAGTTTTCTATGCTGGACTCCACATGCAGGGCTACTTGTGGCATGTGCCAACCAATAAACCCAAGCTACAAAGGCAAGATACAAGAGGAGCTAGAAAACAAATGGAACTTTGGAGAAATAAGTCATCGCTTGTTTGACCATGTGTGGGTCAACTTATGTTTAACTTGTGATTTGTTAAACAAACAAGGGCTTAGCATTTTGTAAAACAGGCCACTGTTTCTAGGTACAGTGGTATGTTGGTTTTCGAACAGAATGCATTCCGGGAGTCCGTTCGACTCCCGGAACCATTCAAAAGCCAAAGTGCGGCTTTTGATTGGCTGCAGGAGCGTCCTGCAGCCAATCAGAAGCAACGTCGGACGTTTGGCTTCTGAAAATCAGAACACTCACTTCCGGGTTTCAATCGTTCAAGAGCTGATTTGTTTGGGAGCCAAGGCATTCGGCTTCCAAGGTATGACTGTACAGTTTTCCTTTATAGGCCACTTTATATAAATATATACTGAGAGTACTTACTTCCAGGTCTATTGTCAGACCATATAAGCAGACCTGTGTTTCGAAGGTTATAGAGTGTAGTTCTTCAGTTACCATTTGAGGGCCCTGAAGAGATAGAAAAGGTTTTTATAAAAAATATCTGAAACACATATGACACTAAATATGAGCGAGTTGGAATGCAACTCAAACAACCAAGTTACTATATTTTGAAATTTTGTTAAACAGGATTAGATGCATTGTGGATTCCAATGCCACTATGCTTGCTTCCGAAGTTTCCTGCGTTTCCAAATTTAATTTAAACAAGAACAAAACAAAATTGTTGAGTGATGCATCTTACTTCTCAAAATGTTAAAAAAACTAACTGTGCTATTTGAAGGCTGCTTTCAGTAATGGCAAAAATATCATCTTCAGGTTTTAAATTCCAGTGGAAATGGTTAATTTCAAAATCAGGGATGCATTTTACAGATTTTATTTTTATTTTGTAGGAAAGTGAAATGAATCAATTTATCCAGAAGTGGGAGCCCCAAAGCTACTTTTCTATTAAACCCTAATAGGTAGAAATAAATTGTCGCTGCCCTTTAGAAGGTCCAGTGCTTGTTTTGGGGGGGGGCACAGGGATACACATACCCCTAAACATTTTTTGAATTAAAGTTTGGCCTCATTGAGGTGCAGTATTTCAATATGAGTAGGAAAATGAGAGTATCCCTAAACATTTTTTTTGGAAAAAAAGCACTGAGAAGGTCTATTGATAAAAATATTTCTGCCACATGTTGCCATTGTTTAAAGAAAATAACAGAGCATGATAGCATTTCAGCTGCAATTGCTTATCTCCCCTCTCTCTCAAAATCAAAACTCTGACTCAGTTTAGGTAGGATGGGGGAGGACTTTTATCATTCATTCATTCATTCATTTTAAGCAGTAAACTATTGGTGTAGCATGCGTTATATGGCCATTATAAATTTATACTTAACTTATATGGATAAATATGGACAATGACATTTTCTTCAACTCAACAGGGCAGCTATACCACACTACAAATACAATCCAAATGATTAAATCTTCCTACCTCACTGCCCTTGTTTCCAGTACATGATTTCATTTCTTTTGGTTGCTAAAAAAAGGTTAAAAATCAAGACTGAGATTAATATACAATAGTGTTTATTCACAGAAACTGTTAGTGATGGGTACTTTTGTGTTCAGTTGATGACAATCAAAGAAGCATGGAGTGGGCCCTCTGGTGGAGACAAAAAACCTTCCAAAAGAATAATTATAATACAGTGTGTCAGGGAACTGCCATCAGTGCCGGAGGGAGAGAGAGAGCTCCAGAGGGATCCCAGAGAGCCTCACGGGATTGGGAGAGGCAGCCTATCTTCTGGGGAAGGGAATCAGCTCATCTCCAGTGGAGAAGGGGGGCAGATGGGGGAATCTGAGAGGAAGTCACATGACTCATTGCCTGGGACCAGTGGGGGGAGGAAGGGTCCTCCGCTGCCTACGCCTTCCTTGCGCAGAAGGCTTCCGTGCAGGGAAAGTAGGAGGCGACTGAGCATGAAAGAACTTCTTTGCTGGAAGAAGTTTAAGAAACGCCCACTGACGGATTCTGCCAGCGATTGAGACAGCCACGGGTGAGTGGCTGTCCGGACAGAAAAGGTTCACTTAGGCAACCCAGCCAGGTGTGGGCACCAGCTTATGCACGAGCAACCCCTTGAACCACTACACAGTGGAACCTTGGTTTTGAATGTAATCCGTTCTGGATGACCGTTCGACTTCTGAAACGTTCAAAAACTGAGGAGCAATGGGCAGTTGGCAAAATCCATTGAGGGGAAAAATAAAAACATGCAGTGGAAGCCGTACGACTTCTGAGGCGCGTTCGAAAACGGAAGCAATTACTTCCAGGTTTTTGGTGTTCGGCTTCCGATACGCTAAAAAAACGAGATTCCACTTTACAGTGTGGTACCTCGGGTTACATATGCTTCAGGTTACATATGCTTCTGGCGGCGCAGCAGCAGCAGGAGGCCCCATTAGCTAAAGTGGTGCTTCAGGTTAAGAACAGTTTCAGGTTAAGAATGGACCTCCGGAACAAATTAAGTACTTAACCCGAGGTACCACTATATTGGTATTTTCCTATGCCATCAGACGTTTAGTGTTCTAGCTTGGGGACTCAAAAACAGATTTCACAATTTCCATGCATTTTGCCATGTCTGCTTTTTGTGGTTGTTAAATTTTAAAAATCAGCATCGGAAGGGAAAAAAATGCAAATTGCATCAGTGAATGGGATCAGAGCAAGAATCGGAGGGGAAATTTAACTGTTTTATCCACAGCTGCATTCTGGAGGGAAATCCCTTTTCTTCACCTGCACTGGACCCAACTAGGGAATTACCTCCAAAGCAAACACCAGGTTCAGAATAGGCAGCAGCAGTGCTTCCCCCCAGGGGTACTCAAGGGTACGCAGTACCGGCACCGTTGTTGTTGTTGTTGTTAAAAAGTGTGGCTCTTGCTGTAACAACTTCATGGTAATTACCTTCACCTATTTTTCTATTTTAAAAAAGCACTGGGCAGCAGGGAAGGAAAGGGTTAGATTCTCCACATACCTGCATCCGTTTCTCCATTTTTGGGACATAATTAATGAAGTATTGCCTTACCAAATGACGAAATTCTACAGAAAGGCTCCCATTTGCAGATTCATCCATGTTCATTGCTTTTACATGAGTGCCACAAAGGATAAATCTGCGGTTGCTAGAAGACACATCCCAGTAAGCAGCAGCAGAAAAATAATAAGGGAGCAACACGTGTTTGTTGTAGAAGTTGCATCATTTATATTGTCTTACCTTATAGTAGAAGCATTCCTGAATGAAAAAGACAAGAAAACCCAAGGTAATTTACTGCGCTGAACTAAAACAATGTGTTTTAAAGCACAAAGGTTGACTCATGTTTCTGATAGAGCATGTTCAGAGCTTATTCAAAGTATACCTGGAAATTGAGAACTCAAAGAAAACCAATAGCAGTGGTGGAGTTGGCATTCATAGTGAGATACAGTAATTTTATTGTCATGGTTCTCTATTTTGTTTTGTTTGGTGCAGTCGACTTCCAAAACGTTCAGAAACCAAAGAACGGCTTCTGATTGCCTGCAGGAAACTTCTGCAGCCAAGCGGAAGCTGCAGAAGCCCCGGCAGATGTTCGGCTTCCAAAAATAGTTCGCAAAGCAGAACAGTTACTTCCAAGTTTGTGGCGCTTGGGAGCCAAAATGTTTGAGAACTAAGCTGTTCGAAAACCAAGGTACGACTGTATACAGTTTTCCAAAGTTTCTAGTCAATGAGCGTAATAAAGAGATTGATTGTTTGCAATCCTTATTTCATTGATACAACAGAATTAATTTGCATGGATTCCATCCTGCCATAGATAACTGCAACTGCTGTTAATTTTACCAAGTGGGGGAATTTGTAGGATTTCTTCCGAAGTTGCATTTTGCGCTGAAACCACGGAACAGTGATCAGTACTTTGAAAGTTGTGGTTGTAAAACCACACTTGCTATGGAGGCCTAAGCAATCCTGACACCAGTCTATGCAATCACAGCAACTTGTTTTCTTGTGTGAATTGCAGTCTTAGTTGCATATTACCCAAAATGTTGTTAACAGTCTGAAGAAATCATGAGATCCGCCCCCCAATACCCTGCAAGTTATCTACCTGTCAATAGCAGCTTTCACTTTGATCTGGTAGTTCAGCTCTGGCAATCTAATAAGCAGTCTAGGGGAGAAAAAGGAAGGGGGAAAAAAGCTTCATACATTTAATAGCAAACAATGATAATTGCCTAGGGAAATTAGCTGTCATAACAGTTTTTATGATAATCTTGAACAGCCAAATTAAGCAATCCATGCATACTTTGCAAATCGCATCCACGATGTTAGTGTGAAACCTGCCGCCAAATGCATGAGACTCGCAGATGCAGTCCAATAGTAACTAAAAGTAATATGAATTAGTCAAAGTGAAGAGAAGCTGTTGTTCTCATCTTCTGAAAGATGCTGTGATAGATGCTGGCCTGAGTCTTCAGGTCCATAATCTTTTCCATTTAGCAGCTCCATTTAAAAAACTGATTTCTTCAAGAACAAAAGACAATAGAAGTTTTAATGTTTAAAAATATTTGGCCCAGCGTGCACAGTGGCGGAGGAAGAGGAGTGCAGGGGGAGCACCCCACCCCCGGCTGCGCAATCCCGGTGGGGTGCCATCACGACTGCGCCCCTGCCTGCCCCGGGCACCCCGCCCCAGGACACATGCCTGCCCCGCCCCCGCCTGCTCTCCGCCCCCCAGTGCCGGAACATGAAGCTCCGCCACTGAGTGTGCATAAGAAGTTTTGAAGAGATACTTCAGTACACTAAGCAAATCAAGTAAATGGTTACGTGATAGCCTTTACTCACCTAAGTTTAACAGTGAACTGTATTAAAGTTTTAAGAACCAAAGGCCTCTGAGGATGGGTTGGCATGCAGGGCTGTCTCTCAACTACAAATGAACTAATACAAAAGGAAGTAAATATATTTGTTAGTACTTTGCATAAACATGTTTAGAGAAATACTGAAGGATAAGCAAGATTATTTCATCTCGTGAAGACAAATTCTTCAACATGGCAGGGTTACTTTTTCAGACACATTGCATTTTCATGACAGGAGCTATATGTTGACATGCCTTTCAGTCACAAATTACACTTAACACGTAACATAAGCTTACGCACCTTTGGAAGAGGCTGTAGAGCAAAAAGTTCACTCTTTCCAGCAAGTGAGGTCTTTGCAGGGGAATGGGGTCTCCCTCATACGTGAGCTTGACCAAAAGCTCATCCAGTTTCTCCAGCTGCCTTTTTATTTGAAAAAGACTCTCTGCCATCAGAGTGAAACTGAATAAATGAAAAGAAAGGATCAACTCTCTCTCTCTCTCTTTCCTTCACACACATGCAGTGAAATGGACACCTGGTGGAATCTAAATGTCTTATTTTTATATTTTGTCTTTGGCAAGTTCTATATAATTGCATACAGTGAGCTGTGTTTTTATCTCTCTGTATGCCTTTGTGATGTGTCCCATTGCAGCAGACGGTGAGAGCTCAGGTATAGAAGATGGGGGAAAGGCACAGAAAACAGATAAATGGATTGACAATTCAACTAGGGTGCGGTGAGACAAGAGGGAGGAGAAAATCTCTGTTGTCTCCTGTTTCCAGAACCAACAAAATAAATCCAAAAGCAGCTATCTTTCTCAGGATAAAGTGCACAGTGCCAATAGCTGGGGTGGGATATACTCTCTATCAGGTAACTTTCAATGGAGGTTTTGCAGCTGGCTACAACCCTAACAGTGATTCCCCAGATATGAAAGTGTTTGCTTGGGGTGACCATGACACAATCTGTGTGGTTCAGCCACAGCCCCTCATTTCTGCCATTGCAGCAACCTTGTTTCAAAGAGCCCTTTTCAGAGCAGGTGATGCCTGCTAGAGTTATTTTCACTTCAGATGCATACATTCTTAGAAGCTGCATAAACTCTGTTAACCTCTAAGATTAAATTTGTATTGGGTATTCTGGGCTGGGGAGAAGCAGCAGAAGCAGCAGCACCACTTCCTGTCGCACTTCGCTCAGAAAATAGGAGTTACCGATAAAAGTTTACCAGTTTTGCAGCTGATCAAGCCCATTGTGCAGAGGCCCTCCGATGCAAGCAATTTGTTGCCTTCTCTTCCAGTCCACTAATTCTTCTGTTAGCAAGTTATTCACCAAGGCTTCAGCTTCTTTGATTATTTGTGCCATTTTGCTGAGAACTTCCTAAAAGACACAGGATGTGTATCTCTCGTCCAAGCAAGGACCAAGAATGTTTATAAATACAACTGTCCTTTATTGCTCTGGAATAGCCTTCACCAACTGGGGGGCCTCTAGATGTTTTGAGCTACAATTCCCACCAGCCACAGCCAGTATGGCTGCTCTGGAGCTCACCATCCATACAACCAGTGCTTTTTTCTGGGGGTACGCAGGGGTACGCATACCCCTAAACATTTTGTGGATCTTTGTACTTTTGCCCATTTACTGTGTTTATTTTTCCAGATTTGAACTATAAAATGGTGATTTTCATGAGTCAAAATGAGAGTACCCCTAAACATTTTTTAAGAAAAAAAGCACTGCATACAACAATGCCTACTACAATAACACAATGCAAAGAGGCAACCTATTTTTTCTACTCACAGCTCTGAGGCTCTCATCTTTGTAAGGATAATCAAAATCTGAACCTCTTCCAGGATGTATATCAGACTTTTCTGTTTTAGGAAAGCATTTAGGGCAACCTTCATAAAATAATTTCTTTCCAGCAATTTTGGACTAGAATTCCCATCAACCCCAGGCAACATACATGATGGGAGTTTAGACCAAAACAACTGGAGGGCAACAGATTGGCAAAGGGTGCTATATAATATGTCTGGACTAAATTCCACCTATGAACCACTTTGGCATACAAACTTCAGAAGCTCAAAAGGTCCCTAAAGTACTAACACTGGATCACAATTCCCGATGGAATACATATCAGTATTACTATCTACTTAGGAAAGGTAAGACATTTCGAAAGTGGGAGCTTCAGACCTTATTTTTCTGATTTTATCTTACAAAGTTAATTGTAGGAAAGTTTTAAACAATCATAGTGTTGTTGTTTTTAAAAAAAACCTTTCCCCCCCAACAATACTGATATTTAACATGTAGATTCTTCAGGATTTCCACTATCTACTGGCCTAGAATTTCAAGAGATACAAGTGAATGTAAAGTTCACCAGATGTGAGCAACTTTGGCACTTAATAAAGCATGGTTTCTGGAGAATTCTCAGGTTGAAATCACTAGTTTTGCTGACATGTTCTCCAGCCGTCATGATAAGTTATATTTTAAAAATAATAATAATCCAGCTTTACTTCGATCGCCTGTCTTGCACTAGCTCACCTTGAAACTCACTATGCGGGAGCCTGCAAGGCATGAAATGATGGTACTCTATACTGCTCTAAAACACACCATTCAACAGGTGCTATCAACAGTGATTCATTAAGGGATGGAGGTTCCTTCACCACTGCCCCTTTTGTTCCGACCCCAAACCTATTCCTTGTGGAAGAAGAGAACAGCCCTGCTTAAGAGAGAATTATTTTTGAACGTCATTCTAATAGTAGGATTGCATGCATGTGTCTCCTGACTCATCACTTTCTTCCACCCTAGTCTGTCTCGGAAGGCTATTATAAGATGTTTGGATAGCCCCACGCATGCTATTCTGAGCTCTTTAGAGAAAGGGCAGGTCAGAAATGTAAGGGGAAATGCAAACTTAAGTCCTCTGACTTTCAAATATGTGGAACACCCTTCCGCAACTTTTGTGCCCTCCAATTGTTGCATTCCAAGTCCCATCATTCTCAGCTAACATAGCCAATGGTCAGGAATGGTGGGAGCTATAGTGCAAAACATCTGGGAGGCGGCAGACAGTACTCTCTCTGCAGTCATCAGACTCTCTCGAGCTCTTGGGAATTTCCTGCTGCTTAACCACATGAAGAACTCTGAAGCAAGCTGCCTCTATGTTTACATCAGCAGAATAGGGTGGCGTGCAAAAGAAAAACATACAAACGACGAAGACAATTTAGCAAACCTTTCTCTTGTAGTCTAAGGTATTGAGCATCTCCTGCAACAGCAGCATCTCTTGTTTCACAGCAACACTGTTTTTGTTGGTGTGTTCTAAAAGAAGATGCAAAATAGCATGTGTATGGCACAAGAAGAGTAAGCCTCTTAAACAGCATAGCCCAGCTAACACACACACACACACACACACACACACACACACACACACTGCTAAAATCATGGTCTAGCCTTATGAGGAACAGCTATAGGTAGCTTCAGGCTGCAAGGAGGAGATAGGGAAGCTTCTGCCTCCATTTTATAATCTCTTAATGATGAAATTGCTGGAAAATTAAATACACATTTTTATCATTACGTAATTTCATTTATTAATGACTTCCTATGAAGCATTACACACACACACACACACACACACACACACACTTTCAAATCCAGTACAGATCTCCGCTTAGAAGGCTTCTTCAAAAAGGAAGGTGTTCAACAGGCACCAAAAAGACAACAGAGACATGCCTGCCTGATATTCAACAGGAAGCAGTTCCAAAGTGCAAGTACCACCACTCTAAAGACCCAGTTCTGACACTGTATACAATGGCAGCGCACAGTGATCATTTAGGTATAGTACTTATAGTACTTATTATAAGCCCTATATGGTACATGCCAGCAAAATTAGTCATGACTGAGTCCAACTGAAAGCAATGGAATTTGTTGTAACTAAGTGCCGTTCCATTGTTTTCAACTGAACAGGCAGCATAATTTTGTACACGTGTCCACTGTATTCACTGGGATTTACTTCCAGGTAAGAGTCAAAGCATTGCAGCCTCAGTTGTGACCAAGTTTCGCAGGGTTAAGACTCCAGACATGAAGAGTACATGCAAGCTGCATTCTGACACACACCTGGGGATTCAGCAGGGAAGCTGTTACTTATGAGAGTTTGATGAAACCAAAGATATGTTCACACATTTCCTTTATCATGTCAATAGTGACCCACACAGGTGCCTGCTTATAGCGGTTAAATGTCAGGCAAAGTGATGCAGTAGTGATCCGTTTGTGGTCAGGATCATCGTCATCATTTGAGGGAAGAGTCAATACATTATTACTCAGAAGACAGTATGACATTAGTAATCGACTAGCAAGAAGAAATGGCTTTTAAAGAGCCTGCATCTCTTGAAACTGATCAAACTCATGCTTATAATACGTAAACTTATCTGGCTTCCTGTATGGGTAATATTCTACATTTTGAAAGGATGCTGGACTTTGGTGGAGAACATTGCTTATGGAACCATATGCAGAACAACACACTTATGTAATGCTACATATAATCGGGGCAGGCTTTGGGTCTTTCAGATTTCAGTGGCGCCCTCTGTGAGGCCAAAATTCTCCCCCTCCCAACCTCTTGCATTCTGTTGTGTATATTCACTATATCATAGTTGTGATGCCCTGCAGCAGTGTCCAGTGAGGGAAGGGGCCTGGCTGTGCTACCTTAAATCCACCTTTGATGTGATAATAAGGCATTCGCTTTACAAAGCAAACATCCATTTTCACCTACACCAATCTTCAGCTTTGTAAAGGATTTTATTAGAAGGAATTCACAGCTCCCTTTTGAACAGCCAATCACAGTTTTTGATCAAGGTGCTGAGGGTTGTTTTACAGCAGCAGATTTAAAGACCTTATTCTACCATAAGCAGAATAAAGTTTTAGGCTTGTTTCTCATAACCATAGGAGTTGTGACCACGACAATCATGAAGGGACTCTGCACTTCTGAATTTGCCACTAAACTATTGGATACCTCATCACTGCTATACAGTAGTTACATAGGTTGGGTGTTTTCGTTGTTGCAAATATGCCATTTGTTGAGTTTTGGGATGTAACACAAGGCAAACTTAGGCATTAACAACAATAAATACAACATTTTAAAAGTGTTAATAACCTTCAAATTAATATGGTTTACACACATGGAAAAACTTACCTATGCTCTGTATTGTTTTATACCTCAAGTCGAACTCCTCCTGCAGATCTTCTAAATATTTGACATCTTGTTCTGTCATCTGCTTTTTTCAATTAAAATTAAAATGATTTAATGGCAAACAGATCCATATGAATTCCCTATAGTATTCCCTGTGAATCTCTTGCTGCTGCCTTGCTTGCAGAGCAACTGGGTATGCCCTAAATGGGCAAAGTGAGCTGAACTATTTTGTATCTTGTGCTTATTGCTAGTCATGTCCATTAACTTCAATCTACTCTGAGTACGACTAGCATTGGATACATTGGCAGCAACATTTTATCTTATTAATAACTCAGATCAGTCAATTAAAAATATATTTTATCAACTAAAAAAGGTGCCCACACTAATGAGACTGAGGATTTCATTTATCTCTTTCTACATTTATATCTATCTGCACACCCACACATAGAGATAGAGTGCTGTCTGGCAAGTCTGAAGAGACACGAGGCTACCTGAGAACCACATCATACTGCCTTGGTTTCCAGGGTTTAAGAAAAGCAAGATATAAGCAACAGAACAAGGTGGTAGCATGTCAAAGAGCTAGAATAGACCACATGATGTCAGACAGGAGGTGGGGGGAATCACATTTTCGGAAGTTCCTTTATGTTACAAAATCCACACAGATAAAAAACCACCAGCATTACATGCAATGAGCTTTAGTAAAACTTTTTAGCCTTGATGTGCTAATTTTCTACTTGCATGCTGTATTTCTTAAATGGGGCTAGCATTCAAGTGGTGTGCCTCAAATGTAGTGCAGCTCCATTCTACCACCTCATTCTGCTGCATGTGTAGGCTCAGCCTTGCTCTGTCTGTATAGCAAGTCCACAGAGATATATCTGCACCTTGAGGAAGATATGTTGGCATTTGGTACACATGTGGCAAACTGTAGTAACTTGCCTGTGCACTGTTCTTGACTGCAGACACCTTGTGTTCAATGTTTCTTTGCCTTTCCAAACCCAGGTTATTCTGTAGTGACTTTTCCAGAGGTCCCTAAAAAAAAAAGAATTTTACAGATGAGTTCAGCAAAATGAGTTCTCTTGGCATAGAGACAAATTCAGTGACCAATAACTTTAAAAGAACTGATTTAGGACCTTATTTGTTAGCTTTCATGCCTCCCCCCCAAGTTACTTCTGATTTTAATGTTTTCATTCACATGAAATACCTTGCACAAGTCCCTTTTGTGGGGAAACAATAACACACAAAGCATGGAGATCCACATCTGTTCATGAAACTGGCATGGGTGTACAAGTAATCTACTCCCTAATTTCTCACACATTTATGTCTGATTTGAGACCTACTTTCTCATCCAACATCACAGTGTCGGCATCATCACTGGGCCTAAAACCAAACAGATTCTTAAAGTTCCATTGAGTTCAGTGGTGATTACTTCCATGTATACTAATGCAGCATAGGTTATTGCAAATTAAATGCAATAACCTATGCTGCATTAGTATACATGGCAAGAGGAAGGGTAATAGTTCCTGTTGGGAGAACAGAAGTGCTACAAATACACGTGAGTTGCCTTGTTTTGACCTGTGAAATACTGGAGGGTATATACAACTTGACAGCAATCTTGGATTTGATGGGCAAGGACTGCACCCAGTGGCCATGATCCAGCCCCAAATTATATGTGCTGAAACCCTTTAAAATCAGTGTTCCGAATCTGCAGTGGATTTAGGCCTCCTTAAAGACAAACGTATATATCAAATTAAAAGCAGAGTTACCTGTACCGGCATGCTGGCTGAAGCCAATATTCTTCTTTCTTCTCTTAAACAGTTTGAAACAACCACTGCTATATGCATAGGACTACTCTGGTATTTTCCCTGAGAACAAGAGACAAAATAGCCCAGAAAATAGCATCAGAAATAGCCCAGGCCTAGTCCATATAGATCAAGAAGCACTGCTTTGCTGACAATAGTTTTGCACCCACTATGACCCTTAAGGATTTTTTGGCACGAGTTTCAGGGTTACTTTGGGTCCTAGATACTTCCACTCCAGAGATGTGCCTGGTTATTTGAAATCAATTAACATATATGAAGCTTAGTGTTACTGAGTAAGACTATTGGTCTAACTATCCCAGCACTGACTAGGAGTAGCCCTCGATATCTTGGACAAGGGTATTTTTAGCTCTGCTATCCAGGATACTGGAGATGCAGGAGGCTTGAACTAGGGCTGATATGAAAAGAATGCACTCTGCCACTGAGTTATGATCTCTTTTTAAAACCCAGCTTTAAACTTCAAACCTTTCTGGGCGGTGTGTACGTTTATATCACATATTAAAAAAATAACAATAGTGGTTGCTTTCAGGGTTTTTTTATATACAAAAAACCCACCCTCCATTGCTTAATTTTAACCGAAGTTAGTCATGACTAAATTATTAAATCTTGTGCTCAAACCACTTGATTTCAATTAGCTCCGATGCAGCTCAGGTTCTGCATAAGGAGAGCTGTTAATTTACTTTTTTTGACAGTTGCAGTACCTACGTTCCCTCTGCTTTATCTGCTGATAAGTATGTCAAACATGGACATTTATGTAATACAGTTGTACCTAGGAAGTCGAACAGAATCCGTTCCAGAACTCCGTTCGACTTCCAAAATGTCCAGAAACCAAAGTGCAGCTTCTGATTGGCTTCAGGAAGCTCCTGCAGCCAATTGGAAGCCGCGAAAGCCCCGTCGGACGTTAGCGTTCCAAAGAATGTTCACAAACCAGAACATTCACTTCCGGGTTTGCGGTGTTTGAGAGCTAAAACGTCCGAGTACCAAGGCATTCGGGATCCAAGGTACGACTGTACTGTTAAATATAGACATCTACATCTCGAAGATTATGTGTGCTCAGTATTAAATAGTTCAGAAGAACCCTTGGATCTGAATCACAAGTACTGATGCAGGTTAGAATTACAGCTCCATTGCAAAGAAATGGAGTGGGGGAAATGGGGTTGGTCTTTACCCACCCTGCCTGTGTGAGTATGGTAGGGTGGCTACGGGATGCTAAGGATGAGGGTTGTTGAATTGGTGTTCTTAAGTGATCTTGAGTAGGGGCTTTAACTGCCTATAAAGTAGTTGTTCATTTAGCACCAGTTGTATGCATTGCTCAGCTTTTACTAGTGTGCACCTAACTTGGGGATAGCATGGTGCCATTTAGGGTTCAGTCTCAGGTGGCAAAATGGCTAGAGCCAGCCCTATCACTGTTTGAGGCTAAAATGCAAGGAGAGTTTTCTTGAGTTCAGGTAATCATTATTGGAAGCCACTTATCTATGTTGAGAATTCTAAATCTAGGTCAGCAAGAGGAAATGCATTACAAAACCTCACACAGAAATGTAGTATTAGTTTTAAGCCACATGTGTTGTTTCCCGCCCCCCCTCCACCCACTTCCTCAGAAGCGCTGGTGTACATTTGCTGCCATGATGGTCTCAAAGAATTAAGAAACACCTATTAAATAAGGCAACAGGTTTCACTGGACCAACATCCAATAGACTTGTGCACAGAGTTCAAACTTCCAAGTCTCAAACAACACTTTCCACAATCTCCATTTGCTGCAGAATATTTCACACATAAAAATCTGGGATACATTTCAAGGTGTTATCACAATGTGGAATACAAATAAGATCTGCACTGGGCAACCTGACCGCAAAGCTACACGTAACATGTAGTTATGTCTAATTTTCCACTCACTTTTTTGTTTTAAATGAAACATAGCCATTGGAGGCTGGACCTCTGAGGACAGATGGGGTTATTAACTCTAGCTCTTCCAGATACCCCCTCTTGCAGTTACTGCCCACCCCAGAAAAGGAAGAACAGAGGTTCTCATGTATCTTCTGTACCATGAAAAAATAAATAAAAACATAACAAATATATAATAGAAGTAACCCTAACAGGAAAAAATTACCCACTGAATCATGAGCAAATGCACAGGTGGGGGCGGGGGGGGGGAGTCCAGCAACTCTCACAATCCCTCTGCTGTGTTTTAAATCCCACCCAATTTTGTAGGAGTTTGGCATGACTAGCCTTCTAACAACACATGAGATATGCTTTTATAATACCTAGTTTGACCAATAGTGCCTGTGAATCCCCAGGACTTTCCTTTAACATGTAAACATTTGTTTTTACCGGGAGGGTTAAATATGGGGTTGCTTTCAAAGTAGCAAGTCACCTGTAAATACCCACCCATACTCAGGTGGTAAAGTCCTATGTCATGTCAGGAAAAGTTCATTTAAATTGGCTTTCGGGCCTATCCTTTTCCACACAATGTTACAGAAGCAATTGCTGTGTCAGGCATGAAAAATGTTTTTCTTCATTGCCAATATCTGTTTTTAAAGCCACTGCAGGCCAAGCCATTGTGCTTCCCCATTCCTGACCCACCAAGTGAACAGCACAGACTAATTTGGAAAGAAACAGGTCTCAACTTTATTGAATACAGATGAGAGAGGTTTGGCTTGGGCATGGGGCAATCATTTACTTGCAGTCCATCTGCTGGAAGTGATGCCATAGGTCAATCTGGCAGCAGGGGTTCCTAAGACTTACATCAAATAGGAGGACCCCCAGAGGGATCACCGTCTGGGGGAGTGCGACCAGCCCCCGTCTGGGCCTAAGGACATAGGCAACTTCAAATGTTTGGTGTAGAGTAGATGCATCTCACATATCACATCTAGTTTACAGAAGGTACTGGGAACGTTCCTCTAATAAGCAACCTCCGTCCTGCATCAGCACCAACAACTAGAAACAAGGGATGCACACTGCAATAGGAAATATTGGTCCCCCAGTTTGGTCACGTGGGTAAACAGGTAACTAAGAGCAGACTGAAGCCCCTGATTTTGGTGGACTGTAATGACCAAATACTTATAAGTGAATGCATTGCATCTATTTCCATAAATTGAGGCTGTGTGCAGATCTTCCTGGCTTGAAACCTAATAAAAATTATGGTAGTTCATTGCTCATGAAACAGACTGCTTCATGATTCCTCTTTAGCCTCAAGGTGTTGTGTGTGAAGGCAATAGACTCACCTGAAGAACTTTCCTGATTCTCTTTAGATTGTGTATCAAGAGGAGATTCTTCTCTTGGGAAACACGGTCAAAATGTTCGTCCAGCTTTATTAGTAAGTTCTGCAAGAGGATGGCTGCCATAGGTTCATTGTTATATGCAGATTCCCTGTGTAACGCAAAATTTATATGAATAAAACACATACATGAAAAACCGAAACAAAAAAGTAATGGTTAAAGCCTTCAAATTATTTGTTCAAGAAAAGTATTAGGCCCTAGAATGGGTGTCTGGAATCATCAGCTTCATGCATGTTCTTATTTGTTTTAAGGCTGAAGTCCTAAGCATGTTCAGAGGAAAGTCCCATTAAACCCCAGTAAATATTTCAGTAGGCTGAAGAACTAGTATGTTCAACCATGGTTGGATAACATTACATGCAAAACTGGGCTACTGACTGCTTAGAAAAGGCTTGCTTACAAATTCAGATTGTTCCTATCATAATGCATCATCTTCCACAGGCTTAGCTCATAAAAAATAGAACTGCAAGGGTACGCCAGTATTTTGGAAAGAGCTAATACTATGCTAGGAAGATTATTGTTCCTTTCCTTTTAAAATATTACTATGTTTTCATTGGGCAGCTTGTAAAATAACTAACAAAATGTATTTATTCCTATAGACCCTTTAATAGCAAAGGGAATAATTGTAATAGCTTTATGTAAGCAATATGTACAGCTACAGTATATTGTACGTTACTTAGAAATATGATTATTGTGTTAATGTACACATAGTATATATTGTATAGCATACATGTATCCTTCGTATCATATCAATTTTTCATGTCCATTACACATCACACTTAATATTTGTTATTACAGTTACTGTTTCTTGATTTTGATAGTTTCTTAAGTTGCCACATTTGTTTTCTGTTTATTTCTGGTCAATACTTTCATCAAAAATAAACAGAGAACAAATGTGGTAAGTGGCACAAAGCTGCTTTATATTAAAGGCAATATTTTATCAGAATAATAAAAAGTTCTCTATATATTCCTAAGGATAGGCTTTTTATTTGAATTTATATCTGCACACAGTAATAACTATGTACCCAATATCCTGCCTGTACATAAAAGTTTCCTAAAATTCAAGCTTTATAAGAGAGATAATTTTATTTTTTTTTAAATGTAGACAAAGAACATTTGATCTTACCAGTCCTGGTTTTCAATCCATTGTGCTAGCAGATGTCGGACTTCCATGGGAAATTTGTCATCATAAATCTGGTCTATCTGCTCCAAGAATTTTGCTTCTAGCTGCTGGACTTGATTCCACTGAGACATACTACAAAGAATAATGCTTGTTTTGATGAGATATTAAACATTATCGTGCAGGAGTGTATAAGAACATATACAGAACCCACCAAATTGGGCCAATGACCCGTCTAGTCCAGCATCTCATTCTCACAGTGGCCGCCCAGAAGCCTATGAGAAGACTTCAAGTAGGACATTGAGTGGAAGAGAACTCTGCCCAACTTCAGTTTCCAGAAACTGGTACTAAGGCATATTCTCTTTGATAGTGGAGGTAGAATATATATGATACTCTTTCCTCCAGATTGCACTTGCTGCTTCAAGGTGAATAACCTTTTGCAAAATGATCACACATTTGTAGTATGCAGCCTGCACAAATTTTGCCCAGGTTTTACTTTTATTTTGAAAATAAACATTTTTCTTTTCAAATACCGAATTGCTTTTATTTTACATAATAATAAACATGCATAGGATGTATAATATATTTGACATGTTCGAAATCAGAACTATTCAGGATTTATAGTTGTCAGAATACTGTATACTGTTTTACCATTCACTTTGTGTTGTTTGGGAGATGCATTTTGATAGATCTCCTTGATATTCGGTGGCCTTTCAATGATGGTTGCTTGTTTTCACACTATGAGTGTGATGGGTGTAACATACATTGGGGCATAACTTGTGTTGTCGTTTCCAAAGAAGAGTAACAAATTCCTTTACATCTGCTCAATCACTCTTCAGTAACCACAGCTGGACAATGTTATGAACAGTGCTTTTAAAATAACTTTATTTATTCTTAGATGTTTGAGAAGCAGAAAGTATTACCTTCTGTGTGGGCTGGGAACACAAACTTTGGGGGATATTCAACTTTGAAAGGCACAGCAGAGTTTATGTATTTATTTATAGATTTGGGAAACTAGTAGGTATTTGACTCTTATCACCAAACAAGATGTAAAAGTCCACTTATGCGAAGAAACAAATAAATGAAGATGAATGCCCCACAATACCAACCAAGTATTAAAATTGAGTCTGGGCATAGAGGGTTTTTGCAAAGGAAATATGATTCTACAGCTTCTTGTTTCAATTCTTCTTTGGAAAAAAAAATATATATTTGAGCAACTCAGTGTTGCGCTACTCCCAGGTTAAGTGCCCCCTCATCTACACTGGAAAATACAGGTATAGCACATTTACAAATGAGTCAGTTGCCTTTGACAATGATGAATAATAAACCCCCACCCCTGGCAAATGCTGACTTGCTTGTTTTCTGTTAAACCCAGGCAATGGAAAAACACAAGCAATGTCTATGTCATCAAAAACCATTTGGTTTCAAAAGAGGAAACTTGCTCCCAATGAGGAGAATGGTGAAAAGAAAGTTGAAAAACAAAGTCAAGAGGACCAAATCACTCCAAATGCTTGGGAGATATTTAAAAACACAATAATAGAAACTAGAGTTTCAACTAGTCAACTGGAGCTTATATTGGAGATGGGACACGGGTGGCGCTGTGGTCTAAATCACTGAGCCTCTTGGGCTTGCCGATTGGAAGGTCGGCGGTTCGAATCCCCGTGACGGGGTGAGTACCCGTTGCTCTGCTCCAGCTCCTGCCAATCTAGCAGTTTGAAAGCACGCCAGTGCAAGTAGATAAATAGGTACTGCTGTGGCGGGAAGATAAATGGCGTTTCTGTGCACTGTGGTTTCTGTCACGGTGTTGCGTTGCGCCATAAACAGTTTAGTCATGCTGGCCACATGACTCAGAAAGCTGTCTGTGGACAAATGCCGGCTCCCTTGGCCTGAAGTGAGAAGAGTGCCGCACCCCATAGTAGCCTTTTACTGGACTTAACTGTACAGTCATACCTCGGGTTACAGATGCTTCAGGTTGCGTTTTTTTGGGTTACGGATGCGCCGAAACTGGAAGTACCGGAACTGGTTACTTCCGGGTTTTGGTGGTCGCGCATGCGCAGAAGCACTAAAATCACACTTTGCACATGCGCAGAAGTGCCGAATTGCAACCCGCGCGTGCGCAGACACGCCGCTGCGTGTTGCGAACGTGCATCCCGCACGGATCACGTTCGCAACCTGAGCGTCCACTGTATAGGGGTCCTTTATCTTTCTATATATATTGCAGATGCATCATGAGAGCAAAAAGATGCCAGCATAGTGCAAGCAGACAGTAAGCGATGCTAAAAAAGAATTTGAGGAGCAAATACGCTCTAATTTTTTTCCTTGGTTTTATGTATTTTCCTTTTCTTTTGTATTTTCTTTTGTTGTAAATATGTATGTTTTCTCATTTGTACTTAATAAAAATATTTTTTAAAAAAGAATTTGAGGAGCACATTGCTGATGACATTAAGTTTTTTAAATATATTAGTAGTAGAAACCATCTAGGCAGGCGTTTCGATGACAAAGGAATCAAAGGTGTGCTAAAGGAGGATAAGGAGTTTGTGGAGAAACTGAATTCTTTGCAACTCTCTTTAGAAAAGAATATGTAGGGCAGAAGGGGAATCTGAGGATTATGTTCCTGCCCTGATTGACAAAATTAATAATGAGAAATCACCCAATCTGGATGGCAACCACGCAACAGTTTTCAAAGTTGTGGAATTGCTTATATTTTAGCAAAATATGTAACTTGTTCTTCAGATCTGCCTCCATACATGAGGACTGGAAAGTAGCCAATGTAACACCTTAAAAACAAAAACGTAACCAATGGGGGATCTTGGAAATTACAAGCCAGTTATCTTAATATCTTGCTGGGATGGGGAAACTGGTGGAAAGTATTGTTAAGGATAAAATTATCAAGCATATACAAGCTTGCTGAAGCACAGCTTCTGCAAGGGCAAGTCCTGTTCACAAACTTAGGTGAGTTATTGGAAAGTGTCAACAAGTCTGCAGATAGAGGTGATGTCCTGTTGATATATATTTTGGACTTTCTAAAAGCTTCTGACAAGGTACCTCATACAAGTAAGCTTAGAGGTAATGGAATAAGAGGCAAGGTCCTCTTGTGGATTAGTTAAGTAGAAGGAAGAAGAGGGTAGGAATAAAAGGGGCAGTTTTCCAGCTTACTTGGGACAGCTGTGATAGGAATTTTATGGTTTTAGATATATGGCAACGTTCATAACCACACGTACATAGATCAGCACAGGAAAGCCAACCTGGAACCATTTTGATTCCTAAACTGAGCAAATGTTTCTCTGCATGGTAAAAATGGAAAAGCCTCCCCATTGTCTCTTCCTTCACAAATCCTGTCTTAATCTGTGTTTGAATAAGGGTGTGAGCCTTATCATTACAAAAGACTGCCAAGGCTCCCCAAGAAATCCAATCAAGTAACCTGCCAGACAGGAAATAAACAAAGCGACAGGAGAAAACAACATGCAAATGTTCTGTTTTAGACCGCCTTATCTGAGGGGTGGTCTTAGGTTACACCCCTTCTGTGATGAATGCATAATGTTTCTGGGGGTGGTCTTGATCTAGAGGATGGGAATTTCAAAAGTCTTTATAAGCCCTTGCACAGCATTTTTGTGGGTCCTCTTCCTCTCCTGCGTGTGAGGGGAGCACCCTGTTGCAACAGATCAATAAAGATCAAGCTTACTAGCTGCTTTGCTTCTCAATATTCTCTGGTTGGCCTCTGTTATTTTCTCCTACCAATAGGGAACCTATGTAAGGACTCTATATGGGCTCTTGGATACCCCATAAGGGAAAAGGGCATATTTTTATTTACAACACAGCCTCCCTCCCAAATACTTTCCTCAAGTCGGCCAGCCATAGCTACAATTCCCACCTTCACACGAACTACAGTTCCCTGGAGGCGTGTGAGGAGTGGGGGGGGGGGAGAAATAACATGCTTTAACGGTGTTAAAATTAAATAGTAAAACGTGGCGGAGGATGGGGGGGGCACATGCCGCTCCGCCTCAAGCAAAAAAAGAAGAAAGAAAAAGGAGAAAAAGCGAAGTTCTGAGGTGAATTTTGCCAGGGGAGGCGGGCGCCGCTCGCTTCTCGGCGCCTTCCCGCCTTCCTCTCCCGGCTCCCCCTCCCCCTTTTCTTCCTCGCGCGCCTTCTTGACTCACCTGCCTGAGGGGCTGCGGAAGCCGAGAGAAGAGGGGCTTCGAGGCGGCGGCGCCTGGCGAGAGAGCGAGAAGGGGCGTCCAGGGGGTGGCTGGGCGGGCTCTCAGGGCTCCTGGGCGCCAGGGGAGCGGACGGGACGGGGTGGGTGGTGTGTGTTTGTGTAAAAGAAATAAAAAATGCGGTCGGAAAAACGGGGAGTTCCCTGTCAGCCGCGGAGCCTCTGCTGAGGCCGAAGTGTTCTCGGTTGAGGATGAGCTTCTCTTCAGTCTCTCTCTCTCTCTCTTTTCTCCTTCCGCTCTGTTCTCTGTCACAGAATATTCAGCCATAGAATACTATTATTATTATTATTATTATTATTATTATTATTATTGATTCTCTTCAGTCTCTCTCTCTCTTTTCTCCTTCCGCTCTGTTCTCTGTCACAGAATATTCAGCCATAGAATACTACTACTACTACTACTACTATTATTATTATTATTTCTCTCTCTTTTCTCCTTTCTGCTCTGTTCTCTGTCACAGAATATTCAGCCACAGAATACCATTATTATTATTATTATTATCATCTCTCTTTTCTCCTTCCGTTTTGTTCTCTGTCACAGAATATTCAGCTATAGAATATTATTATTATTAGCTCTCTTTTCTCCTTCCGCTCTGTTCTGTCACAGAATATTCAGCCATAGAATACTATTATTATTATTATTAGTAGTAGTATCTCTCTTTTCTCCTTTCTGCTCTGTTCTCTGTCATAGAATATTCAGCCATAGAATACCATTATTATTATGTTGTTGTTGTTGTTGTTGTTGCTTCTCTTCAGCCTCTCTTTCTCTTTTCTCCTTTCCACTCTGTTCTCTGTCAAAGAATATTCAGCCACAGAATACCATTATTATTATTACCATTATTATTATTTGGATTCATATACCGCCCTATGCCCAGAGGTCTCAGGGCGGTTCACAGAACGTAAAACCCAAATAGAAAACCACAAAAACCACGTAATCAAAATAAAACAACAACACAATCACCCCCACCCTTCAAAAAGCACATTAACATATTTGTGCCCCGCCATTACTCCTGACGGGCACGGGGGGGAGGGGAGGGAGGCAGCTGTCCCTCCAAATAAAAACCAAAAAATAAATAAATACTAAACACAGGTTTTGCCTCCCTCACGCAGACATTATAATTAATTAATTAAATTGGTTTACCGCCCTATACCTGGAGGTCTCAGGGCAGTTCACAGAACACAAAATCAATATATAAAATCACAAAATAAAAATAAAAAATAACCACCACCCAGTAACCCCCCCAAAAAAACACCACATTATTTTATTTGTGCCCTGCCATTTCCCCTGAAAGGGGCATGGGGGGGCAGCTGCCCCTCCAAATCAATAAAAATACCTAACGGAGCTTTTGCCCCTCCTAACATTATAATCAATCAATTAATTAAATTGGTCTACCGTCCTATACCTGCAGGTCTCAGAGCGGTTCGCAGGATAAAAGCACAATACAGAAACCACAAAATAAAAACCTAAACAACCCAATAACCCTCCCCCACATTTTAAAAGGACATTGGATGACAACCAGCCAAAGAGCACCACTCCGATTCCTGAAGAACAAATAATAATTATTATTATAATAATTTTTATTTAAACCCCGCCCTCCCCAGCCAAGGCCAGGCTCAGGGTGCCTAACAAGCAATAATAAAAACAAGTTGAATGATTACAACTTAAAAACAAAATTAAAATACAACATTAAAATATTGAAACATTAAAATATTAAAATGTAGCCTCATCGCAGGAGGACAAAGGAAAAGAAAAAAGAAAGAAAGAGAGGGAGGGAGGGATTCAAATTGGCTCCAAGCCAAAGGCCAGGCGGAACAACTCTGTCTTACAGGCCCTGCGGAAAGAAATCAGATCCTGCAGGGCCCAGGTCTCATGAGGCAGAGCGTTCCACCAGACCGGAGCCAGAGTTGAAAAGGCCCTGCCTCTGGTTGAAGCCAATCTAACTTCCTTAGGGCCCGGGACCACTAGGGTGTTGCTATTTATGGACCTTGAGGCTCTCCGTGGGGCATACCAGGAGAGGCGGTCCCGTAGGTACGAGGGTCCTAGGCCGTGAAGGGCTTTAAAGGTCAAAGGCAGCACCTTAAATCTGACCCTGTACTCCACCGGGAGCCAGTGCAGCTTGAAAAGCACTGGATGAATATGCTCCCATGGCAGAGACCCCGTGAGGAGCCTCGCTGCAGCATTCTGCACTCGCTGGAGTTTCTGGGACAGCTTCAAGGGCAGCCGCGCGTAGAGCGAATTACAGTAGTCAAGCCTGGAGGTGACCGTTGCATGGATCACTGTGAAATCACAAAGATCACAAAGAAAGTGGGATGGAGAAAGCGCTCTCAAAAATGTATAGGGAATGCTCTCGAACCCTGTATTCATGAGGGTTACGTAAAATGCTTTATGTGTAGAATGATGTTGAGTGTTGAAATTACTTTACATTCATTACCTAGCTGCAATCCTTACAACAGCCCCATATTATTCTCCCCTCTATTGCAGACAGGGTGGGAAGCCTGCGGCTTGCTTAAGGCCCCCTAGTGATTTCATGGCAAACTCATTTGACCAGAGGCTTTTGTGGAAATAGCTTAGCCACTATGCGACACCAGCTCTGATCAGAAATCGCATAGACTGCATATTTCCACAACACAATGTGGTGCAATTCCAGGAAGGGTGCCAGGCAAAGGCAGATATTTTTCTTCCAAAGATACACGTGAGTAGGATGTGCTGGGTATGCAGACTGGAGAGAAACGTGTTGAATTATCCATAAAGGGGATGCTATCCAGTAAAGTCACCCAACCTTGATAAATCAGCTTTGCAGATAAGTCCATAAAAGTAACAGCAACAAAAAATGTTTTCTAGCTTGCCAGACCACAGAAACCTACGTTAATCATCTGTGGAACATTGACAGCCTAAAAAAAGGGGTGGGGAAATTTGGAGAAAGAGAGAGAGAGAATGAACTGGCTTTGTTGTTTCTATAGGTTTTTCTGCCTGGTTGCTTGGAGGCAATTCTTACTGTGCCACAGATGACTAGGTAAGGGGCACTTTCAAAGGCTTGTCAACACATGTGATCTTGATAGTAAAAGTTGTGTTCGACACAGACATGCAGGGTCAATCCAAAATGCTGCACTGGAAAAGGGTCACAGGGGTCAGCAAACTTTTTCAGCTGGGAGCCGGTCCACCGTCCCTCAGACCGTGTGGGGGGCCGGACTATATTTTTTTTGGGGGGGGGGAATGAATGAATTCCTGTGCCCCACAAATAACCCAGAGATGCATTTTACATAAAAGCACACATTCTACTCATGTAAAAACACGCTGATTCCCGGACCGTCTATGGGCCGGATTTAGAAGGTGTTTGGGCTGGATCCAGCCCCCGGGCCTTAGTTTGCCTACCCATGGACTACAGCATGATGCTAGCTGCAAATTTACAAGCATGGCTGTGACCAGAGCCGGTCCAAGACATTTTGGCACAGGCAAACCACAAAATGGCTCGTCCCTTGCCATCAGGGAAGAAGAGGTAAATGAAGATCTACATCAGGAGCAAAAGAGGTATAAAGATCTACATCAGGATCTGCTGCCCCTGTGGATCCTGTCACCTGAGGCAGTCACCTCACCTTGCTTCATGTGTGGGCTGGCCCTGGCTATGACTGTAGGAATTATAGGAACCTTCTTATCGCTTCAGCCATCTTGACACATCCCTCTCAGACCTAAACTTGAGCCACACAGAGAATCATAGAACTATAGAATCATGTGTTTTTATTTTAAATAATTTTAATTAAATTTTCCATTTTAACAATTCAATCCAATCACATTAAATATTCAAAATTATACAAATACATATCATATATTCCAAATATTCTGCCAAATTATAAACTTTTATTGGGGCTTCCCATGCTTCACCTGAAGAATTTGGAGCAAATGATTCAGCAAAGGAAACACAGCCCAGAATAACTAAGGACATAGTACAAGAATACTTGGCTAGTTTAGATGTATTCAAGTCTCAAGGGCCAGATGAACTGCATCCAAGAGTATTAAAAGAACTGGCAGATGTGATCTCAGAACCACTGGCAGTCATCTTTGAGAATTCCTGGAGAACAGGCGAAGTCCCGGCAGACTGGAGGAGGGCAAATGTTGTCCCTATTTTCAAAAAGGGGAAAAGAGAGGACCCAAATAATTACCGCCCAGTCAGTCTGACATCAATACCAGGGAAGATTCTGGAGCAGATCATTAAGCAAACAGTCTGTGAGCACCTAGAAAGGAATGCTGTGATCACCAATAGTCAGCATGGATTTCTGAAAAATAAGTCATGTCAGACTAACCTGATCTCGTTTTTTGACAGAATTACAAGCCTGGTAGATGAGCAGTGGATGTAGCCTACCTTGATTTCAGCAAGGCATTTGACAAGGTGCCTCATGATATTCTTGTAAAGAAGCTGGTAAAATGCGGTCTTGACTATGCTACCACTCAGTGGATTTGTAACTGGCTGACTGACCGAACCCAAAGGGTGCTCATCAATGGTTCCTCTTCATCCTGGAGAAGAGTGACTAGTGGGGTGCCACAGGGTTCTGTCTTGGGCCCGGTCTTATTCAACATCTTTATCAACGACTTGGATGATGGACTCAAGGGCATCCTGATCAAATTTGCAGATGACACCAAATTGGGAGGGGTGGCTAACACCCCAGAGGACAGGATCACACTTCAAAACGACCTTGACAGATTAGAGAACTGGGCCAAAACAAACAAGATGAATTTTAACAGGGAGAAATGTAAAGTATTGCACTTGGGCAAAAAAATGAGAGGCACAAATACAAGATGGGGACACCTGGCTTGAGAGCAGTACATGTGAAAAGGATCTAGGATTCAAGTTCAGTGGGGCTCTGATCATCTTATATCTCTACTGCCTTGAGTTTCCAATAATTCCTTTAATTCTTCCTGTTATTGTTGCCTTATAGAATCATGTAATTGTAGAGTTGGAAGGGACCTCAAGGGTAATCTAGTTCACCCCCCCCATTGCTATAATATTACCAAGGTTGTGACAGCAGTGGTTCTGTTGTCTGTGGTGTTTGTCTTTATTCAATCAAATATCAAGTGGTTGAACGATATCCTCTGCTGGCTGTCTAGTACATGACCAGCTCTATACAGGATTCTGAAGCCTCTTATCATGTACCTCATGATCCTGACATCTAATATCACTTCAAAACCTTTCCTGGGACTTTTGTGCCACAAACTCCGAATTTTGTGCTGCTGTCCATGAGTGTGTATTGATGTATCCAATCAAAGTTCCTGGTTTATACCTCCAACAAACCATGATTGCCACATTCCCTCCAAACCAACAGTAAAGTATTGTGTGTTTTAAGACACAAAGCTTTGCCATAGGTTATGAGAAGATACAATATATGGGGGTTCATACTTCAGCCTTGCTATATATATCCATTGTCTCTGTCCACATACATGTGCTTAAAAAAAGGATCTAAAAATTAACTGTTACAAGTTATCATAAAATATATTTGGTATGTAAAAATGATTTTATGGAATCTAATGAGAATGGAAATCTCTCTCCCTCTCTCTCTCTCTCTCTCTCTCCCCAAAGCAAAAGAATCCAAACACCTACAGAGTATATTGACAAAAGATCAGTGATATGAACAGATATAGCTCACAAAGTATCAAAGAACCCAAATGTGTTTTGACCTTGGGCTTCCTCTGCTCTGTGTAGATAAGAAATGTTTGGCATAAAAACAAAATCTTATATATATATAAATACAAAAGACATAGTTTAAAATATTGCTACATGCTGTATTTGAAAAAACGAATTGAAAGTTAAGTAAAAATATCAACTATATTTTTGAAAAACACCTTTTGAGGCTATAAATAATAATAACAACTTACCTAGTCCTTGAGTGCCACACACATATCTTTGAATGTATTGTCCTGTTAAGTGGGCTCTCAGAGAATACAGGTTGCCCTTCAAATCTCTCTGTATGCATCTGATAAAATAGGTTTTTGCTTACAAAGTTCCTACTACCAT